AATCTGAAATAGCTAAGAAGAAGCAAACCGGGCAGTCGCGAGCCAGGACCTGATGTCGGTCGCAGCTGGATTGTGCTCGCGTTGCACGGTTGTGTGGCGCGCCCAGAAATTCAGAACTGGAGCCAAGGGGTGTGGAAAATTTCGTCACGGCCGTTGGACCTGTTTCTCGCCACCAAGGGACAGTGAGGAAAAATACAGTACAGTAGTTGCTCTGACGGCACCCCTAACCGCTTGGCCAACTTCGATACCCTAACACTCCCATGATGGACAGCATGCCCTGAGCGGGATCTGGCTCGTAGTGGGGTTATGCCCGACCGTGTCCAGGGTGTTTGTAAGCCATCCAGAAATGACCCCTACGTCGGAACCACGAGTAGCTTCTGAAAATGCTCCTCATAGTGTCATGTTTCCAGCGATGATGGTAGGCACACGTCCACTGATGCGTCAGTCGGATCCCGAGTTGGCGGGCAGGGGTAGCGATGGGCGTTGCCGAGCAAGGTTATTCTGGTCTCTTCGCAATGTGAAGAAAATCCACTTCAAGAACATCCATCAGGATGAGTGATCACAGACGGGACTGGAAATCCGAGTCGCGATGACGGCCTTGTCTGGACAGCGAACCGGCGTCCCTGTAGAATATAAGCGCCTAGCCAGGCTCCGCGTTGTTCATCCATCAGTGGAAGAGCCAACACGCAATAGATTTCCATTCACCACTTCTGGCCATGTCTAGGTCGACGATTGTCAAGCTCCGTTGCATGCACTGTCGCAAGGCGGCCGAGCTTACTCGGACGGACGACCTCAAAGACGCGGGTATGGTTGAGGTCGGATACAACCTGTATTACTGCTTCCCATGCGCCAAAGCGACTGGGCACCCGAAGGCACAGGGGGTTACACAGCCGCCGAGGGACGCCGAATGAGGAGCGGGCTGCCGGCCTCGCATGCAGTTCGTCCGCAGCCACCGAGATAGGGGTGCAAGAAGGCGGCGACATCAATCGATTGGTCAATGCGCGCTACATCACAGCGATAAGTAGCCTGAGAAGCACAACTTTGAAATCAATACTATTCAATTCCCGAGGGCCTATACGGTTAAGATGACTTCTTTCTCAAGGCGCACCCATGAAGTCGTGAATCTTTCCAATCGCCTCTCGGCACGCGGGAGAATGCATCCAGGAAACATCACTACATTGCCGTGGTTCCCGGTGAGGATCCTACTTTCTGATGACAAACATCCATCTGATGCAACGCTCGACGAGTCCCGACAAACAATGGAGACAAGTCTCATCGCCTGCGATTTCGCTGCAACAAACCTCTCCATCTGTCCTGATGAACCACCCGGTGCGGTGGCAGCCGCTCTTGACGGGAGGCGAGTCGCATATGCACAGACACCTGCCGCAAAAACCGCTGCACTTTGACCGCTTGTATTCTGGAGAGGCCTGGGCCCGCCACCCGTGTCATTGGGGCTTCGGTGTATTGTGCACTCACCGTCTCCCACTCCGAGACGTCGCCGGACTGCCCGTTCTGCATCTTGTTTCCAACCACACTGTCGAAGAGGCCATGCGTGCCGATGTCCCATACACCCCCCGACGCGTCAACCCGGCCCGCGTCATCAGCGACGGCGCCGTCGGGCATCTCTTGCTTCACAGCACATCGGCTCGTACCCCGAAGGGCCGGACCGTCGGCGAGGCGTTGGTGAAGCTGCCTCGCGGTGTCGTTGTCTTTGGCTACTTTGGAATTCCCGCCATGACTGATTGGCGAAGCACCAACACGATAAGGGCCATTGCCGTCGACGCCGTTGATCTGGAGGACATCTGCCTCCGCAGCGACGTCGATCTCCACTCTGCCAGTCCCCGCCGTCATCTTATCGCGAACGGAGTTGTCACCTGCTTGGGCGTCCTGTGGGGACTGGCGGCACGTTTTCGCCCGCCGCGGGCCGTGTCGTGGACTGTTGCTGGGCGATTCGTTCAAAATTTGGGCAAACTAGCGCGGTTTCGCGTCAGCGTCTGCTGATCGTTCAGGGTGGCTCTTCACTGCCGCTTACAAATGCATTCACGTCGGGGATGTCTTGGCCTTCAGGTACGTGGATAGCCCCGTCCAGCCATCCATACGTTGGGTTGTAGTAGACGACAGCCGAAAACACCCCGGCAAATTCGCCTAGTTGAAGCGCTTTGCCCTGAGCGCTGGTGCCAGACTTTCGGACCTTGTCCTTCGCCCTTTTCTTCTCTCGGGCCTCAACTTCAGTCTTTGGTGATGAACCGCCGGCCATTGTCGCTTCGATCCAGTACTCCCTCTCAGTGAAAGTCTGTGCTGCCAAGTCTGCTGAGGCTCTGGTTGAATCTCTTTGGGACAGCAGCGCAGCAGCGTTCCCGCATATGGCTTAAAAGCCAGTGTGAAGCCGTCTTCAGGTCCATCGACATCGACATCTTCATCGGGTTTGACCAGATGATTTCCTCACAGTAGAAAATGGCTTTGGGGTGCTGTTCCGGATCTACTGCTTCTCACCTGTTCCCTGCCACCCCACTCGAGGTGCTTTCCTGATACAAAACCAAATTCGGCTCTCAGTCAAGTGCGGATCAGGTCGGAAGTGGCTCGCTGCAGTTCGATCCGCCCTGGCCCTGCGGTGTTCGACCACAAACAACCCTCCCCAGGGGTCTCGACCACACGCCATGGCCCAGGTCGAGCCGCCTTGGGGCCGAGAACGACGCCCCATGTCGTTTGTGCCCACGATACTCGAGAATTGACCCTAATGCTCGGGAAGTACATACTGTTGCCAAGTTCTGTTGGCTGCAAAGTGACCTATGCCGTGGTCTTATGTTCTTGGAGTGGCATGTTCTGATAGTATCCAAGATGCACCCGACAGCTTCTTCGTTTCAGTCATCATGCTTCTCAACAATCCTTTCCAGCCATCTTCTCAGCTGCGCCTACCATCACTGCTGCCAAGCCAACTTCTGAGATCGGTGTATCTGTCGAAAAAGCCTCTCCTTCGTTCGGACGTCTTTCTACCGTGTCCTCTTTTGCGTTTCAGGTTTTGTTCACGCCATGGCCACTTTTTGGCTCATCATTCTCCTCTACAGCACCGCCAATCTTTAACAGGTCACCATACGCATTTTGGAGAAGAAGATTCGAGATTCGAGATGCTGTTGACGCGCGCAGCTTGGGTGCGACGAGCAAGCGCCGAACACGAGAGCTTTTCGGATGAGTAAGGTTCTGGGTCATCGATATGCCATAAGTCTGGATCGGCTGTCACGGGAGATAAGAGAGAGAACCACATTGCAACTGACCATACCCAATTTCCTGCTCAACATGACGTTCGCGCTAACCAGTGTGCTTGTGACGAAATGGCGATACCGCTTGTCGTAAATCCGATGTGATCGGCGTTCGCTCTAAAGCGCGAGGTTGCCAGCGATGCACTATGCTAGGAACATCATTGCCGCCAACGACAGTTCGTGGCGTACAAGATGAGAATGGGAGGAGATCCGCTTTCGTCGATCGTTCGCGGACAAGCTTGATCGACTGGGACCCCTCGGGATGGGACGGAACGCACACCAGGGTAGCTCTGTCTGGTGAAGGGCCTGTTCAGTCATACGTATCGCCATGTAAGAGCCTCTTGTGCATAGCTCGTGCTGTCGGAAGCGACGGCTTGCGTCTTGGGGCGACCACGAAGGCCAACGACGACCATCCAACTCTTAGAACTGATCAAGGGCTGCTCCCGTGCATTGGCAGCCTTGGCTATTGGCAGGAGTCCGTCGCAAGTTCAGCATTTCAACTGGTCTTCGACAATAGTCGTCGTCTGGGATAACTGTGCCGTATGCGTTGCATTGTCTATCGGATTGTCGAGAACGAGCGAGGTCGCGAAGCAAGGCGCCGCAAGAGCATGGGGGATGGGCGACTTCATTCCCTAGACAGGGACGTCGAACCCAAACAAAACCGCGCTCAACGAGTCATGCGATGGCTCAAACCAAGACGCGGGTCAGTCAAGCAGGTCCATGAGAGTCGATATTGCGTACACTACAGATATCCCTGGTAAGGTCGACTGAAAAAACTTTACACCTGCATGTTACTTGAAAGCCCGTGCCACAGAAACGGTGGGGTTTCCCTGCACAATCATGTTTCCTTGGAGCTATTGAAGCATTCGTGGGCCGGTCATTTCCCGGGACTTGGATTCTGTCTTGAACATGGAGCGAATGCACTGGGGATCCTGTGCGATCATCGGCGTAGGGGTCCTACTCTCCGGGTTGGGGCCATTTGCCATGCTGTCAAACCAGCGTTATGGTGATTGTGAGAGAGTGACACGTGACACTTGACACATGCAATACCCTGGACATCACGATATATCATTACCTGTCTCTTAAAGATAGCTGCATTCCGATACAATGCTGAATCTTGCGTCATCATCCAGCCTTGGCTGTGTATTCTGATTGGTTGTCATCGCAAAGAGCAGATGCGTCCTGGGTCAGTCCTCGAAGAACGTACTCACCTCCTCCAACGGAGTATGTAGGCGGATCTTTCGGTTACAGGTTCGTTTCCTCCTTCGGCACCAAAGGCTGACAGAGACTTTCTGCAAAAGGCCCTTGCGCCCCTGCTTCGACCCGACAGTACGGGAACGGCGCAGAACCTTATTACCCACACGTCTCAGGCTCTTGTGCGGTGAGGAACATCGTCGGCGATATCTCGTCCGTGTCTTACACAAGCGGATCCCGAGAGAATACGAGGGGGAAGGGGAAAGTTGCTTATTATGCAACCCCTAGCCATCAGACCGAAATGCATCAATCGATTAAGTAGAGGAATCGTAAAAAATGTTTGGAAGCGGGCATGTGCCCGGCCTAACGTCTACGCGGAGATGCCGCGTCCCAGTCTGAAATACATGGAACGAAGTACCGAGTGCCAGATGTGTGCTTGCTTCCATTGCGATCGTTAACCCGATCCAGCTATTCCGTTCCAAGGCGTTAACAGGGCGACAGTGGCCTTCACTGCAATGGCAAGACCGTTGACTTCCAAGTCCAAGTGGTCCACCCTCCGCAATAGGTCAGCTCCCTTGACTTGGAGGATGGAATGGATTGACTCACAGCCATGAAGTCGTCTTGGAAAGACCCGCGTTAATGTTATCGATAGCGGTCAAAATCGGCACGATAGCGTAATCTATCTGATCCTGAATCTCGTGGAACATCCACATCCAAGACATGGGACTAGAGATGTTGGCCTCCTGTTGGTCTTACGTCAGACTAAAGTCCTTGTAATAGCCACATACTCTACACTTTGAAATTCGTGTCGATCCTGGTTTTGCGAACTATTGGAATTGTCTGGACTTACTAATGTCGACACCACCCATGGTTTGGAGGTGGCCATTTCTTGTCGGCCTTGGGTCCTGCGGGGAGGACCTGTGCGCCGTTGTAAAGCTCGGACCATACGTGTTCCCGGAGCGGCTTCATGCTGCATTGGGTATGGACGTTGTGGTTGGCCCGCATCAAGGGTGTCCGGAATGATGGACTATTGTTTTGGCGCTAACAACAATGAAAAACTGGTGTGCACACCACGAGCATTTTTTAGGCGACCATGGCGACGTCTTCGCCTTTGATACGGTGCGAAGCGCTGGCGGCATCATGCCGTGATCGTACTTCAAGAAACAGAGCCCGACCTCGAGCATGCCAGTGGCGTTCGTTACCAGTCTGTCGGGACAACATGATTGTTTGCTTGCGAAAGGAAACTATGCTCCGATGTCTTGAGGAATTGTTGTTGGAACGAAATGGTGCATCTTACCCTTCCCCCCCAGCTCGCATATCACACCGAACCACCAACGACGTTCGCGCACCTTGACTCGAAGCCAAGGGTGTGTTGTCGACCGGCTAACAGATGATGGTTCAAGCTCAGTAGTGGCCTGTTCATCATTAAGCTAGTCCCGCCCATGATGCGCTGTGATTGAAATACAAGCACAAAGGGCACGGCGGAAAGACGGAAGACGTCGTGGCCCGAGTCAGAATAGGGTCAATATTCGCAGTCCCTCCAACATAGGCGCAGAGTGGAGCGCTGATCTCGTCGAACGACCTGAAAGTCTCATCCTGGCTCCAGCATACATACATAGTAGACCTGTACAATGATGGTATGGGTAAGTTTAAACTCCCTACCAGGTAGTGTGGGTCTGGCCTAGCTAAAGCAGTGACTGTCGGAAACGGACAATTCACCAGAGTACGACTTTCTTAAGTTAGCCGAGTGGAAGGCGCCTGCACGGCGATTAGGGTCTACAAGTCCGTTGTTCCGCTCCGGCAACAGGGTTGACCGCGAGACCACCAGGCCTGGGGCAAGACCGAACACATCGTTTAGACCACTTGCGACATGACCAACAGTGTTTGATCACTACTCAGCGCAATGATTGTCATTCGACTGCGAATGCGAAGAAGAGCAGCCCTGCTGTCTCGTCGCCTGGCTCTCGCCAACGGCAAACACGGTGTGGACGAGTCCAGATCTGTTGCGCCTCGATGACTATTCATGCCATTGCGTCGTCTGACATTATCAATTATCTCCTCATTCTTGAGCACTCACCTGCATTCATTACCGATGTCGAGAGTTCTCTTGCGCTTTCAGCTCCCAGCTTCAGACGGACATGTCCCAGCTACCGACCCAGCCGCCGCGTAGGCCGGCGGCTCACTTGTCATATGAAAGAAACCTTACCTATCAACAATACATAGCAGCAGGCTCTTTGAGACAAGCTGATGTCTCGTCAGAGCCTTTCAAAAATGACCGTCAATGTGTCCGCGATAGCCCAGCGACCATGAATGCTCAGTCCGCCGTTTCGGATCTGCGGCAGTCGCCTCCGTCACATAACACAATTGATATCGATAGCCTACTGGCTAAGCTTCAAGACCCAGCAACATAGTTGTCCCCAAGGCAAGTAATGAGAGCCTAACTCATCCCTGGTTCATGACTGATCGAAAACAGCTCTCTCGAGGACCTCACGCTGTCTGGCGCACAGCCAAGTTCGCGTTGGTAGGCCCAGCCATCAGCGGCACTCACAAAAAATAGGGACAGCATTGCAGAACGATCAGAGCTACTGAAAGAAGTTCTCTGCAGATTCGAAAAAGCCCACCAAGTCCAACAAAAACATAATGGCTACTGGAACGAGCAGTGAGCTATCGTTACCCTGTAGGCACGTAGCACAAGTTCTGACGATGTTAGAATTGGGCGTATCACGGCTGATGTAAGCAAAATCAAGAAGTCTTTAGACTCATGGATACCGCCACTCTCATCCGCTGGGAACAGTTCTGGGGACGGAACCCAATGATGGACGGCAACCTCGTTCCGAAACTCTTGAATGGATGGCAGCAGTATGTCGGCCGTTGTAATTGTGACTGAGCAAGGCCTACGTAACTGTGCCAGAGCATGCACTAGATACATTCGCAATTCTTCTTGGCCGAGCAGTTAGGAGGTGGTCAGCATGGTATGTGCTATCGGTGGGGTCAGTGGTCATCGCATCTATTCTTCGATTGATGGTGCACATCTTCAGCCAACGGAGAACTGGCGTGAGTGAGAGTGATATGGCTTAGCTGGTGATTCATGTCGGTGTGATTGAATTGCGTTCATGATCAGATTGTGACCAGGGTGGTGTTGATCTCTGCTAGAGACGGTGTGGTTATGGTGCTGAATCTTACGACCTGGTCAGGAGTATTCGGATAGACTCCGTGTTCGAGAATGTTTTAGGTGCCTCCAATGTAGCGTAGTGACCGTGCCGAACCCAAATCAAAGCCTGGCCGAGTATTCATAGAGAGGTCGTCATGTGGCTACTCTTGGAAGGTTTACGTTGCTTGAAAAGTCTCGATTCAGAAACATACTGTTCGCCTTTTTCTTCAACGCTAGACAACACTTTGAATAGAAAGTCAACCTGAGTTCTCGGCCCCTCCTCAGGGCGCTGCACCTCAGCCGGTTCTGGCGCCTTGATCTCTTCAACTGCTCGAAATCGCGACATTTACCCCTACGACGATGTGACTGCCTCCTCTTACGACGGCCGTCGGTTGGCCGGGTCATGTCGTCAGCGAACCCTTCGGGCCTGACGAGCCTCGCAATGCCTTCAATGCGTTCTTACGGCCGCCTTGATGTTTCCAATACCATTCAGCGAGTTCGTTATCAGCGTCGGGTATATTCGCTTCGTGCCCACACGAAGGTTGGGAGATCCGACCCAGATGACCTCTAAGTAGATCCTGCTACCGGGCCCTCTCGTGTGAGATAGTATCTCGAAAAATTGCCATAGCTCTGGATCTACCATGGCCCCCTCCCGTCCGCCCTCCAGAGAATCCCAGTGGGCAAACAAACTCAACGCATGATATTTCTGGACGTCAATCTCCGGCTCCCAGCTCTCTGATTCTCCCTCCCAGTGGATCTCATCTCGAAACGGGTGTCGCAGCTTTGGTCGTAGCGATGCTCGAGGATTAAGCATCGGTCGACATATCGGGCAGTTGGATAATGAGAACCGCTTTCTGGTTGTAGTAGAGAAGACCAGCATTACGTATCGTTTTGATGATGGATTTCACGTGTAAGTGTATGTATGGGAGACAACAGATTCGAGACGATGAAAGAAAGCCGAACGACCTAGTGGGCTAGTCGAGTTATTCAACAGGTCGAGCAGTCGTCCAACAGGGTCCTACACCGACGGAGACGTAGCACATCAGTGAAAATGGGCCGCCTTTTGGAGCGAAGCGGGCGCTTGGTGGGGAACACGGCCCAATCAAAAGCATCGGTACGCTCTTGCCATGGGAGCGTTGGACTCGTATACTGCACTTGTCGCTGGCCCTGAAAGACTCGTCAATCCGCTTGTGGCTCTGCCGTTTTGCTGCTGGGTTGTGAATTCGGGCTTTTGGGCACGTTCCGCGCGCGATTTCGGAGCGCGGCCTTCGGATTCGTCCAATGGCCGGGCGGCGGGGTCTAGCGGCCGGGCCTCCGCCGCGGCGCTCGGGCTAGGGCCTCCGATTTGGATATGATAACGGCCGCATGGGCCACTTCCGAAAGATGTCAGTGAACCATGATGGGTATCGCGCATGCCAAGAGGTCTGGCTATGTTCACGACAAATACGGTTCATCATGTCCCTTCGGGTGGGGTCGTCTGGTGATGGCAGGTTGACGAGAATTGAATCAAACATCTACAGATGATAATGAACATCGTCGACGACGTCCAGACTGTTTCGTAAGTGCATCTATTTTGAGACATCCTTCGCCTTTCCATTGAACACCACAGACGCGTATCCTTACTCTTTGATGATGACTCGTGAACCGGCTCCTGCTATCAACTTTCACCAGACCCATGTGTTTGTCCTCAGATACCCAGTATTTTTATAGGCACGCTGTTGGCTATATACGGGCTGGGCTGAAGATCTGAACGTGGCTTCCGAACTACCGGGCGAATAGACAACCTCGGAAATCCCTCTTGCATACAGTGTGGCGGCAGCATAGTGTCACGCGTTGCTTCCCACGCGACGTCTCTAAGCAGAAGAGGCATCCGACACTGAAGATTCTCCCTTTTCGCTGTCTGATCTTCTGAGCGTGTTCAAGGCAGTCCCCGCGGCGTTTCGTCGATAGCAGACCATGCAACACTACTAAGTCAGCTGGTAAGCAACTTTGCGAGGTACAATAGAGAGAAAGAACTATGGAGAGGAGGAACTTCTACACTGACAGCCCTGATACTCAAAAAGCTCGCTTTCTGTCGCTCGTCAAGACCTGCAATCACGGCATTGAATGGAATGGAATATCAGGTTCGTTGATGTTGAACAATAGACGCCGGCCTGTCTCTGCTCGGAGACGCGCCGGCTGGCAAGTTAAAAACCTCGTCTTCCTGCGTCAGGTCAATGACAATACGTATGCGCGCAGCTCGGTTCGCCGTGAAGGTTGATTTCGCAGTCGTCGGCCTTATCTAGCAGCCATGCAACGAGATCTCGGGGTGGGCACCGGAAGCCGGGTGGGGCAGGATCGCCCTCAGGGAGAAAAGCGTGATCTGGTTTAACGAAGTCGGCAAACTAGCATTTGACGAGCGAATGGTCAGTCTGTGTTCCAATCGGTAGACGACGAGCATATCTTGCAGCAGGGAATTGGACAGGCGGTGGCACTCTCATCCGGGTTTCAGAGGAAGTGTGTATCCGTACCTCGATGCGCACATCATGCGGCAGTCGGTGCAACCCCCGTCTGATTGCCTGCAGATCGTTGACGAGCGTGGCGAGCAAGGAAGGTAACTCGGCGCGCCTCTTAGCAAACTTGCAATGAACAAAGTGGTCAGCCTGAAGAGCTCGTCTCCTCAACTGTTTCGAAGGCGAGGACATTCGTGATAAAATTTCTAGACGCCGATGAAAGGCTAGGCGTGGATGTGCGTGCGATTCATCGGTCGTTGAGCTGTGACGCTCGCGGCGTGGAATGGATGTCGTGGATATTGGGAAGGGCTCGCGCTTTGCTCTTCGTCGCCGTCGTTGTGCTGCTGGCTGCCGTCATGCTTTTGTTTGAGTCCTGTGAGAGGCGTGGATTCCACGAGACAATAAGCGGAACAGGGCGAGTGTGACGATGCCGGCGATAATGAAACCCTCGACTCGGAGTCAGGAGGGATGCGGCGTCGCTTTCGCGGATGGCCGGGCTGCGCCTGTTCGCCGTGTTTGTCGTGCTCGTCGGGGGTCTGGAAAGTAGCCAGCCAGGCATGAATTTCGTCATTGAAGCCGCACGTTAATGTGGCCGGTGGCGATGAAGGCGAATGGTGAAGGTTGCGATGGACAACTGATAACCATCGGCAGATGCTGTGGTTGCGATGGATCGTTTTTCGTTGGCTGGAGACAACCAGTACGATGCGCGTTAGCGGCGTCGGTCCTTTTTCCGGCTCCCAGTAGGCTCACAGGTGCCCGTGCTTGAACGTTTTCACGGATGGGGTTAAACAGCGAACGCTACTTTGCAGGGCCAAGAAAAGAAGCTCAGCCGGAACACAGGTAACGGTTGCGTTGACCCATGACATTGGGATGTCTGCTGGTCGAGGCAGCAGGAAATCGCTGCGACGCTTGGAAGACGCGCTCCCCACCATACATACGCTGAGTAACCCATCGTGGACTATCCGTGCAGTAAGTCTCCTGCCTTCTCGGGTGCGCTTGTAGCGCCCTGTCAGTGGCCCCTGGTAGGGGCAGACGCTCAATTGGGCGGTCACGAAGGGACTTCGCCGGGGAGAATTCGATGTACCAAGCTGGCATTTTGAGCGAGGTGGACTTGGGCAAGGGTGACGACTTCATCTCGTCTGCCCTAGTGAGACCTTGTCTGCCCGGACGGGCGGAGGTTGGAGAGGCGCTGTTAGCCATTCCAAGGCGCTTGCGGTAGATCGTCGGTCTCGACGCCGTAGACTTGAAAGCCGCTAGAGATGCCGTTGGTTCGGATCGAATGGTTGGTGATTCGAATTGCGGCACATGGGATTAGATCATCGAACTAGACGCGACGCAGGCGCTCGTCCACGGAGCCCACCATCTTGAAGGTGCAGCGGGACCCGTCTTCCCGACCGTTTATTGGCTTCTAGGGTAATCTCGCCAGGCACAGCCCGCAGCTCGTCAAAGAGCTGTTGGTCCAAGAAAGCAGGATCGAGATACCTACCCAAGGCAACGGCGACACGCAGGTTCTCGAGGGGAACCATCCGTGCACGGCCTTCCTCCGCTGCAGGCAAGGCGACGCTGGCGCTGTGAGTGACGCACCAACCCAACAGGCGTAGTCATGCGTGTGAACTGCACGCCAAGCTTCCATCCTTGGTCCCTGGGCTTTTCGGTGTGAGCACAAACGGCCACGTGCTGCCTCGAGAATAGCAACGCAAACAGCCTGCGACCCTCGCACGTGCTCCGGAGCCCACGCCTGCCACAGAATACCGCCATCGCCTTGGAGCAGTCAAGATCTCGAGACGAAACGAGAGTCGAAGTCTCAGATCGCCTCCGTAACAGGGTCTATAGGGCAGCAAACTTGTGTGACGGAGGGTCGAGGTTGGCGATATTGCGCCTGCTTAAATGTGGTGCTATGGATAGTGTAAATCCACTCGCGTGACCGCAGCTGAAATCCCCCTGAATTGTGATGACTACGTAGCGGGTGGCCGAAGGGGCTTCATTGTGCTGTGTTCGGACCCACATGTCAATGCTGTTCAGCGCCGATGGTGGGCACTTTCAAGAAGATCCCTAGAATATGCCGCTACCCACACTATCCTGACTCCAAATTTTGTTTGCACGTAGGCCGCCGTAGCCATTACCAGATGCTTGAAGAGGCTCATCACGGCAGCTTTCAACGTCCCAAACACGTCCCAAACATTGATGATATGTGCAAAAGAGGAAGCGACATATGCTGCAACGCGCATACGCTTGCATGTCGCCATCCGGGGGAGTTGTTTGTTGGAACAAACATCACAAATGGCGCAAGCAGTTGGGACGTTACTGCAATCTGGCCTCGCCGACATTGGACAAGCAGAGCCGACGACCCAAAAGCCACGATAGTCGGTCAAAGACCGATCGCAAGCTACTTCCTGGCCGATCCGATACACGACATACGCGTTGCGTCGATTGCAGCAAACCGAAGTGAACGACGCAGCGCGACGTTTGTCCATGCAACACCAATCCAAAGCTGTCCACGGTACGCGAGATAGCAGAAGGGAAACCGCAACAACCATGTAGGCTTTGTGTCTCAGAACGCGACTGTACATGCCCGCATGTGGAGCGGGCCAGCCGCCTCCAACGGAAAACTGCATCGGCATCACCATGGTCACCAACGCAAAACCTAGCGCGTCTAGGTAGACAGGCAAGCAAGCACAAGGGTGCGGATGAGTGTGCCCGACTCTGTAGTCAATTGGACTACCTTCGAAAAGTTCTGACCATCACTGTGATCAGTAAAAGCCAACATAGGGTGACGTGATGCGTCTCGCAGGTTTGCTAGCTTGCTTGGCTTAGAGGACCACCGCAATTGAAGGGATGTGGCAGGACGTTCAAGCCTCATGGCGTTGCCTGTAATCTGCCCGAGGGAGCGCGATGAGCAAACAGCTTGCAGGCCTCGGTCGGTCCTAGACCACGCTCAATATTGGGTGTTCGTACTGTGGCAAGCAGGAAGATCCTGGCGCAGTCGCAAGGGGAGTGGCGCGTCCTCCATTGCTCCCCATCTTGTTATGACTGATCGTTAGTACTGGGGGTCGACTTAGCAACAGGTTAGCTGTTGGGATAGCAATGTTAATCTAACCGGCCAATGTCGATTTAACAGAATATAACAGATTGAACATGTAGCTTCCTAACTGCTTGCAATGACAACGGATAGCAAGCGACTAGGTCGAAACACAGAAAAAGAGGAAGAAAAAGCATAAAAGCCCATGCTTGCGCGCCACGAGAGCAATGTGGAACTCATCAGAAGGCATTCAGACAAAATCAGTTTCCTCGCGTCCTCTATCCGATGTCGTTACCGGCCCACTCGTCCCACGGTCCGAATGCACCAGCGTTCCGCCCGCTAGTCTTTCTAAGACCCGGAGTTACGCCTCTTCTGCCGGCCGAACCCACGAACCCGGGGCCGCAGGTAGGCCTACCTCTCTATCATCTCCATGCTGTCATTAACTAACAAGACGGTTGTGAATTAGCGACGAACCCTGTTTCTTGATCCCAATCGCGAGGCTCAAGATGCGCTGCAGTATCTGTCGATCGCGCGAAAAGAGCTGGTTCTTATATGTAATGAGCGTTGCCGGATAAACGAAGAACATCTGTACATGTTTCGTCTGCCCATCGCGCTTCCAGCTCATGGTGTCAGCGGAGAGTGTCAAAGCAAGTATTATCGTGCTCTGGGTCTGGAGACTCAAACGCTCCATCTTGATCGGCGCGAGCGTGCGTTGAGAGAGGGCTGCCAGAAGGCCCACCAAACTTTGCTGCGTCAGTTAGCCACATTCGGTGGCATCATGGAAATCTCAGCCATCGCAACCGAATCGCAGATGGGACGACAAGAGCAACCAATAAAGCGCCGCAGAACAAGCAACGCGTGAAATTCCTAGCCTTTATCTGCACCTGCTGGTGGCGCAGATGAACGGGAGTCGCATGGGTGCAGAGACGTGCATTGTACGGCTTGGACGTACGTAAGCGGAGGAAGGAACGTGCGTGACAAACATTTGGGGGGAGGGGGCGAGGGTTGAAAGTTCTAAGACACTGTATACAGCGTAACCAAGACCTTTGGCTGGATGTGCAATTGGACAGAAAAGTTGTGTCATGTACTGTGCCCAGAGCCGGATGCGCCCCCCCCTTTTTTCCTTTTGTGTCGTTCCCTGCTCTCGACGTTCGCTTTGTTAGACGCTGGTGTCGGTTACATCCCCACCGAATGTGATGTTTGTCTTTGGCGAGTTGTTGACGACAGCCACTCATTCGGAAAGAAAAATGGCCGCTGTCCTCGATGAAGCCTTGATACGATCTGGCCGTGTTGACAAGCAGATCAAGTTCCAGCTTGCAGAGGCTGACGTGGTCAGAAGGTATTCAACACTCTATTTCAACAATCGGAAGAGGAGCGGCCTGACTTGGACGACCGAGAAGACAGCAATGAGGAAATCCGGCGACTGGCAGATCAATTTGCAGCCCTAGTGCCGGAGCTGGAGTTCAGTCCCGCCGACATTTTTTCCTTCCTCATAGCAAACAGAGACTCGCCCTCAGGCACTTTGGCCGAGGTGCAGAGATGGGTGTCCCATACTAGAGAGGAAAGAGCGCTGAGATTCATGGGTTCGGAGTGATCAGTTCGTGGTGATCTCTATGCTCTAGCTTCTCCTTGGTTTCATTTTTTTGACATCAGCCCAACTCTTTTTCATTCTTTACATATGTCGCACCATCTTGGCCACATTGGTAGCAGCTAATGGGCCGAGAGGTGGGCGACAGCGGAACTTTGCCGGCTCGAAATCCACTAATATAATATTACCACCCCCTGTGTCGCGTAATACGTTGGTCCACCACCCTATCCGCGCGTTGTCTCGTGTCCAACGCTGTTTCTCGCAAGTTGTGGTATATATTCTGCAGAGCATGGCATTGATCTCCCGGCACGTACGCCGATGCCGCCACCACCAGCCGCTTCTCAAGCCGAACAACGGCCGCCGTCGCCTCGGGCGACTCCACCCGTATCTGTTCCGCTACAACCTCCTTGTTCACCCACAGCATACTCCTGATCGCCCATCTACCCTCTCTGCACGTTGACGGGACCATCTGAGTGCACCGCTGGTGCCCCATCGGGGTCGTGAGGAGGCGGCCTTGGATAACCATCGCCTGCGGCTCCTGGAAGTTCCCAATTAGCAGGCGAGCCCTTTTGCCCCATAAATGCATGAAGCCGTTTGTGGCTCAAAACGCTGGGGTGAGGTGCCCTCCCTCGACTTCCGACTCCCAACAGCACCAGTCGAGCCGCTTTGTCAAAGGCGCAATTAACTTACTCGCGTACACTAGACTAAGTGTCATAGATTTTGTCGTCCCATGGAGTTTATAACTTACAAGCTGTGTACAAATGCCACGAGGCTTGAGTTGTCGACCTTATCGCTCCTCAAGTATCCCCTCGAGTGCTAAAACATATCATTTTTGGCCAACGCGGGCCTTTGAGATTTGTTGCCGAGAAAGTTTTACCCAATTCAAAGATACTGTACATCGGTGCAACTGTCAAGATAATCTACGTTGTTCCACATGCTCATGAGTCGGGCAACAAATACTCGTTTAGCTTGTTGAGCTTAGAAGACTGATCAAGGTGACGCGACTTTGCTTGCTGCTGTCAGACAACACCATCCAGCCACAAAATAATAAACTCGTGGAAGTAACTACGCGCGTATTTCAGAGATGTTCTTTCAGTGCACATTTTGTTGGATGTGTTTAGACGGTGTAGATGGCTGTGGGAGGGTCCCTGGGGCTTTCGTGGATGCAGTGTAATGGATGTAATTATCTGGGGATGTGGTTTGAGTGATATGGTCGGAGCTTCCAGTGTGGGCATCTCGTGCTGGCCACAGCAGCTAGACCCCAATTGAGGGATGGAAAGGTATGAGAGGCTGATCCGAACTTTTACCGGACGGCGGTGCTTACCCGAGGTTCGTGAGAACGGGTTATGGGTTTACCCGATAGCTGCCCTAGACCCTATCGGGAGCAACCCCTGGCCTGATTGTTAAAACGATTATATAAGCCTAGCTCGCACTTCCCCCTGATTCTGATCGTGTTTCCACCGCTATCACGTTGTCAAGCTATCAAGCCTTCATTCATAATGCAAGCGCGTCTTTGTTTTCGTCAACAAAGACTTGGTCTCAAGAGGTGTGTGAATGCCCAAGTCTTCCAAAAACGCTCTTTCCACCGGGCAAAGGCGCGTGTCACAACCATCAATCCCACTGGATTCCCAGTTTCATCCGAAACTGAAATCCGGGTTGGCGAGCCACACGAAGCATATATCTATCTTGAGCCGGATATCGGGAACGCAATCAAATCGTCAATTGTGCGACAAATCGGGTTAGAACTGACACAGGAACCGGAGAAACTCCCGTTGGATTTCAACCACAAATCACATCATTTTGCTCACAGTTTGTAGCTCTCCAACATACTTACTTGACATCCCATTGATGCATTCCAGAGGCTTTACCATTTCCTCGGGTTGAAATCACCCAGGACCTTCCCCGCCAGACTACTGGCGATATTAGCCCGGCCACGCTTTGGCTCTCGGGTAACTGGCACGCTGTAACGCTTGATGGAACACCTGATGGTAAGTGTTCAAACTTCGGTGCTCTACTCTGAGTATCTAATGCGTTTTAGCGGTCTTTGAGCGAGCATCGCGAGATAGTGCTAATGAGCTTGAGGGCACATTGGAGAAGCTCAAGCAGCAGTAGAATTGTCGTATGGAATGATGAGCCAGGCTCTTACAGTAATCTGCTCGGCTGATGTACACTGTCTATTGCCACTACATCCATTCTTCTGACTCTCCACTATGTCAAATATTGCTCCCTTCCTAGTCGTGACGAACAGCCTCGTGTACCGGTCTATGAATGTCATTAGAGCTGCTCCGACCCTGCCACATATTGTCGAATCTCGCCACTGATTTTGCTGACAGGCTTCGCAATGCTTCTGTAGTGTTCTGCTAAGTTCTTAGCAGTCCATCGCTTCGCCGCAATTGCCACATGGGCATCCTTCAGACCGTCGTTAACGTTATCACTGCCAAACGGGGTTTTCTGCAGCTGGAAACCGTTGATTTTTAGGAACATGTCTGCCGCCAGGAGTGCAATCCTTTTGTTGCCGTCTTGATAAGCATGGTTAAGGATGATTCTCTCCGCAAGGATTCCCGCAAGCTGAAAGATATCGTTTTGGCCATGGTAGTTTTTGTTGTTCTGTGGCGAGGAAACTGCGGACTCCAGCAGCGGTAGTTGAGTTGGGCGAACCCGGGTGACATGAGTCTCATAAAGCCGCATGATTTGGGTAGTGCTGAGAAAGCGAAGGACTCCACTTGAGGATGACATAACGGCAGAGTGAATTAGGCGAGCCGAGCTTTTGGGGACTCTGGAAACGAGGAATTGACAGCCAGACTAAAGAGAAAAAAAATGAAGATCGCGAGCAAGTTTGTTTGCTTTAAATGGTCGGAGTGAAGGTTAGGCGGGCGCCTATCAACCCTCATGGTCACTCTCCCCTAGCAAGAGACGAGGAGACCTTGCAGTTTCATTCAGAACAACCAGCCAAACCAACTGAATCAACCCAACCAACCAACTATTGCTTCGCGATCGCATCGACCAACCAAATATAAGGCCAAAGCTGGGTTCAGTGCTCTGAGTAAAACGCTGTTCGAAAATAGTACGGGGTACTCGAGGATAACCAATAGCTCTGCGGCATTCCCTTGTAAGCGCTAAACTGACAATATTACTCAATTTTCTCTCTTAGCTATGGAGGACCAACAAGTGCTGCTGTAAGTGGTAGGGCTATGGGCGTCCGGCTGCAGAGCAGGCCTACCCACATCAAGCCATTCGCTTCACGTTTCAAGCGCCGTCCAGCGCTAAGCTGTGGGTCACTTCCCCGGCTAAAGCTCAGTGAAGGATTGCTCACAATGCTTCACTTCATGGTCGAGACAATGCAATCCATCATCTTGCTTACTTCAGTGCAGCTGCCTTTGGCTTCCTGCGAGCCTTTGAAATGCCTGCGCAACCCTTTTGACCCTGTGCTTTGAATTCTCTTGCGGGGTCGACCGACACTCGGCCAGCTTCAAAGTTGCAAAGTCTCTTTGGCGACCACACGGGTTGCCTAGACATGTGTGGTTGTTTACGGTTCCCGAATGATGGACTCAACTCCTGTCCAGAGGTGTCCTCCGTGCGTGGTGGCGTTTTTGCTCGGTGTATTAGTCCTAGGGTGTCTCTTCCTATTTTGATTTTGATTTTTCTCGGCGATTGGCCTCGGGGCCTAGTTGATCCTCACCGAGAGATTGCCTACCCAGATTTCGACTTGCTCCGCATCTCCGGCGCATAGCGTAGGGATTTGGGTCTGGGCCCGGCTATCACATGCACGTAGATCCGCGTCAGGACGTCAGGCGCCTGATCTGAGGATTAGGAAGGAGTACCTCAGACCCAGCTTACCTATCTTAGCCTTCTTCACGTGAGGAAGGTATGGGAATGATTTCAATTTATTTACAGCTTGCGGGAGACGTGCTCTTAATTGGCCAATCTCGTACCAAGGGGCATGATTTGCCGCTAATTGCTTACAGGCTAGGAGATTGCTGGTGTTCAGAGAGTGGCGAGATACAGGTCTACGAGTATCGTGATGGACCGACTACCAATATGGATGGCGTCGATCCGGAATTTTCCCAGGAGCTGGTCGAGTATCTACGCGTCAACAACTTGACGACGATCCTCGGACTTGAAGTTCTTGCCAAAGAAGTTCCGGAGATAATGTGTGAGTTCATCCTCAAAGACAACAGCACCGTCATGTTGGACGCGAGAGATATCAAGAAATGGACGTCCTACCGCTTTACTGGATTCGCTGTCAATGGGCCAGGAATGACTGAGCGCAAGGGCAATCAAAGCCATGCCAGGGCTGTCAGGAATACCAACCAGGTTTTCACTGATCGGAAGATTGGGAAAGAAGATTTTCTCATGGATGTTCTCCGGGCTGAGGATATCGTTCATTAAGTTTTCAGGAAGATGGCATTTGGCACAGCTCAGAGGATTTCAGGAATTACTACTGTCACTACCGGACTATCTCTATGTAACTTTGGATAACTCAATTCGACCAACCCCGTTCGGTACAAACGCTTATCTTCCATCGCCTGAAACCTTCGTTGATGGCCCGCCTCGACTCTCCATTCGCGGCCTCTACCAATTTCCCTCCACATATTCTTCCAGAGTCCTATGCCTTTGTCCAAGCCCTGTCTCATTGTGAAGCTAGTCTTTTCAGAGTTCACGTTATACCTGCTCGAGAGCGGCCATGTCTCCTTGCTAGATGGTTCGCAACGGTTACGCCAACACAAATGATCCTGCTTGCGCTTTAGGGGCCCAGTCACAATTGTGCAAAATGCATCGAGATACGCCAGGGAAGAGGCATCAGACAGATCCACCACACCTCTCACAACTTTGCCTTCTACATTGAAGCCGTACCGGCAGAACAGGCCAAGCATCCTCGTAGCCCGGATGAACTGCAAATCAACCTCCGATGCATTTTTAGCTTCCTTCAAGAAGGTCTGCCAAAAGATATCCTCAAGTTCGTGGCGGTTGTCATAGTACTACCATCCCTCAGAATCCATATATCCTAGAACATTCTCAAACCTCCACAGCGAAAAGCCGAATGGAAGGATTGCTACTTTGGCCCAGTCGACAATCCCCGTAATGTTTCCGGTTTTGGAGTTTACGAGGAGGTTCATCTCGCAGAGGTCGCCATGACTGAGAACGAAAGGAAGTGTACCTGAGAAGAGCGAAGGGAGCACTTGCCGAGCTCTGCTTAAGTTCGACGCAAAACGGGGAAGAAATGATGGAGCAAGAATGTCAACCTTGGAGCTTAACACGGTGCTGCGCGGCCGGGAACAGCACCACCTGGCTGAGGAACAGAGCTATGGCGCGCAATAATGTAAGCGGTTCCAGGAATGTTGTCCATCTCGTAGATGTGGATGGGCCGCAATTCGCCGATGGTTCCGTGATATTTGCAGCCAGCAACAAGTTGCGGATGAACTACACCGACGCACCGCCGCTGGCCTACATATCAAAGGATCGCTTCGGTTGGAAATGGGAAGAATATCCGCCGCGTCTGGCCGTCCGGCTTACCTCAATGCCTTCTTCTGTCTGTCTTCATTACCTTTCTTTTGAACATCCGCGTGTTCTTACTACTCGAACGAAATCGGGCCATGCCTGACCCTCAGGTCGATACCTCCGGCTGGATCTGCGCCATCACGACATGACAAGCTTCATCTTCCAATTCCTTGCTCGCAACTTGAATTCATCCGCCAACCCTCTATAACAAGCCTGGAACCGAGCCTGATATGTGACAGAATACACGACGCCAGTCCGAATCTAATTCTTACTGCCGCCTATGTAGGTCTCGAACGTTCGGTCATCTGCAAGACTTGGCTCTCTTGCCGTGTGCAGGCAATGGCCAGTGGCTGACGAGAAGCCAACGGCTGCCTGGAATTGCCTATTCAGTGAGAGCCGACATGAGAAGCTGACACACGCCTGCGATGTGGTTATTAGTGGGTGTTACTAGGCCTCGAGTATATATTACAGAAGTTGCAACTGCGATTTTCCGCCACTACCTGCATCTCATTCCTGTCACCAATTGTTACCCTCACTCATAATTAAACTTAATCACCGAAGCGATTATATACAAGATGGCCGATAAATGTGCGCACAATGGATGCGACAGCTGGGCGCTGAGCGGCGGTCGGTACTGTGCTACTCGTGAGCATCCCCATACTTTTCCGTAGGACATTATCTGAAACGATCACAGATAAGCCCTCTGGCGCACAGAGCCATCTTGGTGTGGTTCTTAACGATGACGGAGCTCGAGTTCCTCTCCACATTGACCATGGGAGCCTCCCTATCTAGCCCCTGTCTTATGCGAGATTTGGAATTCATCAGAGATTGTTGAGATTTTGACATGGAGGATCTTGTTCCATTACCGAGAGATTAGGCGCGGAAAGACGAATAAAAGAACCTCGTCGAGCAAGCAATAGGTGTGCAAGCACAATGGCACGATTTTGGTCCCATTGCAGTCAATTTACAAAGGACGTAACATGCTGCATTTCCGACTGCTACCATCTTGAAGAACGACTTATTTATTGTGCGCACTAAAAGTGACACAAACCTCGAGACCCGTTTCACTGGTCTTCCTCATCCACTTGAAGCCGAAGCAGACCCTGAAGCAATTCGTCGTTTTTCCACTTGCGCAGGGCTTTGCCCTTCCACTTCTCCCACCCCTCCCACGTTTCGCCTTCGAAGTTGAAGGCCGCTTTGAGTCCTTCAAAGAGATCTAAAAGGGTTCGTCGGTCTGAAGGACTTTCAGGACCCAGAGCGAAGAAGAATCTCTGAACCTGTCTGCCAAGGAGGACACACTTCGAAAGATCTTCACGGCTCCTTTCCTGAAAGATTTCTGCTAGCCGCTTTTCATCTGGGGCTAACTCATTGGAGCCTTCATAGAACTTCCCCAGCGGCCACATCATACAAGGCGAGGTGAAAGCCTCCACCTTCGAAGCAGTCCGGGTCCACTCCCAGTCTATAATTCCAACGATGTCGTAAGATTCATTAACGAGAATGTGGTCGCCCTTGTCATCCGGATGCTTAAGGAAAAACCGCCCCCCTGCCGACTCATCCCCCCAAAGCTTGTTGGCAATATCCAGGCGGAAACGATGCGTGAGGTAAGTGTCTACCGAATGGTAGGCACTGATCTCGCCACTGGCTATCATCGTGAGATATGACTTGATCATGTTGATTGACCCCTCTAGTGAAGAAGTGAAAGGACCAAGCGGCCCTTCAGGTCCAATTGTGTATGTTGCATGTTGTGCGATGCCTTGCACCACAAAGCTGGTGGAGTCTGAAACGGTGATGAGTGACCCCAAAGCTTCGAAAGGATGTCTTTCAATTTCCAGAAACACATCCACCAGCTGTTGCATGACTTTCTCTCTTTGTGCCGGATTTGCCGCTTGCCAGACTAAGGGCATTCCATCAAGCTTCTCCATTAGGATGTAGCTGACTCCAATTTGGTTATCCGGATCGGACGCGCAAGCCCAGTCGAAGATTCTGGGGACCGGAATGCTGGTGCGGTCATGGAGATAGGTTAGAGTGCCCGCTTCGGAGCGAAAAATGAAGTCACGGACTTGTTCTGGTGGTGAGGTGGTCCTGGCGAGACGAAAACGTGCCAGCCAACTAACTCCATCTTCAAAGATGATTTCGGCGTGACAGTTCTGATGTCCCATCATAGAAGACAGATGTTTGCGGGACAGGTTAACAGTACATTGAATGCCGTCCCTTAGTTCTGATGCCCTCGAACATAAGTTAGAATTGTCTATTCGATGACATAGCTCGTCTATATGACGGTCCTCAGTGGCCGCGTATTGGGCAGAGAAGGATGACCAGTTTTCCTAAACGTGAAAGGCATAAGCTTATGTTTAGACATACTCTAGAGTGGGGATTACAGACCTCTGGATTTGGGCAGTTGTGGAACGATTTGGAAAGATGTTTGCTACAAAGGTGTTTGTCGCAGCACAAACAGCATCCTTCTCTTTGAACAGCCGGATTTGAACACTTTTCAAAGTCGCACAACCACAGAGGCATCGCGAGGGTTTCGCGTCACGGAAAGCTTAGTCGGTTGAGAATGCTGAGGGAATCGGGAAAAATGGTGATCAAGGGAGAAAATGATGGGTAGCATTGACCTTAACCCCTAAAGCTTAGTCACCGGCTTTCTGCACCAGCCGCTTGTCAGCTTCGCGGGTTGAGACTTGCATCTGCCCCGCTCGAACGAGCTCCATCTAGCCAATAACGAACTCCATTAGAGGCGCCCAAAGTCCTTTCAGCTGCTCGATTGTTTCTCGTTACTGTGCCTGTGCTAGCGAGGCCGACAGCTGGCGACCTGCAGCGGCTCGCTTACAGTACACTGTAACCTTTTGCACGAAGCAAGTTTTATTGAGGCATGATCTGCACGATACAGTTAAGGCGCCATAACCATGTCTGTAGCGGCAGAGGAGCAAAGACAGGCGCACAACAGCTTCCTCGAACAAGCTGGATCCCTGGCATCTTACGTAGTAAACCATGTCGAACCGCACCCAATTCCGGCCCTGTTTGCTTTGGCCGTGTACACTTCTGGCTTTATTCAATTTTGGCTCTGTTAGTGACTGCTTCCTAGGTACCTACTTCCCACAAGCGTAATCTGCCAAGCCAAGTGAGCAACGGCTCCACACCACCACTACTAAAGATGTTAATTGAAACATCTGGCGAAGCCCGTTACGCCTTTTACTGTATAAGCCGAGCAGCACCTTCATTGAAAACCCTTACAGCCAAAGTCAGCAATTGCATTGTGGTCGTGGTTCAGACCTGTGTCGCGTTACCCAGGATCCACAAACGGCGGTGATAAATGCAGTACCGGTTTTCAGCCACTCAGCGTCTCAAGTACGGCCAAATCGGCCGCCGTCCCAAGGTCGCGCGAGCTGGGTGCGCAGAAAGCGGATTTGGAAGGCTGTTGGCGTGATGGGCTCTGGTGTCAGCAGCTTTGGACTCGGAGTATGGTACAATTCAATTGGTGCTGCTTGAGGGCGCAATGTGGAGCCACACTCGGCCGTCCCATTGAATGTTCTTGGTATTGTACCATACCATGTATCGGCCTAGCGGTTGCTTTCCTGAAGTTCTTTGGCCTCAGATCGACAATGTTAGTTTTGTGGATAACCCCATAAAAGCAATGTCAATTCCAGGATGACCGCTGGATGTGGGTCTGGCCATGGATGGCTTAAAGCCCACGTCTCGGACTGCTGTTAGCGCAGCAACAGCATCGTTGACGGCGCCTGCTGTTGGATTACCAAAGTCCACCGGATTCTACAGCGCTGAATGATCATCACACGGTACTCGAGAGTATTGCTTGATGGCAGGGATTGTTCCGTATGAGTCGGCAGTTGCTCTGTGCCGAAGCGCATACTTTAGTGGTGACTGTGACCTGTTTGTGTATGATGAGACTGCATTCTGGCGACAGATTATCGTCGGTTGGGTCTCCCAATCCATCTATCATCGCGTTCCCTTTTTCATTCTTCTAGACGTCGACGTCGAGCAAGATGCACTTCTCAGTCACCTATGAACGACGGTCGATTATGGGTTGAAACTCATTTTGACCTGGGGCTGCGTGCTCGGCCGAAGCTGAGGAGGTCTGGCACGCGTGGCTGGGCCGGTGTTGAAGGCAATATGCATGCGCCACTGCAACCAACTAAAAACACTTTGCACAAAAAGCTTTTTGCGATTACAGGTGCACCTCGATCAAAGTCAAACGAAATGATTCGATGATGAGACTCATGTGAATCCATTCTGGATACAAGTCTTAGCGTGATGAAGGGGAAAGTAAGGGCGCTGCAAGAAAAGGGGCCACCTGCGATACCCTCTAGATCATGGCACGAGGTCTCGTGCCAAGCCCAGTGGCAGCTTCCCACCACCTGCATGGCTTCAGTCGACAACAATCCTTTTGCCTTCGGGTAAGTTATGTCTTCGATCTGTAGCCACGAACCATTCTCATTTGCCAGTGGTCAAATGCCGGGCGTAGGCGGGCGTCACCTCGAATCCCACGCCCCCATCAAAGGAAGGGAAATTCTCTGGCAGCCGCAATGTACCGCGCTACACATTGGAGTGGGGCGTGATCATCCACACACCGCTGTGGCAGGTTCAGAGCTAGGAACACAACGAGACACAAGGCCAGCTCGCACAGTACTGTGACAGCCCTGTCCGACAGGTAGCGCAGGCACTGAGGCTAAGGCGTAAACATAATCAGTGCACACAATACCCGCTGCGTTTGCGGCCCACCTATCCGTAAGCGCAACCGCAATCCGTCTCGACCCGGTGCGCCTCGAGTAGTGCGAATCCGCACATGCCGCGTGTGATGCTGATCCGGCCTGGAGAACACCGTCGCTAGCCGTCACACGCTGCCGGCTATCCACATCCTGCTCGCGAGGCGTTCCAATCGAGCAAGTCACGGGTGATCGTCACGCTGAAGAGAACCAGTCCCAGCAACGTCGAATCGGACCGGACGCGCCAGAGTTTGGCGATTCACTGACTTCATCCCCTCCACAGTAGGCAAGCAGGATGAATACATACCGCCCTTTGTGACCCCTCCGTGGTGGCAGGAACCGCACATCCATATTGTCGAAGGCGCGAAGCAGGCTGAGAAGGAATACCAACGATGCCTGGAACAGATCAACGACGCAATGCACATCTACACAGATGGCAGCGGCATCGACGGTCAAATCGGAGCTGCAGCAGACACGGCAAACCAGCAAAACCCACATGGGCGACGATACAACATCGACGGTCTACGCGGGAGAGCTGCATGGTATTGTGTTGACCCTCGGAATGGCTCAGGCAGACAAGCAAAACGGAACCACAGAAGCAAGGTCTTCATCCACACCGACAACCAAGCCGCTGTCAGATCGCCAGCCAAACCAAAGGGGGAATCTGGCGCGTACCTCCTCAAGATCATCGCAATCAAGACACAAGCCCTCCGAGACCAAAGACTCGAAGTCGAGCTCCGTTGGGTGCCTGCTCACATCGGCATCCAGGACAACGAAGCAGCAGATGTCGCCGCGAAAAAGGCCACGGGATGGAGGCAGAGCAGACAGCCAGGACAGACAAGCCAAGAGCCTTGTTCAAGCTCCGGTCCATAATCAAGACATGGCCGCACCACAGTCCCACCAAACGTGGCAAACCAACTGGGAAGCCGAGACGCGAGGAAGAACGTCCTTCCGTCTCACGCCGAAGCCGATAAAGAAGGTCCTCGAACTCCACAAAGGCCTCAGTAAACGCCAAAGTGCACTCTTGGTCCAGATGCGCACGGGAAAGATCGGGCTCCAGGACTTCCTCTTCAACCGAAGAGTACCAGGCACCACCAGCGCCAACTGCACCTGCCGGGAAGGACGACAAACGGTATCGCACATCCTGCTGCGATGCCGCAGATTTCGACAACTCCGACGCCAGGAATTCGAAACCCTTCCAGGACGACATAATCTCCGGATCATACTGAACAAGCGCAAAGCAGCCGCCAAGGCAATCCGATTCGTAGAACAGACCGAGATCCTTAGGCAACACGGGATCGAGTCGCAACCCAGACAGAGCTGAGCATTGGGGGGAGGCTGTAGGTACGCTGAACCGTTGTACGAGGAGGAAGACCTCAATAGAGCCTAGACATGCATGTACATTAGTAGAGAACCGCGAACTACACGAGGTGGCAGCCAAGTGTAGTTTGGGTTGGAGGGCAAAGTGGGAGATTTGGAGACAGCTGGTCAGTGTTTTGCATTGGCGAAGTGGGGCGTTGCGGATTAATACACGGAGCGCGTCGGCTGTTTGCCAAACCCCGCTTTCCGGGCATAGCTGCTGACTAAAGCGGCCAAAACCGAGTAGGAATTAATCAATCAATCATCAATCAAACTTCCGTCTCGCAGGACTAGTCATCAGTTACCGACCTTTCACCATATCCCCAGACATGATCCTCGTCTAATCCTTCAAATTGACGAGCACCGCATTTTCGAAAGTTTAAACCTTGGGCTCATGGACATATCTATGTACGCAGCAGATGCGGAAGGCATCGACGCGCTATCGATACACCAGATTGCCAACTTCTTCGTCCAGACCAGCCCCGTTACCAAGGCCGATTGTCACAGCAGAGCACAGTCTATCACTGGCGGGGAAATTTCTCCTACGCTTGTGCAGGGCGAGACTAGTTACACTGTGGCTGCCGACATTGTTCCCCCGAAAGCCATCCAGTTTCGGAAGTCAAAATTGGATCTCGAACTTTTGGCTTGCGCACGACAGATCTATGGTGAATTCGTTCCCAGTTGCGAACAGCGCGGGGAATTGGGCGGCCTACACGTGTACGAGATGGAATTTGTTCGTGGGGTTGCTCTCAGTCGATTCCAACGGCAGCTCTTTGCTCCACAGATGAAATACCAACTCCTACGAACTGTCCAGGACCTGGCGAGGTTTGTTGGTTTCGGCTCTTGCGGATTCAAAATCTTACCGTATTCCTAGATTTTTCGCCCTGGCGTGGATCAACAAGCCACTCCCCCATCGGGCATCGCACGACGCTCACGAGCTATTCGTCCACTATTCTTCAATCCTTGATCAACTTTCTCGGAGTTTACCGGAGCGGTTCCAGCAGAAGCTGGGCAATGTTCGCCAATCGCTGCCATTGCTCTTTCGACATCAGTATGCCATGACGATCAATCATGATGACCTCTTCGAGATGAACGTCCATATTGACCAGGAAACGGGTCAAATCACCGGTATTGTCGACTGGGCAGACGCCAAGATCGCACCGTTTGGCACATCGCTGTGGGGTCTTGAAACCCTTCTAGGTATTCAAACCGCCTCATCATGGCTCTTCCACCCGGATCACCTTTACTTGCGTAAGGAGTTCTGGAAAATATTTTACGAAGTCACTGGAGATATGTCGGAGGATGATCGGCAAGCGGTTGAAATTGGAAGGATATTTGGTTTGTTTCGCATCTATGGCTTCGATATCGCCCCTGAGAAGGAGGGAGCCAAGCCTCTAAAAGAGGGCGATGATGGGCTCGTGTACCTCGAGGCCTTGTGCCTCTATTCGGATCGCGAAGATCACTTCCAATGAACTGAGACGGGAACCATCATTTTCTATTCAACATTACAGAAGGGTCGTCGTTACCAAAGCTGTCGACGAGGAGCGTCCTACTGGTTAGGTCATAGATATGTACAAAAGCCACGTCAATCTGGTAATAGGAGGGTTGTGGAGGAAACACATGGCGTCAGAAATAAACGAGAGTTCTAACCTGGGACTCCCGATATCTTCTCACGCGGACGTGAATGTCCACAGATTGCCAGGGCGGCCACCGACCAATAAAGTGAGCTTTAGTCTCCTCTAACAATGCTGGAAATGTATCAGGTCAGCCAGTCTCGGGCAGTTTGATTTCACTTGTGAAGAAGAAGACGGTATGTCATTTGGCATTCATGGTCCTACATAGTTTCTGGGGTCCTAACGATGTGTAATGACCGGTGCAAAGGTAAGATATTGCGAAAGGTAGCGACTGCGATGCGTGCAATAAGGGAAGGGCCTCTTGACACGCTCTACAACCATCACTGGTGAAGACTGGTTCAACTCTTGATAATACGTGCCTGGATCAATTCGGCGAACAGCTCAGCCGGGGTTCCGACAGGGTTGTTGGTGAATACTTTGTGAGATCCATTGGTCATCTTTGACCAGGTTTGGCCCTTCGGGGGGGTGGAGTCTTCAAGTTGATTGAGGTAGAGCCAGCCTGTCGGAAGGAAGTCTCCGTTGTTCACCATAGAGATTGGCAGGACGATGGTTCCAGCCCCGTTCACCTCGATCTCAGTGGTGCCTTCCTGGTGTTGGGGCTCAGCCCCACAAGGAGCGACTTCAAGGGCGAGTGCATCGCTGAGGGAATGTTTACGGAGATATTCATTGAATTCTCCGAGAAATTGATGATCTTTTTCGCCAAGAGTGAGCGATGAAGGCCCTTCCGCAAATTCGTAGGGAACAAGCCGATTCTCCGGTGATATGTGCCTGAAGGTAACAGCATGAATGCTCCTGGCGTCAATGGAGTCAATTCGGGTAGCCTTGTTCCATGATCCAGGCATCTCGCTAAGATCTGACTCGAGCCGTATGGTGCCATCGGCGATGTCGTCATGCTTGTGGAGCAAATGCAAGCCAAGCCTCCCATGATAGCCATTCTTATCAATAAGCCTGAGGAGTTCTGCGACGTGGGCATCATCAACCCGCATGCCCTCATGGATCCGCGGAAGATGATTGTATCTTCGTATAACGTCACAATTCAGCCGAACATTCAAGAAGTTACATGGTGGGGTGAAAAAAACTTACATATATGCGGACTTTTCTAAGTCGGCGTTGGTAAGCGGCCGTAAGAGACCAGGACATGTAGGGCTCTTCATGATGACGACGGAGGCAGCCATGGGAGATTCGAGGCGAGATATTCGGCTGTGTATTCTGTTAAGCAGCTGATTATAAAGTTGGGCTCGTTCGACGGTTTCTCGGCCGCCTTTTATAGAAAAATGGGACATTGATTAGACCACCCGCCGCCCGGTCAGCCAACCACACTTCTGTCGCCAACACCTCCAGACGGCCACGCTACGCCTCCCACCTTGCTTGGGTCAGAGCCGACCCTCCAGTTCAGCAACAGGATTCTGAGATGTGAGAGTTGATGCGTGAATTTTACTTCGTCATTGCGACACAACACTAAACGCTGCATCTTGCTTGAAATGGATATGCTGCAGTTTTCCAACTGCCTGTCAGACAAGGGGTGACATAGTCTATCCGAAGTCCCGTGCATAAGGTCAGCTTTCGTGCATCAGGCTAGCTAATAATCTGCAGGACTGGACAAATAAGCGCGGTTTGCTTATCGAAGCTAAGGAAGTACTACTGCTGCCTAAGTTGATGGCGGGGCTTGACATTTAGCCGATGCGCTTGCGTTTTGACGTAGAGTGATCCATTCCGCCATTACAATTATTCGACATGGCCCCGGATGCTAGGGCTCACACTCACAGTCGACTTTTTCGCGGCAAATCTTGTAGCGCATGGCTTGCATAGCCAGACTGTCTCCAGGCTGAAGGAGAACATGGGGTACTCTGGTGGTGAATGTGGTGATGATAGCATGAACGATGAATGGTGTGCATGATATCTGATTCATTTCATTACGCGTCCAGTGCCATATCTTCAGTCAGACTGCCAGAGCAGATGTCTAGCTCAGTTCTTGGGCGTGCATTGCCGTCCGCGGCATTTTAGATACAAAACATAGCCCGTAAACAGTACGACCTACTCGTCGCGCTTGGACAATCACGTAGCCAGCATTACAAGGAGATCGGGCGCAAAGCTAGTAACTGCTCTGATTTCTGTAAAGTATGCATTCTATGGAGCTTTTTTTCCCGTCCACTTATCATGGTCTTGGCTCAAAGACTCGCCACGTCTCCAAGCGCAGCGATGAGTGCCCGTCAGATATAGTACATTGTGTCCCTTAGGAAGAAGTCCCAGGTGCGAGAGTTGGTGACGCCGCGGTCAGCGACCGTGCCGTTCTTGATGTTTCGCGACTTTGGGTCCATGTTCTGTTGGGATGCAGGGCAAAAGCGCGTTTGGCGACGTTTGAACGACACGATATTGTCTAACTTAGGGCGCTGCTTGGGCGGATAAAGCTGGTCACACGCCTTGCGGATCATAGGCAGCTCAGTCGTAAGGACTTGGGTGAACTGGCTTTCTGAGCTGCGTCGCGGTAGATGATGATGAACTCGGGGAGATTGTTTAGGTTGCGCTGGCGCCACGACATCAGGCGAGACTTAAAGTGCTCCGTCAGCTCGTCCCCGAGCATCTCCTGGCGGGAAAGCTGCTCCCGCGCGACGGCCTGCCATTGTCCAAGATCTTTGTCAACACTGGCAACCATTCAGACGAGACTGAGCGGTGCGCTTCTGTCGTTGGATATGTTGGTAGGATGCATGACGTCGCATGCGGCAATCATGGCCTTGCCCGAGGTGATGACGTCGTAGGTGTCCTTGACGACGTGGTTGTTGCCGCCGTTTTTGAGGTTCCACTTGAGGCCGATATTGGCGAAAGTCTGGGGACTGGTCTTGAGGAACGACTTCTCCTCGGAGCATACGGTGTGAAAGCCGAAGTGTACGTCGGCGACAGACTTGACGGCACCGTAGAGCGTCGTATCTTTCCTAGGTAGGATGACAAGCAGGAAGAAGCCCTCGGTGCTGCCCTTCGCCTTCGTGGTGTCGTCTGCTATGGCTGTGAACGTTCTCCTATTGTACTTGGTGGCGATACCGCGGCCGACGGTGATCCGGTGAAGGGCATCCGGAGCCTGAGTGTCGATGACAAGTCCACTTTCGTTGAGGAACCGAAAAAACTCCTGAACACACTGTGCGACTTCGTCGGTAGACACCCTGGGATTTGCGCCTTCCGCGATGCGGACCCAGTCCCAGTTGGTGATCCTCGGACCTAGCTTGGCGAACTCAACACCAGTCAAGTTCCAAGAGCCGCTGCGAGTGTGTAAAGTACTTTCGTTGGCATACGTCACGACGGGTGCTGGGAGTTCGCGAGCGACCCAGGTTACGGTGTTGATGAGCCCTGTCTTAGAAGTGCCAATTCTCGAGATGGACATGACGCTGTACAGTGACACTCACCTGTAGAAAGTGTAAGCCTCGCCTTCGAATGCGTCACGGCGAGGAGCGAAGCCGCCGCAGGCCCCTCGCCCACCACGACTGCGATCACATCTGCTTCCTCCGCCAAAGTCGTCCCTGTGTCCACCGCGGTCTCCTCTGAAGCCGCCGCGGTTCCCACGGGAGCCACCTCCACGGCCTCCGCGGTCGACGCTTCTGCCTCCGGAGTAGCTGCCGGGACCACCGCGACCACCATGATCACCACCACCACCACTGTTTCCACCGCCACGGCCTCCTCGAGCCTGGTTGGGTCTGAGGGGCTACCACCTGCGAGAGTGGATTGCCTCTCGCGAATCACCACTCCGCAAGCCTTGCCACTGCGCGCGCCTGAAGCGACGTTGCGCCGTGCTCCAGCCAGCCAGGACAGCGCTACATCATGTGGGCCGCGTCGCGCGGGGGCAAGCAGCCGGTATGCCAAAGGTACCCATTACGCTGACGGACGCGGCCCGCGGTGTTGCCCACCGGCGGCTGGCGGGCCGTCCCCCGCCCGTCTTCTCCGCACGCACACGAGCTCGGTCGCGGTCGCGGTCGCGGAGCAGAACGCACTCCAACGGCCTGCACGAACGGCGTGCCGATAGTTACTGGGTAAGGCCCTCTAGGTGTCGAAGACTCCGTTGCAGGCAACGCTGACCTCCGTCTGCTCCCGCCAAAGCGTCCGACACAGTTGCAGACCTAAGCGCCGAGTCGCGTTCGGAGCAGCTAGCGACGCGGCGGCAGCGACAGATCCCACCTGTCGCGCACAACAGCGTCCCCGTCGACGCTCCGACGAACACGATGCCGACCTCCCAAGACGGACACGCAGAGTCAGAAGGATGGCATGGATCATTGCAAATCCGACATAAAGGACCCTCGTCCGCCGATCCTATCCTTGCCGAGGTAGATCGCCGGATGACCAAATACGCGCGAGACACCGAATTTGCGGCCCAGATCGACGAAGGGCAAGGCGGACTGCGTCGTATGGAAAGGCAGAGAGCGCGGGATATTTGAAGATTGGTCTCAGTGCAGTGACCAAACGTTGCGCTTTCCAGGTGCTCGCTGTATGTCACTAGCAGATGTAAGCCGCGCTCAGAGACATTCCGCTGACGCATGTCCACAAAGATAAGGGTACAAGGACTTTCCAAGAGGCCGTAAGTCACCCACTTTCGAGAGTGCTCGGCTAATGTGCATCAGGTGGATAAGCTTCGAGTCGAGTTGACCGAGGATGTGCGGCTGCAAGCTTCACGGGGCCATCTTAGATTGACAGCAGAAACCGGCGACGTTCCACGAGCGGTTGCTGCTTCACCGGCCCTCCCCCATGGCGACACTCCAGACCCCGAACGTCCCGCAATCGTATCAAGTCACCCACAATCCAATCCCGCACTTGATACCGTCGCTGCCGATGGTTGACGAGCACTGCTACCCTCGAGAGTTGCAGCTGAAGGTGAACACGCCAGTCATACTGCTCGCCAATGGATGTCACGTAGACACGACCCCTACTTTTCGGCTGCGGGCTGACGTCGTGCCAGGTGGATCTAGAACGCGGTCTTTGAAATGGGCGGCAGGGCGTCGTTGTGGGGTTCGCACCCAGTGACATGATCCAAGAGCCACGACCACTGTCGCCGAAGAACTCCGAAGATTACGATGACGACTATCGCGCTGCGGTGGTAAGATATAACCGGATCGTGGATCATCTCAGACGCGCGTGGAGCAAGAAGGACATTTGTAGGCAACACGTCTTCCAGCAGCGGCAATTATACTGGTCAGCTTTTATTGACGTACTGTAGTTCCTGAAGTCAAGTTCGCAAATGGCGAGCAGCGCGTCATCGGACCCGATTGCGCCGTCATAGGTACGGCGACCAGTCGCCTTACAGCTACCTGTCACGAACACGGATTCCCTTGACGCAAGGTTGGGCTATGACTATTCACAAAAGCCCGAGTCTCAGTCTTGACCGCGTCGTTGATGATCTGTCATACATGTCCGAGCATGGACAGGCATACGTGGCGCTGAGCCGAGCACGAAGTCTCCGCGGACTGAAGGTGGAAGGAGCCGACGTAATCAGGTTCAGATCCATTTTTCGGTTAGATGATGCGGTGAGGGCGTTTATGAGGAGCATTAATTCAAACAACAGGGAGATCCGCCCGCGGATGCGGGGGAGGCCGCAAGATCGCAACCAGTTGAGGAGTAGACTCGCAACTCTTGGACTGTAGTGCGATGTTTGCCTCCTGATATGGACAACTTTTACACTTCCAGTACACGCGAGTTCATTCATATGCACCTTCAAAAAAACACTGAGTAAAGACTTGCGCAGCTCTCTGTGGTACTCAAAGCTAACAAGAGTTCGACCGCTTCCCAGCCCGGCCACATCATGGCGAAAGCAACCCTAGAGATACTGAGAATCTAGCCGGCAGCGGCGACGTTGAAAACGGACAGTCTGTCAACATTGAGTGACATGGGTGGGACCACTCCAATCATGTTAATGATCATGACTGCGCCCTGCAGTCTCAGCTCCTTGCCGCGGAAGGCCTCATGCAGGGCCATACCAAGCAGCAGAACAGGCAGCATTCTATTTTTGCAGGTCGCATGGTGTTGAGGCCGAAATTGCATTCAGCCAAGGCCATTTTTCACGCCGTCACAATTTCTGTCTGAAAATAAGATTGTTCCTTATCTCCCCTTGACTCGGTGCCGGTGGTCGACAAATCCAAGGGCTACTCATATACCCTTAGTCAACCAGTCGGATCTCTGGTGATTGCCCGGGATACATTCCGGTGGCCCCATTGCTTCTGCCTCGTGGCTGGTACAGGCGTAGGTGGCATCGTTGGCTCAATGTCAGGTTTCTTGCCGCGATTACACGTGAATCTGTCTTGCCTCTGCTATCCCACAGTGAGTAAAGATCTTCTGGAAGTGCTCGACTCTGCACATCGCTGATGAGCTGGACTGCTGGTCCTCCGTTTTATCTCACCACCGCACGATGACTGTTACTTTCCTGCACCACCTGCCGGATCAGACTGATGAGGCATGCCAGTTTCCGCAGTGTTGTCTGGTTGGTTACCTTGATGGTAGGCAACAACCAGGAGCGGAGTCTGAGATAAGCACAGTTGAGGTGCAATGTCTTCCATTATGAACTTCATATCGGCAACTCTGGTTTTGATCTCGAGAGTTGACCTTACATTAATGGGCTTGTGATCTGTGGTGACCACAGTCGTCCGGCTATTTGGTGGCTCTTGTGCCCGTGAAACAGACATTGAACCTAGAAGATCAGACAAATCATCGATACCCGATTGCTTTCCAGCGGGGCTTGAATCGAATCCACGGGCAACGTATCCATCCGTCTCATGCCGTAAGAGATACTTCATTCCTCCGATATTATAAGATATTATTCGGTGATGCCCAGTGCTTCCAGCGAGCACTTGCGTATATGTTCTTTTGAAGTTGTGACCGAAGCTCTTGAAACCCTGGACGGTTTCCGTCGGTTGTTTTTCCATACGTGTGAACAACAACGTCTTCTTACCAGCAATCTCCGCCTTGATTGCGAAGCCATCAGACGAGGATGCTTGCACGAAGCGCAGCAGCTTCCGGAGGTTGTTTCTATCGCTCACAATGTCGACATCGCTTAATTGGAAACAAGGCTTTTTGAGCACGAATGGCACGGAAAAAAGGCTCTAAAGGATAGTCTGGGCATCGCGCAGCGTTTTGATCAATGTATACCGTCCCAGCATCAGGTGCCATTCATGGAGGAACGATCGGTGGGGCCCAGCGAGCTGGAATGCCTCTCAATGGTTTAGTGTTACTACGCGCTAAAACGTGCTGCGACCATCTCACCTGGGACCGCAACAGTCGTTAGTTCTCTGTTGATCCAGTTGTAGGGAGCCACATACTGAAGGCATGTGATTGAAGCATCACATGGCTGGGAAGCGTCGAGGTCGGAGCGAGCTATGTCTGCCACAATAGAAAGCATGCTTGACTTTAGCATGGAGTAGATACCTTGTTGGGTCGTGAGGGCACAGCAATCCTTTGGTGGAAACGGTGATGGGAAAAGGAAGAGCGCCAAGAATTTGTATTGGAGCTGAGCATGCAGATGCGTACTATCACCGTCTCCTACCATGATCCCCTCCCCTCTCAGGGTAGCTTATCTGACGAAAGGGCTAAACTCGCACAGACACAACACTAAAGTCTGGTGGCCTCTAGGCTATTAGATACCGGTGATGCTTGATACCTGATAGCTTAGGTCATGATGCCTAAAGGACTGTAAGCACTTCTACTATAGTATTTCTGCTGAGCTTCCGACCGAAGTTCTCAGAGGTTGTCGCACGTTCAAGGGTCTGCCTGCAACCCCAAAGTGCCATTCCCATCACTTTGAATGATCCAACGTACCACATGCTGAAATCAACCTTCCAAGACCTCTCACTGATTTCCGTTCCATTTCCTTTGGACAGAGGCCGAGGACGATCTTGCGGTGGGAGGCTGCAGTTCGGACAAGATGCTTTGGGGTACGCAACGCCTTTGTTCTGGGTCTTGGGCATCCTGATAGACTAGCCTCGGCGCACGGAACCTTTCAGACCTTTATGGTCGAGGTTCAGCGTCACCATCTAAATCTGTATTACGCCTTGCGCAGTTGCGCAGTAGACGCATGAGGCTGGCGTGGCATCAACTTTGTCGCATTTCATGATAATTACCAGCTGGTGTTATGGTGCACATGCAGATCCTATTTCAAACTCGTCAAACCCAATACCCGAGGTTACACTGAACGAGCATGGAAATCGGCCAAACGTTTTGTAACTTGATCGGAAGTAGATGCGGCATGCCGGGTGGGAGTGTCCTAGGCGGCGCCGTAACGTTTCTGCATGGCAAAGTCCATGCGGCATTCTTGGCTTTGCAGAAAATCTTCGCATTGGACTCATGAGCACCCGAAACGGTCTGCGATAGACGTGACTGAGTCGATAAACTACATCGATAGACATATTTGAGGATCGCGGAGAATGGTGTATCGCCCATGGCAGGCATGCTGGAAGCTTTGTGCACACCACCGACCAGGATGTTTATGCCGTCTCACTGCGGGCAGCTACTGTAAGCGCCTCTCCCCAATGTGGACGTGTGACGCTCCGTCGTCTGGGTTATTCATGAACTGACAGATACTGCCATTGCCCGACTTCCAGCAGACAAAGTTCGCCGCAGAACGCTGATTACTTCCTGGTGTTCTGACAGTCTAGGCGGTTTCTCCAGGTCGCCTTTCCCTTTGGGACGTCAGGTTTGGTCCCAGCCCGACCCTGCAAAACCGTTTCGGTTCGGAAGAAAGGAAAGCAACAAATCGGCTTGAAGTCACGTAACGTTGTAGGGCGTCGTTTGCAGTTCACTACTCCAGAATCGGCCGGTTGTACACGTCTCCCCGGTGTTAGTTCACTGCTCACTTGGCGCACGTATCCTCTTTCCACATCCAGAGCCGATGCATGTCATGTACTCGCTGAGGCTGGCAGTCGATGAAGTTGCCCGCAGACGAAAACGGAGGTACACTGGGGACAAAACGGCGCTAAAATACACATCTGGCATGCGGATAACAGACAGCACTGTGCAGAGCACCCAAAAACGCTATCGCAAATACCGTGCCGGCTGGGCACACCGTGTACAGGGCGGGGCGCTCTTTTCGACAAGCTCCAGGCTGTCGTGCCGCGAAGCAGAATATCCATGTCCAGCAACACCATAATTATGTTAGCAAGATCCGCAAATGGCTGGCCTGCAGAGCCGCGAGAGCGGAACTGGCCTCAGTCTCGGGCTATATTCGCCCGGTGGACGACGAATGAATCCACACGGCCGTGGTGAACGAGATCCTGGAGGACAAGACCCGCAAGTCCTCCTTGGAGGCTCCTTGGGCTCCTTGGGCTCCTTGGAGGTCATTCGGCCTGGGTTCGCTTGGTAAATCGCATCTCAGGAGTTCCCGCTGACGCGTGCATGTTGGTGCGCACGACAGGGTAGGCTATGGTGTGGTGAATTCTCGTACCGATACGTGGCGCCGACCGAAATGCGGGCAAGTTTGCATCTGTCGACCGGGTCCTATCCGCAACGTGCTATCAACTTCGCTTCTTGGACAATCGCGCAGATCCTACACATCTGCCTGCAGTCGATGACACTGCCGTCCACCCTCATCAAGCCAAAGCGATCGAGCAGTTGGGAGAATCACAACCTACGTCTCGTCTGGCTGCCAGGATGTCCACTCACGGCGAACCGAAGTTTCATGGCCGCCACCGCTTGGCCTATCGGAAGGTGGGGCCTCAGCAGTGCGGCGGGTAAAACCAAGAGGTGCTACTGCCATTCGCTGGAGGCGACTTCGGGCGTGGATGAATCCTACCATTGGGCGCGTACCAGCGCGGATGTGGCACGGAGTCCGCCCACGTCCGAGTCGCCGCACCAGCACCAACTTGCTGCTTCTACCCGACACGGCCTGGCCATGATGAAGAATTTCAGGGGCAGCCTGGGCGATGCGCTATTCATACTACGGCACAGGACAGGATGAAAAAGCGTCAGTCGCCGGCATCTGCCTGTGCATGTAGCCCTGCTTATGACCTGCATTGGTGCTTCAAACCAACCTGATTTTGGGGGAAAAAACCTCAGACAACCAGACCTAGACCAAGAGGATTCACATCCCTTAGGACCGGAGAGGTGCAATTAAGCGTGGAAAACATGCCCAATCATGTCAACCAGCGGGGCTTGACAACATGACTCTGAAACACAGATGCACCGAAGATCTGTTGCTCATCGGTTTCTCCGGTCACTCACTGCTCTCGCACCGTCCAATGTGGGCCCAATCATATGCCAGTGGCGTTTTTATAGACGGAATAACAAATTACCGAGTGCCACGGGTCTCCACTCCCCAGCCCCAAATTAGGTCTCTGCTCTCCTTTATATTGCGTTCGCTTCGCATTCCGTACTAGACCTTTGCTCCCATCTCCATCTCATGCACATGCTGACATCGGCTGACTGACCTGTCCTTGGTGTCCCGGCCATTCCACCACTCTTGACTGCATGTCCGACTCTTTGCGCGAATAGGACTGGAATCCCGTCGGAACTCATCCAAGCCTCGTCTTTGTCCAGCGTCGGCTTGGATCTGGTCACCCGTCGCTCTGGTCAATCTACTACTCGCATATGCAGGAGCCCCCAATGCACCTCGAGTTGGATCGGGATCACGCCAGGGCACGTCTTGTCCACGGTGACCCATAGAGGACTGAGTCACTGGCAGTGACGCACAACGCTACAACCACGGTAAGCACTCAACAACCTCGTTTCTGTCCGCGCCTTCCTACGCGTGGATCTCTGGGAGAGTAACTACAAGCGAATGCAATATCTTCAGCATGAAAGCACAGGTATCGACAGTCGACGTATTTACGGAGCGAGAATTCCAAGACGGACGACAGCCCGAATTCATAGACCAGCTATTCTCATTCCGCATCACGTATGTGTCGTCAGCATTTGTCTATTTCCGCCTCAGCGCCCCTACTACCGATGGTGTATCTAATAGCCCTATTCTGCAAATCCTGCCCGGTCATCTCGCTTCGCTGCACCAACAACTTTGCAGATGGGATGACATAAGCTCGTCACACCCTCAAGATGCGCGCCAGCGACTGGGCGGCGCCAGCGACTTGACTCGTCTACGGTTCCACCTGCGCAGTGGCATGCAATCGCAGATCATCGTACCGAAAGATGATACTGGTTTCAAAACATTCGGCAGCGCGGCTCGGCGCGTCGTTCATCTCTTTGACTCGCTCGCTGCCTCTCCATCATTCTGCGTATACTTGCCTCGCCACAAACTATCAAAGTCTTTGCTCCAGCAATACGCAGAGGCTGTTGAGCAGTTTCCAAGATTGGAGGGTGATGGCCTCCTTGCTTACCAGCGCAAGGTGGATCCAAAGAGGCTATACGAAGGGAAAGGTGGCAGGATTCTCGCCCCCAACGATTACGAGGATGGCTCTCGCCCAGACGGGGAACGCAGCAGATCCAGTACGCCAGTGACGACCGAGTCAAATGGCTCAACGGTGGCCTTCGATATTGTTCCGCGTCGTGAGGGCCCGCCCCCTCAGTATGGCGAATGCGTTACGGGGTCACAGAAACCCAGGGCGACCTCAAACGATGAAGCCGACTCTGTCGAAAGTCCCCACGTTGATCGTGCACCGCCCGAGTACAGCGTGACCGAACAGCCGTGTAGTGTGCAGAATGTTTCCAAACGCCCACGACAATGTGGGAACGAGGACGCTCTTCTGTACCCATGCTCCAAGAAGATTTTGTCCACGACGGCTTCGACGAGAAACACTCGGGGTCTAGATGCAAAGCCGAGACTCGAATTTGAGGACGCGGACATTGATGTTGGCTCGGCGTTCCGTGAATGGGCGCGTCGGTTTGAATACTACCAAGAACAACAGAACGAGCAGCTGCGGCACGAGCAGAACAATCAGCTCAAGAAGGTGCAAGATGAGCTCGAAAAATTGCGGAGACGGAATGCTGAACTTGAAAAACGGCAATCCGATATGGAGAACGACTGTGCGGAATTGACGCGTCGATTGGAAGAAGCTGAGGAGGATATAGAGAGCATCCGGGTCGACACCAGCGCACTGGAAGATGTTGGACGGGATCATGAGGATCGACTGGCCGAGATCTCGGGCGAAGTGACGGATTTGTTGATGGACACGTGGAGCGACAGTCTCAAGGTCCGCATAGGCGACTCGATGAAAGAGCACATGAATGACTTGGCAGAAGAATATCTGGACGATTTAGTGAAAGAGTATGTGGACACAGTGCGCGAAGGGAGTCTGGCTGAGTCGTTGAGGGACTGTATTCGGAAGAAGGTCACCAGCCAGATGGACATATTGAAGGCGCAAGTGTCTGAGGCTTTACATTAGCACAGAAGGCAACCAAACCCGCCGTCGCATGCCATGTTTTCGCCGAGGCCGGCGGTCGCTGATGGAAAGCCCTTGCGCTTTGCGCAAACGCTGATTGACGTCTCACTGGTGTCCTTGGCCCAGGCAGTGCCAGGTCATGACGGTCAGCCACCGTCTGTTGCATGGGACTCGCGGCGAAAGCTCATCAAATCGGTTCGGCCCAAGCCAAATGAATCGAGATCAATAAAATGCCGCTGTCACTCGATTCCCGCGAGGTCTGTTGGTCGCCTCTTGTCACATGGTTTCCATTCGTGCCTCGTTGACGCCTGGCGGTGGGAGAAATCGTCGTCGTATGCTCCACCTTCACACTGTCTATGCGACGTTAGGAAATCCCATGCATCTGAGTCTTCGCAGGCCTGGAGAAGCCGTCCTCAACGGGATGAATTCAGAAGCCAGCAGCGTAAGCATTGAGTTCGGTTACGGACGAGGTGGGCCGAAAGCTGACTGTCCCGTGGGAAACCACTTCGCAGACATATTAGGCCTGTAGGGCCAATCCTGGCATGGCGGCGGCATGCGGCGTGCTGTTGGCGTTGGCGTAGTCGTTGCCGCAGCACCAGGCATCGTTGCTGCGCCTGCCTTGACAGCGGCGAGTTTCGGGGCTGAGGGCTGCCTTGCTGGTGTGTTCTCTCTGTACACGCTTTCGCCGCCAGTTTTTGACCGACAAAAGGGTGTTCACAGGATCCGCTGCTGCGGGGGTTCACAGTGCTATCGGTAACGTCGCGGCTCACAGCGTGTTTGCTGTACTCCAGAGCCCCGGAGCTGGTGGGTACGGGGTCGCAACGGTGCGCAGTGGCATTCAGCTCGCGGGTGGCACTGCTGCAGCATCGGGGGCGTTGTCCTTGTTCAAGACGGGCACAACGGCATGAGGCCAGAGAGATTTGTCTACAGGCGAATCTGCCCTACGACGAGGGATGTTAGCTCCTCGGATGCACCCGCGTACTGCTTCATCGACACGTTCGACCTACGATCACTTTGTGCAAGAGCTGTATTGGGGACCACGACGCTCCCCCCACTACATATCAAAGCTGCAAATGCGTTTCTCTCAGGCATCGCATGCAATCTATCCCACTTCATATTGCTTCCCAAGAATGACCCCGAAGGTGTCGTGCGGTCGGCATCTCTCCCAGGGGATGAGATGGCAGCGTCGTCCCCGAACAAACGGCCTCCCCACTGGTATACCTACTCCGGCGCACTTGCTTTCGACCTTGCCGCCTCCGTGCTCCCCGCGCTCTACGGCACCCTCTCCAAGCTCTGGGTTGCCACCATCGACTCTTCTCTCGTCATCACCATGGACGTGTACACCTGCGCCGGTATCGTGGCCGAGGTCCTCAACGAAGGTCTCCTTGGCGCAGTGGCTGCAGCTGACGTACCAATCTGTTCTGGGGCTCATCACGAGCATTGCCTCGTGGCTGGCGGGCAAACGGTCGCCAAAGGCTTCATGCCGGCCGAGGTCCGCGACGCGAGCATCAACTACGTCCGTATCGGAGCATTCAGCGCGCTCAGCAGTGCGATTGAGGCTGCTGTCTCGTCGGCCACGAGAGTACTGGACCGCCCTGATGTGCCCCACATTATCAGCTCCGTTAAGTTTGCCGTCCACATCGTCCTCGATCTGCTGTTAATTTCCAAAGTGCACGTTAGGTCGCACCAGCCGACAGTCAACCTGCAGCTGGGGTTCCAGCTTGCCCTTAACCTCACCTCCGCCTCCTCGGTCTGGCGTACTTTCTTTGGAGGAACACCCTGCGCTTTCAGAAGCGCAGGCGTGGGAATCACGATGAAGGTTGGGCGAGACGTCCGAGTGCGAAGGCGCTCTTCATCCTTCTCCGTCCCGGCGCCTCGACCATCGTCGAGTCGGCGATCTGCAACGCACTCTACCTGTGGCTGGTTACCAACATCGTCTCCGTGTGATCGACGTATGCGACGGCGTGGGGCGTCTTCAACACTATTCGGTGGGGTCTTGTTATGGTTCCTATTCAGGCCCTGGAACAGACGTCCCTGGCCTTTGTTGGCCACGTATGGGGCGCCTGGAGACGGAGCATCGGCGTTAAGACCACGCAGCCGAAGGCAGAGAGGAGCAGCATCCGCAAGATTACGAGACCGGCCATCAAATCCCTCGCCATAGCCACCGCCATCGAGGTGCCCATGTGTTTGTTCCTGACATACACCCTTCGCGCGATATATCAGCAGCTCGGACGGAATTGCCGGCGTGACCGCGATGATGTGGCGGACGATTGAAGGGCCCGGCTCTCGGCCGATCGTGCGTGGACGTATCATAGTGTGCTGTTCGATGGAGGTCTTGTATTCAGTCTCGTTGATATCATCATCGTCGAAGGCCTCTGGGTCTGGACTCTGATGACGGGCTGGATGAAGCTTGACGCATTTCATGGATAAGTGCCTGCGTCGACCTCAAGTCCAAGGAATGGGCGTCATCGAGCGCATGTGATTGATTGGAGATACATGATTCACTTCGAGCGCATGCCGTGATGTTTTGTGACTATGTTTGGTGAAGCTGCAGCTTTTCTTGCCGCCAATATCTTTTAGCTCGTACACCGTGATTTCGTCATGCTACCGGCCATCTCCTCAGGCCGCGGCACATTTGATCATGTTCATCGGACAGCTTGTAATCTGCCGGCTCGTCTGAGCAGCGACACGCCTGGGAAAAGGCCGATGCAGATTCGCACCCGCTTGGCGCCGTGAACGCGAACCATTCGTGCCCATTGATAGATGCTGTTGGATAGCCAAGATAACCAGTTGTATTCATGACGCCTATGATGCCTTGCTTGCCCTTGATAGATGCTCCGAGTTCAGTCTTTCGAGCCCTTCATTCAAGCGGGCCTACGTTCTCGCATGTCCTATTACACTCCTCAACAATCAGGAAGCAGCCTACTCTCCACCACGGCCTGTGACGATAGTACTACGGCCGAGATGAGAGTGGGCGCCCTCAACACACCAACAATCTTTCAACGTCACTTTAGCCGACTTATTGCCCCTCTAGCTGACTACGATGCCCAAGTCGGACCAACCAACTTGCTCTTGGCTGAGCACACGGCCCTTGTAGGCTTGGCGCCCACAGAACAGAGTACCGTTGTCATTACCGACCACCAAATCTGAGAAATATTAGTCGCGTGCGACCGCGCGGTAGTTTGTTCGTCTTACTAAGGTCTATCCCGTGATCAACATGACGCCCGTCACTGTTGTCGGCTTGTGTGCTGCATTTGTAATTGGCCCACGACATCGTTGAATTGTCGGACGAGCAGGGGCCAGCAGACAAGAAGAAATATCCCCTGAAACCAATTAGTGTCCCGTCACAGTACTTCTGAGATAGCCTTACTCGTCTTGCGCCATCAAAGAACCGTCGTGGTTCACCATACAATGGTTTAAATCAAGCACCGACCAGGTCCAATCGCCTGTTGTAGTCCTGCAAAACGCAGCCATCTTATACTTTTCGTTCGCGAGAGTACCCCAATCAACGCAAGACCCCAGAAAACCGCGCGGTTGGAGAGGAGTCTCCCTTTCCGCGATCTGATCTGCGTGCTGCTCTCCCGACACATGACGCACGGCACTGCATAAAACAGCTAAGTGGCTCAGGACCCTGACGACCGGAAAGACCATAGTGAATGCTTGATGACGGTAGTAGCTAACATCTTCCCACGGAAATCGCGGTGCCGTTATATATGCGAAAAATGAGACATTGTTCCTGACTTTGACCACCGTAAGAACTTGCTCTATTCCAGTAGTGTTCGTCTCTGCCCGCTTTCGGATTCTCTCGGCCATTTTGAGCTTCTCGTGCTATGTTAGTTAGAAGCTGGAAGCGCAGGCTGAAAGCGCGGATAAATTTGTATCGCTGCGAACTCAAATGCAGCCTTAGTTGCGATGTAGATGAGCAGACGCCATTTTACTCTACCAATGTGATGATGTGAAGCCACATGTAGATTAATTACAAAAGCATACTGCGCCCACAGAATCTGTCCAGTTTGGTATTAGTAAGAGAGCACGCTCTCCACAACAAATGCACCATGACGCCGGTCGAACTTGGAATCATTGGAGGGCTCGCAGGGACGTTGTTTCTCATATTCGTGCTGTTATGCAGCGTGTGCAACATCAGAAGAGATCGAGGTCTTCATAAAAGAATATTATGTGCTTGCGCATGGACTGAGCAGCATGTGAGAGAGCGACGACGAGACAATCCTGCGGTCTCCACAGACCTGCCCGGTGGCTCTAGCGTATCGGGTCCACAGCCATTCGACGACATCCACTCATGTTACTATTGGATCTGATCGACGAAATGGAATTACCCTGTCCTGTTTGCGGCAACGAATCAGTACGGTTTTGATTGCGAAAGACAATTAACAAGCAATAGCTTGAACGGCTCCGGGAACCACAATGGGATTGGTAGTCGATAGATTATCGGCAAGCCATTTTCGGCGCTTCAAACTGTATAGCTGCTGCTCCTTCAGTACGTAATGGGCAATTACAGCTTAATCTGCCATTCCATGGCATCGACATTCGGAGCTTCTCCGGGACGTCACCCCCTGGCCAATAGGGTGAGCTGGGTGAGTTTCGCTGCTTTTTTGACCTTCCGCGATGACCTGGGTGAGGCCAGGGTGAGGCCCCGGTGAGGTTGGGGCGAGGCAAGGGTAAGGCCAAGATGGATCAGAAATGATTGGCATGGTCGGAATCGCCAAAATGAGGCTGCATGGAATCAAAACATAAGCTTGGTAGAGCAGAGCAGTGACGTGCCGGGACACCGCCATGATGGCACACCTCAGTAACTCGTCAAAGTGTATCTCTCGATCCGAGTTTTGGCCAAAAGCTTTCTCGCAAAGCTAGCTGATGAACCTCACGGGTAGCATGATTGAGAGGTCATGATCCTGCTCAGGACCTTTGCAACACTTATACCGCGCGCGAGAGCTTGAACAACGCGTGATAAACGTCTTGGCGAGAAGTCATCCTGCTGAGTCCCCCCTTTCCCCCCTAAAACAAAAACAAGAGAGGATTGCTCTCCCCTCAGGCTTAGTTGATATTATCAACCTGATAAACGTCAAACATCACGCATTTCAAAGTCAATGTAGCGTCCTCTGCCGATGTAAAAGAGCGGTTTTATGTACTATGCTTTCAGACGGGGACAGTTCGATTAATCAATGGTTCTTAGATGTGATGCTTCCGAAGTGAGCCGCATATCGATTCCCTTTGTGGGCATTTCATTAGGCTGTTGACTTGGGAAGATAGCCTTTGAGTGTCCTAGACTTTCGTGATATGACTATATCATTACATGGGAGGAGGGTGAAGCTGCTGCCAGGCATGCAACCCAGCCGTCACCACCAGCGCAGCCTCCTTCGAATCCTGGTCTCTCAGCGGCGCCGGGGCCTCCGCCTTAAACACCTGTTATCTCTAGAGACACAATCCCGGATGATGGAGGCGGATCATAGTTGCCGACTCCAGGATCGAGAGGTAGAGTCTCAGGACGCAGTCAATCAGCTATCTCAAGGGACCTCAACACAGCCCCCACTTCTCGGCAACACAGTGGCGAATTTACACTCTGTCGAGTCTAATGGTTTTCTACAGGAACTTTACGACTCAGTAGAATTTGCCGTTATGAGAGAATGAACCATCTCGTCGAAAACTCCGATCTCGTACATGACCAGAGGGCTTGTCCGATCGTCCGGCTGAGGCAGGCAGATTTCTGTGCCAGAAGCTCCGACGCTAAGCCTGTCCCACGAGTTATTCGGTGAATCCCAAGGCTTGCGTACGACACATACGAATTCTGATGACCAGCGTGTCACCCTCTGCGACTGAATTTCCCTGGAACGTAGACGCCAGCTCACTGATCTGGTTGTAGGCATACAAACCCTGCCACCTGCATCGTCCGGCAAGCTCAATGAGCAAACGAGACGAACGCACCACGCGTGCTTTGAGTGGCATGGCCTCTACGGACGTCGGCGGTGCTGTCAGGGTTCATAAATTCCCGGACGGTCCATTGGGCATAAGCATGAAGAACCTCCCTGAAGTTCAGCGCCGTGAGTATGGGACGCTGCTGTGTGCTGAAGCTCATGATAGGCACTAGCTTGCCCGTGATTACCAACCCCGACCTGCCGACGCTCGCTGTACGTGGCCGCGATGCACCCAGCCATCTTCAAGCACGGATACCCTCAAATTCGACATATTGAGCGTAAATCTTCCCTAGGGTCGGTACTTTTATGGCTTCGCTTCTCGTCTCGGCGCAGCTTTGTATCGCATACTCAACAGCCCAACAGCGTGCCATTTGTTGGTTGAGGGCCATGACGGCAATATCATGGCTAATATCATTGGGTAGATATCGAGTCTCCCTTTCCACGATCGGAGCAAGCCAGGACTGGAGCCAGAGTAGACGTCGTTTGTCTGTCAACGGCGAGGGCTCGAATACAGGTGATGTCACATCGAGAATCTTGGCCAATTTTGCACCGGATGTGATACTGACACAGTCAACATGGCACCCGGCTCTCTGCTCCTCGTGGTTGCATCTACCACGGCACTGAACATACTCGATGCCCAGAGCAATGTCAATGAAGCCCAGAATGCTATACTCATAGGTTTGAGATTGTTCAGTGTCGGATCGCCGTACTATTGGCGTCAGAATAGCAAGTACAGAAAGCCGGGTAAGACTTACTGGCAATAATTTTGTTGCCAAGTTGAAGTTCGAAACGACAAAGCCCGCAACGTCCTGATACACAGATTTCCTTCAATTCAATCATGATAGATGTGTTGTGATGCATGTTCTGTACCCAAAGAGTATGTTATGGATGAAGGGAAAAGCGATGAAGACAAGCGTACGTCATGGGATCCAGTCAGCTGATCGCAATGGCGGATAATGTCTCGGATTTTCCTTTCGCCTGATCGATTACTTAGATGCATTGGAGTGCAAAGCGGTGGATTTAGTGGCGTAACAGCGTCCCAATATACATGTTTACATGTGAGCCATACATAAATCTAGGAACTCATACACCGGTGAATCAGGCCAGCCTGTCATATCCACATAGTGCCAGCTTTGTAGATGTACTGCAGTGGCCCGTGGTGGCCCCTTCCGCTGTCAAGCACAAACACCCATACGAACATATTCGCTGGCACAACTGACAATCCGCCATGGCGTCAGGCGTTGTGAGAAGTTTCACACTAAATCATGTTGGTATCTGATTGCGTACCAGCGCCGCTGGATACTTCGCCCGGTCCAGACCAGCCCTTACTATTATGGTACTGAAGCAGTTTCGTAGCCTGACGCTTCCCTGGTGTCCGTCTCCGCCAGTCCCGCCGACGCGCTCTACCGCTACCAGAACGCGACGAACGGATACGCCGCCAAGATCACAGACGACCAAGCTAACGCACTGAGAAACCGGGATGACGTCTCATCCGTCACCCTCGGTCAGGTCTACGTCCTAGGCACCACCAGGACACCGGCCTTCTTGGGTCTCGATGACGCCTCGCTCCTCGGTCGTGGGCTCGACATTGACCCGAGCAGCTATCTCGACGAGAGGGGCGACTACAGCGGGATCCAACCCGAGTCAAACCTCATCGTCGGCATGCTCGACACGGGCGTCCGGCCCGAAGAACCCAGCTTCAAGGATGACGGCATGCCACCCGTCCCTGCCCACTGGAAGGGCAAGTGCGAAGCCACCGATGACTTCCCGGCCACTCGCTGCGACAAGAAGCTCATCGGCGCGAGGGCCTTTTACAAGGGCTACGAGGCCGCAAATTCCGACGAAAACGGCTTCTTCAACAGGACTGTAAAGCACAGGTCCCCCAGGGACGACGATGGACACGGCTCGCACACCTCGTCCACCGCAGCCGGAGTCGCCGTGCCGAACGCCAGCCTCGTTGGCCAGGCCTCCGGCACGGCTCGTGGCATGGCCGTGCACGCCCACCTCTCGATTTACAAAGTCTGCTGGGATGACTTATCTGATATCCTCGCGGGCATGGACAAGGCAATATCGGACGATGTCAACGTCATGTCCCTTTCTATTGGATTCAGTGGAGCACCCAGATTCGATAGCACGTCAATCGCCGGATTCGCCGCCGTCTGGGAGGGAATCTTTGTCGCCCAGTCTGCCGGCAACAATGGTCCAGCAGCAGCCAGCGTAGTCAACGTCGTGAGCATCCATCGCTCTCGCTCCCCTCGTCCCCTTTCTCTTTGCTCCCGTGAAGCTCAAACACATCGAACTCTAACTGTCGCCGCCAGCACACTCGACCGTGATTTCCCTGCTCAAGTCATCCTCGGCAACGGCAATAACTATACCGGCACCTCCCTCTACAGCAACGGTTCCGTGACCGACATCAAGCCCCTCACCCCCGGCGAGGCTCTCCCCCTCGTCCACGCCAGTCTGGCGGGCTTGGGCAACGTCACCAGCGCGAACTTGTGCCTGGAGGGCAGCCTCGACTTCGATGGCATGGAAGCCCGGGATGCGTCCAATGAAGATGAAGACTGCAACGACTGCCCCCAAAATCAGTGACAAAGAGTTCACCATCTCCGGTCCAGCGTCAAAGCGGGTAGTTGAGGAATCGGGCTAGGTGCGGCCACGGTTGCTGACACCCACCGATTGATGACAAGACGGGAATAGGACGAGGGAAACACTTGCGTCGACACCCTCTCTGGTCGGAAGAGGGGGAGGGATGTTGTGAAAATAAAGCTGCTTCGATGTCCTCGTCGGGCAGCTGAAGCCAGTTGTCATTAGGTGACAGCCTCACATGGGTGGTAGAAGATGGATGTATGCATTGCACTCGCCCCGTCTCAGCTTAGCCAGGAGCATGCTGTACACCCCTTCGCGTCACTATGATTCGCTGCGCTTCCGAACATCGAGTGAGCTAGCTCGCTCGCGTGTCTTCCACGCCTGTACCTGCTTCTGTGCTTGCATGGCACTAACACGACGAGCTACAGGAAACAGCCACACGCCAACCTAACCGTCGTGCTCGCACCTACCCTCCCTGGTGTACGGCTAGCCAGTCGCCATCCGCATCCCATCCTTTTAGGCCTGCTCGCCGAGCAAGCGTCCCGCTTTCCTACCCATCCACAGACAAGAGAATTCACCCCCCTCCCCTCGCTCCCACCCTCCCTTTGCATTTCAATCGTTCCCGTCACCTTACCACAGTAGGCTTCCCTCACCCCTCCCCGTCCCCTTCCATTCGTCTCCACCTCTTCTTCTGCCCTGCCCTGTAAGGCCCTGGGCTACGGGTACCTGAGCTCCTAGGTATTCTCTCAGTCCAGCCTCTGCCTGTCTCTCTCTAGTGTCCACCCCGCCTACTCAGTGCTGCCCCTGCTGGGGCTTAAAAGGAATCAGCCGGGGCCTTCTTCTCTAATTCACGTTATGCCGAAGTTGGAGAGGTTTGGATGTGCCTCCATCTGGGTCCCTGGGCCGCTACCGCAACCTACCGCTACTGCTGCCGGTGAACTTCGCTTGCCGCAGCCGACAGCTTCCCTCCCCCCTTCTCTTCTCCACTCCTTGCCCAGGCGTCTCCTCCACTCGACTCGCTATCCCGCCTTTTTTCATTGAGGTACCCTCTCTTCTCCGTCTTGCCATACCTGGGTGGTCCCATACCTGGGTGGTCGATTCTTTTGTATTTCAACTTACACAGCAGCTGGCGGCGTCACACAATCGCCTTTTATTTCGGCTGTCGTCTACCTCCACGACCTGACTTACGGACCTGAACTCTACCCACCTCAGCTCCGGCCACTCTGCTTGCTCCGACAACAGTTGCTCCTCATATTCCTCGACGCCGTCCCGACCTGTTCTGTTTCTGCTTGTCGCGCGATTGGACCGCCGAACTCAACAATTCTACATCTAGTCCAACCACGTCGACGTCTACTCCATTTTTTCTTCTACGTCCGACTCGCGCCCGGCTTGCTCCATCTCGTCTAGTCCTGTCTTTCCTTTTCAGTCTCCTGTCGGCTACGACCGCTGCGTGACGCAAGAGAGAGACCGATAGAGAGCACTTTTCTTCAATTGCATTGGCCCCCGTTCTCAACCAACGGCGAACCCGACTGCCATCGCCACCCACGGCCTCCAAGACGACCTCCTTGGCCTGGGACGCTTGCCGAATCCCACCGCGATCAGGACCGTAGATATTTTCCCGCCCATCACTCATGACGCCCGTGCTTCCGTCACTATAAGCCTCAGTGGCGCCGCTTCAGCTGGAATTGCCAATCCTCAGCTGGCACTGTGCAGATACAAGTCGACGTCATGGAGGCAGCCTCGAGATATAAGCCTGCGGGTCTCCCGAGCATCTTCATAGACTCGAATTCAAGATATCCATTCTCTGTCGCCATTCCCGGCTCCGCTGATCGAATCAACGCACCGCCGCCTTTATCGCCGCCGCGACTCCCACTCCCCTTTGACGATCCTCACCATCCTAGCTACCACAACAGCTCAGGAAGCTTGGAGGACAGGTCACACTACATGAGGTCCGGTCACAGACACAATGAGAGTTATGCCAGCATGGGTTCGTCCTCAGCTTCGGCTTCCGCAAGGTAGGAATTCCCCTACCCTTCAATGACGCCTGTTTTGGTTCTCGACGAACATGCCTTGTTGAGGTTTTTGCGCGTCTAACATGACTGGCTTGATAGGTCTGAATGCTCCCTTCCCAGCATCACTGCCGGTTTTGGCCTGCATCATAACCAGTTTCAATTCCAGTCCGGTGCCGACGCTTTCACCGATATGAAGAAAAAGCTCGCCCCTTGGGAAACCTTCGACAACAAGCCGGATAGCTCGCTTCTCAGTGTGCCGAGTACATCATCCACTAGCGGATCATTCTCGAGGAGGTTGTCAGACGATGTGCGTGGACCGCTTTCCGCACCTACCAGCCGCCCACCGCACCTCAAGACGTCAAACCTGCTACATTCTCCCGACAGGTACCCGCAGACTCCTCACTCTGCCCTTTCTCCTTCTCCGAGAAGTCAGTCATTCCATCTCGCTCAGGACCATAGATCATCCTGGTCTGTCTCCGACCTCGACAGGTCGCCCCCAAATTGCACTAGGAGAAACAACAGCGACGATGCATCATCGCACAGCTATGGAGTGGACGAAGTAGAAATGGGAGAGACCAACCCTATGAAGAGGCAGCGGATAGGGAACCCCATGAGAGCTCACTACGACGGTGCAGGAGCGAAGCGAGGGGCATCTGCCGACCCCGACGCCAGCGTGCCCCTTGGTTTCACAAGCCAAGGTGACTTGCTACGTCGTCGTGATGGAAACCAGAGGAGATCTGCGACGCCTCGGCTGAGCGTCATCCCCCAGGGATCCGTCTCTTCAGTGTCATCCGGTCGCGTGGGGTATTACAGCTCTAATTCGTCCCTGCTCACCGGGAGCATTGCCAGTGTGGGCTCGTCATATGGCCGAGTCTCTCCAGGTGGACTGTCTCCAGGAGGAAGTTCACCCGGCGCCGGCGGAACTGATTCCAGCCGCAGCTCTACCTACAGTGCATCGATGTCGCTGAACCCCTCGCCACGCGGTTCCCTTCCCAGGGCACCCGAACGGTTGACTAGTAGCGGAAGCCGGCCTCTCGCTTCTCCCTGCAAGCTTGCTGAAGTGAGCAAGCCTGGTGGTACCAAGATTTTGGAACTTTTCATGTGCGACTGTTGCCCAAGGAAGCCCAAGAAATTCGGGTCGGCTTAGGAGTTGGCGTAAGTACAAATTCCGTCAAGGTTAAGCAATGATTAACCAATCGGCAATAGGTCGCATGAAGCTGAGAAGCAACACGAGTGCTCAATCTGCGGAAACCGATTCAAGAACAAGAACGAGGCAGAGCGCCACCAGAACAGTCTTCATGTTCGTAGACACAGCTGGAGTTGCTCGGCCTTGAACGGCTATGACCGAGCCTTCCACGATAGCACCAACCGCCCTGGAGAAGCAGACTATTGTGGCTACTGCGGTGAGGAGTTTCCTAGGAACGGGAGGGGCCCTGGTGCTTCCGCTCCGCGTCATGCCACCGACCAGGACTGGGAAGAGCGCATTCGGCATCTTCAAGAAGTCCACAAATTCCGGGAGTGCAACAGTAGTAAGAAGTTCTTCCGCGCAGACCACTTCCGACAGCACCTTAAACATAGCCACGCAGGAATAAGCGGCATTTGGACGAACATGTTGGAGAACGCATGCATGTTGGATGAAAATCCCTCTCCGAGATGAGCCTAGGTATCCCAGGCGTGACTTATCGACGAGGACTCGGTGAGATCCATTACTTGGCTGACACGGCCATTCACTGAATGCGAACCCTTGGGACGCGAAACCGCGACTTGATATCGACGCACAGAAGTCGGAAATCTGCCCTCGATCGGGGCGATTCGATACCGAGACAACAATCGAGTTGAAGAGATGACCAGCGACGCACAGGGCCTGAAGGGTTGTTTCTTCTCACTTGGAGATGGGACAAAATTTCCCGCCCCACGGCCGGGCCAGAGCATTTCTCGCCAGCGTCATGAGCAGTGCAAAAAATCAAAAGCACTTTGTTGAAGCATGTGGGCAGCATTCACGGATTTGATGGGCCAGCTCTCTGGAAGCATCCATGTTTTGGGGCTTTTGGAGTATGAGTGGTCGCCATGTACTGAACGAATAAAAGTTCCACGTGGGTACGCACGTGACAGACGTCTTGAAGAGTACTGATACCAATACTGTTTCGTGACACATTTGGAGGAGATGCTAGGCATTGTCAAGCCAGTGGTGAGGAAGTGATGATATTGGTATGAGAAGAGACACAGTATGTCCGGAAGCGAGACTTCTGCGAGACTGCTGGCAATGGATTTCGTAGGTTCGGGGTACACAGGTTGGACAAGAGTGAAAAACAATACGATTTTCAGATAAGCATTAGAGCTTGGTCTTCCTGGCCCGCAAGATGAGAAACCCCTGGACGAGTAAGTGATGTCCCTCGGGATGGACATGGTGGATACTCAGATTGAAACTCTGGAAGTATTGAGGGAGGAATTCCGGATTGAGTGGGAAAGGAGGCAAGAGACATACACGAGCGGGCGCTTGAACATTCCAGGCGCAGGGACCCATAGAAGCACTCCGTCTGATGTTCTCTCAACTACTTAAATCGACCCGAAGCGGCAATCTTGTCAGTATCAATCGTCCAGAAAGGCCCATTTTGAACACTGTCCAGAAGGGCCTGCTGCACACTTTGAAAGATCTTGCCTCGAATTGTGCAGCGCCTTGTCCCTATCAGCGAATTTATTCATGAGAAGCGTGAGATTGCCGCTAACTTCCTCGAGGGGCCACCGCATCTGTGTCGAATCGTCCGAAAAGGGCAAATTGTCGTTTGGATGCATCCTCTGGGCTTAGGTGTACGGAACTGGATGATCATAAACGCTCAAGGACTCAGGGGTATGCTGGCGCGCTTCGCAGCATGCGTGAGCCATACGGCACATCTTCCCACCCACCGCTACGCAGTCACGTAAAGAAATGGAAACGCTAGCAGGAAGATACTGGGAGCCTGAGCGGCCAAGCAGAGCCCAGCAGACAGGAGGAGAAATCCTTCCCGCCTCCCTTTGGTGTCCCCATGTCACCGCTCGACAACGAGGAAGTGCACGTGTGTATGTATATGATCACGCGCAGTGAGGCAAGCTTATTTGCAAGGCGCCTTCCGCAAGTAAGTGAAGTTGGAGCTACTACAAGATCCTAGGCCATTGCAAGCCACTTTGGAAACGAATCTGGAGCGATCTCGCTAGCTCAGTGAGCGCGCCAACAGGTTCAACTCATCTATATAATTGTCTTGATATCATGAACATCGTGAGATGCATTAATGGCCTGCGGGCCTGAGGAGATGAACATACACAAAGCGAGAAGCCACGCGGTGTTCTTATTCAATATTAGTTTGACGCAATACAAAGATGATGACTGAAGTAAGTAATGGCATGGATTGGTGCGAACGGCTGCCAGAAACCGATCAGAAGACCCTTCGCTCACTCACTTGAACTCTTTAAGCAAAAATTCCGCTGAACTAGGGCAATGGACTACTACCCGCCATCTGCGTATAGGAGGGGAGCTTGAGCACGTCCCAGTACCCAAGTTTGGGCGCGTAGACCATCCCTCCCGTAGCGAACTCCTTTATGTCCTCGAACATGGTGCCAAACCGCTGGCCCTTGTTCTTCTGCACGTAGGAGTCGATACTAACTCTCTCTGCGTTCATGTTGGCCATCGCCGCGCCGTTTGGCAGAGAGCCGGCCGTTGGTGAAAACCCCTGTGTCGGCGAGTGGTGAGGGATGCCTCCGGGATAGCCGTCGTGGCCGGCCTGCTTGTGGACTACGGCGGCGTCGACAGCGGCAAACGATGATGCTTGCGAGGAATCCCTTCGACCGTCTGTACCGCTTCTGCTGGGTAAGGAATACTCGAGACCCGAGGAAGAGCTCCTTGCCAACGTGCTAGCCCGCGATCCATCGGGCCCATCATAGGCCGTTGGCCGGTCGTCGTCCATAATGATGCCGTTGCTCGTGATCTCGTCCGCCATAGCCCTCCATTCCAATCCACCGCCACCTCCACCCAGTCGAATGGCCAAAAAACCATCCTCGCTGTTCCTCGAACCTAGGTAGTCGGAGCAAACCTTGGTGAGATATTGATCTATGTCCGTGAAATGTGTGACGTAATTAGAAGCCATGCTGAAATAAGGCGCAGCCTTTGTCAATGCTTGGAAAGCGATACTAGTGGTTCCCGTTTCCGCGTTGTCGGACATCGCTCCCGATTTTCGTTCTTCGATTTCCTGTTTGCTAACCATGTGATTTTCGGCATCCATGTGAGGATAGTGCCGTGCGTATATCCCGATAAAGGCTGCTTGCCAGATGGCAAAAATGACCAGTGACGAATGAGGAAGTTTGTCTCGGCATGTCGATATGAGGTCGATGATCTCTCTCCCAGCCTTGAAGACCTGCTCTGCGCTTCGCTCCCAAAAGTGATCAGGAACAGAGCCGGGGTCGAAACCGGGCTCGTCCATAGGGCCAATCGGCTTGGAGCATTTGATGGCGATGAAAGGAATGTATTCGCGATGCAGCATGATTTTGCAGAGAGCACCCAGCATGTGGAGTGACACGTACGTGCTGTTGTCGTGTTTCCAGAAGTTCGAACTGGACCAGGTGAACTCTTCCGGAAGGTGTGCGTAGAAGGCGTCCAGCTTCTTGTTGAGTTGAAAGAAGGTCGACTCTTGGTCCCATGGCGGAAGTGATTCTGTGCGGCGGCCGCCGGCAGAGCTGTACTTGGTGATATCGCCCCAGAAATCGGCCAGTTGCACGAATCGGCTCAAAACGCTGTTATCATTTGTTGGCTCCATGCCTTGTCCCGCCTGTGGTAAGAATCCGGTATCAACGATGCGGCCGAGGTCAAAGGCGTGCTCGGTGCATGGGAGCTGTATTCGAAGATCGTCAGATCGGACCATGGAAACTCGGTCAGATCCGAAAGACAACAAGCGATCCAATATCAGGCAACTGAACATAGTACGTCGCCTAACCTCCTGGTCTGCCCGACGATCCGAAAGCAGTCGCGCAGATTGAGTCGCTCGAGGAGATGGTGCCAAAATGCTCTTGTCTCCAAAAGGCTTGTCCTCAAACCCCAATTTCAAGGCTTGGGCCATTCGTATGGCAACACAGACGTACATCCATGCAGCCAAGCCGCCGTTCGGCTGGCTCCATTTGTGCAGACCGAGCATGAGAAAAGCCTGAACACGGACGACAGAAGCTGATGTTAAAGCCGATTCGAGTTGTCCCAGTGCTTCGGTAAGAGCATTTGCGAAATATTCTGATGCCATGGAGGGCTCCGGCCTGGGTAGAGCACCGCGAGAATTTGGACCCGCGATTTTATCGTACGTGATTTGTGCCACATATTTGACTAAGGCGGGGTGAAATCTTGCAGTGAGAGCCAAAACGCCCAATAGAATCAGACTTGATTCGGTTGACGGCTTCTTGGTGTCCTTGACGTGAATGATGCCCTTGAGAGTTGGGAGATGCAAGAACGGGAGTTCGGCAGCGAAATTCAGCTTGTAGATGTCGAAGAGCCGATGCCACACATCGACAGTGAGATAGGGCGCCGAAAGAACCTCCTGAGCAAGCGCAGCAACGGCACGCCCGTCGGAGGATGTTGCATCTTCGAGCTTCTTAACTCGCTTCCGGCCATGATAGACTCTCCTCTCCTGTCTCGGTGCGGTTGGCGGTTCTGATCGTTTTGCCGGGAGAGGCGTTGGGTCAGGAAACTCACACTTGTGCCCTCTCTTGATGCATGTGTCGCAGGGTGATCCAGTATTGTCATTGTCGCATTTGACTTTGAATTCCCTGCATCTCAGACAAGCTATGCTAGACCTCATCGGCGGGCGCATGGCTCTGGAGGATCTCTTGACACCGGAGCCTCCCGCCGAGGTTGGCCTTGAGTCGTCGTCGTCGGGCTCGACGGAACTGTGAAATTTGGCTCCTCCGGGAGCTTGCCTGTCTACGAGTTCTGCTACAGCGGGGTCCGCGGACGTTCTCTCCAGTGGGGAAAGGGTTTCTTGATATCTCCTCTTCGGCGTGATCTGAGCAGAGAATGCTGTGGGTGCATCATCGGAGTCCGACGCAGGAGAGAGTATGGACTGAATACGAAGTTGGGAAGACATGGTGACGGGTTGGGCCTGTTGGAGACCCGCGAAGCCAGTGAAGGGTGGCGGACGATTGGGCGCAGAAACCTCGAGATACTCGGTTCACCAAGCACCGGTAGGCTCTCTTCCCGTAGAAACCGCGCAGCGCCAGGATGATTGACTCGGAGCAGGGAGGGCAAGATGCACAAAGTTAGACGGTGAAGGCCAATGTTGGTCGAGGCGAAGCGGAGTAAGGACGGCTCAGGTGGCACGGATGAGCAGGCACTGGCTGTTGAGAGCTTGCAACTTAGGGGTTTTGGTTCTGGTGGGATAGGTAGTACTCGCAATGCGTCGGATACTGTATCTCATATTCACGATTCGTGTATGAACGATCTCCGAGTTGATGAGTATCCAAGGTGCGATAACGGAACAGGCGCCGCCTTGCTTCCTTGCTTGCTGGAGATGGAAAGTGCAAGAAGGAGCTCTGGCGATTGTAGGTGAAGCTGAGATGTCGAGATAAATCGATGATGATGGTTGAATAAGCGAAGTTGGGCCTGCAACAATGCGTGTGATTGCCCGCGGGATAGAACGGTTGGTGGAGAGAGTTGCTCCGTTGAAAGATCCAAGGGCGCAGAGAGAAAACCATGAAAGTGGGATTGCGAATCCAATTCAGGCGGGATGTGGCTGTCGGCCCCCCAAATGAATTTGCCGGGCGTCGCCGGCTATCATTGCTTGCTCGCCCCGCTCTGACTGTTGGCTATTCCTCTCCTTTCTGCGTTTGTGTGCCTTCCTGGCATCGGGCATGGGCTGGACCGGTAGCGCCTGGAACGAGCATGGTTGCTCTAGCTCCTCCGCGGCCGTCGTCCGGACTGCTGGTTGTAGCGACATGGTTAGAACAGCACAGCAACGCAGTCAGAACAACATGGCAAAACCGTCGAGTGAGTTTGGACGCGAATCTGCTCTTCTGACCACACCCTGTCTCCGATTGACTCCACTCACATAAAGAATGAGGCGGGTATTGGTGGAAGGGCACGAGGAGTCGATGCGGGCACCCAGGTTACGATCAAGGTAGGCCAGGCAAGGATGTCCGGATTGTGCCAAACGCAACAGATGAGCGAGGCTCTCCGTCCCGAGGAAAGTACAGACAGAGTTTATTACGCCCCGGCTAAGCCATTGAGGGCTCCTATGCTTATCTGCATCGTCTCCACCTGCGTTCATAACTTGATCTCCCGTAAGCCCATCCGTTTAAGATCCATTTTCGTCTGTGTCATCCTCGATTACTCCTTGCCGTATCTGCGGTTTCTCGTGGGGTTAGTAGCAGGCCATCTTGGGGCCACTTCCTCCAAGTGTTCAGGTTCCTATCTTCGGCGGCTGAAGCGAGTCCTGCTGTCGATGGCACGAGGGTGCGTGGGGTGTTGTTGGTAGGTTAGTAGGTTGATTTAGTGATGTTATAGGCTTCCACATGGATGGCCAATCTGTGCGTCGAGTCTTTCCGTAGCTATAGCGAATTTGACTGTTTCTCGGACGACGTCCAGGCAGGGTGACCAGTCGTCGGGGTCGGAGGTAGTCTTCCCACCAAGATAGAAGGGTAGGTTTCCTCTGCGTATTTCTGTACGTTGGAGCATCCTTTTTCGCTGTTCTGTCCACTGGGTGCAACGGAAGAGAAAGTGTTCGACCGTCTCTGTTGCTTCTCCGCAAGCACACAGGTCTGAGACTATTGCCCCAATCTGGTGCAAGTACCAATTCAGTCTTGCCATCCCGGTCCGTAGTTGCGCTAATACGCTGGCTTCTTTCCACGACATCCCGTCATATAATTGGCGTGTATGCTTTCCTGGCAGAGCTGTGTCGATCTTCTTGGAGAAATATCCTACGCCCTGTGGTAATGCTTGGTACTTTTCTTGTACTCTTCGTAAGGTGTTCCTGAGGGTGGTTGAGTAGGCCCTAACTGGCTTCTTTCTTGGAGTTTTCCCCTGTCTTGTGCTCTCTTTCGCCGCTGCCTTGGCCACCTGCATGAGTTCGGATTCTATTCCTACTGGAAGCCAGAGGAGCGATGCTCTGTTGCCCTTGCTCTTGAGAGCCTCAACGGCGTTGTGTATGCGACGGATTTCTTGCTGGCCCGATTGTTGTCGAGGGTTCCTGATTGCCAGTACGGCTGCCTTGTTGCGGGAGAACACATAGACTACGAGATGCTGAACCCTATTGGCGAGCGACTCTAATGCTCTTGCTATTGCTGCAAGCTCTGCCGTATATGGGTTCTGTTCTGTTCTGGGGCCAATTGTAGTGGATACTGTCGTCGTCGAGCCGCCTCCCCTGTGCGATAGGGGAAGCATTGTCGCTATCCCGTAACCCACGATTTCGTTCCTTGCCGAGCTACTTGTCGCCACTCTGAGTGCCCATCCGGTTTCAATTGCCTTGCTCGCCATTCTCCCCTCCTCCTCGACGATTGCGTGTGTTCGTTCCTCCCATGGCGAGAGTGGAAACGCGTCGATGGTCTCCAACCTGTCTACGGGTATGTCGTAGTAGACTGCCGCCATCTTCTGGAAAGGAGATATGTGTCTTTTGAAGCTCTGGGTTCTCAAACGCCGGAGCGGGTGGTTCTTGGGCAGGCTTCGCAGACGCACCCAGAACTTAGTCGCTTTCCTATCGAACCGTTCCTGGGCTGACTGTATACTGGCTTCCGCTCCAGCCACTGCTGTGGCTACCGTGTTGAAGGTTCCCACGATAGCCTGGGCTCCAATTCTTTGCACTCTATTGATAGCCCTCATTTGAGCTGCTCTGCACCTATATCTCCAGACGTTCGAGGCATAGTCCATCGTTGGTGCCACGGCCGCCACGAACAGTTGCCTAGCTGTCGCTGGGGACAGGCCCTTGAGCCGCCTCAGCTCCAGGAAAGTACATTTGCACCCACCAGAGTGCTGTTGGAAGGGGCCTGACGCGGGCCGCTCGCACGGCTCAGCGGATGGCAGGGACAGGCGTACGCGGAGCAGGGGCCGGCGAGTACCTGACTGTACCGAGCCGCCACCTTGGTGCATCGCCGTACGGCGCTACTGAGTGGGACATACCTTGCATGAGCATACGAAGAAATGGCTCTGGGGGTTGCCATAGTACCCCTTCCCATACGTGGTGTGGGCGCGGAAAATGGATGGTTCCTGCACACTCCCCCCCTTTGGCCAGCCTGCGGAGACCAGTGTAGGGGTGAAGCACATCGGCATGGCTGGTGTCGATCTATCACTTCGTCTATGCGCCAGGGGCCCAGCGTGAAGCGCGAAGTACACTCCAGATGTCGCTAATCCCTGGCGCGCCGGCCATTGGCCATTTCAACGACACGTCAAAGTCGGCAGGCACAAGACACTCACCGGACAAGCCCAGGGTGTAGGCCTCGGAGTCAACTGTGCATCGAGACAACTGTGCATGGCGCTTTGGCTATCCTGTCATTCCTTGACGCCCTTCGGCGAGATTTCCTGGAGCACGAACGGTGCTCCGGCCAGTTGGCGGTCGGCCGGTTTATGACGGTCAGCGAGACACGACGATGGTCCTGCAGAGACCGCTGCGCCAAGGACGCTCTTGCGACAGGCCCTAGGCTGTCGCGCTGTGTAGCAGACCATCCACATCTAGCCGGGCCGGTAGTAAGCAGCAGGATACATCAACGGCTGGCCTCAAAAGCCACGAGATCAAAACTGGCCTCGGTCTTGGGCCGTGCTCGCCGAAAGCTGAAGTCGTTCTTCTGCCAACCCCAGGCACTGTGGACAATGAGAGCTCGCTAACAGATTTTCACCCGATGCACCTGCCCACGACTTGCCCACGGGCGACAGCATGATGACCGAATCGCCCACGCCGAATGAAGTACTTCTCAATGGCCTACGGTCGCAAATGCCGGCTTTGCTTACATGACAAACCTCGTGCCTGCGAACGCTAGGCAATTGTAATTACACGAGGAGCACGGCGTTGTCGTGCAAGTTGTTTACGTATACGCGACAGCCCCGTGGGCGGATGTTGGCAACGTGGACGGAAAAAACGGGCCACCGCCACAAAGTAGGACACAATAGTGAGCAGCAGAGCTACAGGACCAGCTCGGGCGATCTCTTCGCTCCGTGGCCTGATCGTACAGGAGGGGAGACTGGCGACCACGAAATCGGCGCGAATGGCCTTCTGGTCCCTACAAGCCTTGGGATGGAACGCAGACGATGACCTTCTGCAGTCTTGAAGCATGTCCACTTGATACGACTGGTCCATACCCCAGAAAATGAGAAATCTGCGATCCGAGTCTTCTAAGATGAGCCACCAAAAAGATTGCGTCCCACGTAGTTCTTGATTCCAAACCGTCCGGCCTCGGTCCTCAGACACACAGTCGTACTTTGGCTACTCATCCCTTGTTTGAACTCACGTGGGTCGGAGGATTGAGCTCAACCAAAGTATAGAAGTCGAATGATGCTCCAAAACACGGACCATTTATCTGGATGCTGTTTGGTTTTGGCCCTGCTTCTACACGGTTGCGCTGGGAAGGAGGTGACGACATGACTGACGTTGGACAATTCTGGCCAGAATTGAAAATCGCCAGCATTCTGGGAGGGCGCCAGCGCATTTTAAAGAACGAAGGCGCAGCTCCGTTTTGTGCATCATTTTGGGTGGCACCGTGTCATGTGGTTTCGTAGAGGACCAGAGAATGGCGCTGAGAAGGATCACTTTTGCCACCCCTATCGGAACGACACAAGGTCATATGCCGGCAAAGCTTGAGCGGCTAAGACGTCCTAGAGGGGCGGTGCCGGTGAGTCTCATGTGCCTGAATTGTACTGACCGGTATACACAGATGGGACTGATTTACCACGCTGTTGCCCCATCGCGGTGAAGGTAGCTGCGGAGGCGTGAACATAAGAGCTACCGACCGAGCGAGGATCTGTCAGGCGCTAGTCTCGCCGCACTCTGCGGCCCATCTGCGTTTACAACCATCCGCCGAGCCACCGGCTGAACTTGCGGCGAACCATTGCTTTCGAACGGCAGAGCGGTGAAGCCCTGTAGCAGGGATTGAAATGCACACACCCTCCCCATCCTACGCCAGGTGGCTTGGGAGCAAGCTGGTGGCGGGTGGTAAGTACCAAGGGACCCTAACCCTTTATCGTCAGGGAGCTGTTGGTGTGCAACGGCCTCTCTCAATCATCCACGCCTGAGTGACGAAAGCTCACTCAGATGATTGTCGGGTGCATCTCGCGCCCCACTAGGGCCATGTGCGGGCGCAATACCTCCTCGTATTGGGAAATCTCTTGGGAGTCTTGTCGCAGCGCCGCTGCCCAGAATACTGCCACCGGGTACCGCTCCGTGGGCTCGCTTCGTGCGGCGCATAAATCCACGATCCCGTATAAGGACCTGGACTACAACCGGGGCATCGGGTTACGCCCGCCGGACCAGAGAGGCCTGCATGCTCCGGCGGCCACACCGCATCCCTTGTCTTCTTTCCGCCCGGCGCGGAACAAGGCAAGCACGGCACCTCAAATTTCCCCGGTGTGAACTACCATGTCGCCAAGGTTCCAAAGTGACGAGGCGCCGCCTCAGGAGAATCCGTTTGTCAGTTTCTCAGGGCTAACCCTCTCAAAGGCGCAATTTCCGGACAGTTATCTGATCCGTGAGAAGGCGACGTTGGCTTCGCCCCTTTTCTATTCCTGGAGACTTGAAAATAGTACAACGGCCTTTACCATTCATGCCATGATGGAAGCTTATTACAGCTATCGTAATCACGCCGGGAGAGGGGTCAATCAACACAATGGCTCATTGATTACCTGCAGAGCTAGCAATATGGTACGTTAGATCCCACTGAAATTTATGTCTGCAGTCATAGTGACTCTTCTCACAGTATCGCCAAGTACGAGGCGGGCCTCCCGCAGTTCAATTCTACCAAGTGTGAAACCGCCACTGAGTCTACGGCATCGAACTGCTTAGATGAACGCCAAGTCGAGGAAGAGAGACAGCAGAAGATCTGACCCTCTGTTGTATCAGCCTCTCCAGATTTTCCCACCCTGATGTGTTCATTCAGCTGTCATGCTCTCGCTATGGCCTGCTTTCAAATCATTCTGCTCATTTATTTTGACTCTTCTCGCTGTTGCCTTTGCTCTCTTTAACCTACTTTTGGGGCCTAAGGGCTCCCAATGGCAACAGCCACCGAGCCAACTACAGTGGCTGCTTTCATCACTTCGAATTCCGTGAGCCGTCGCCCGAGTTATCTTGCTTCATCTGCGTGGTGAGACTAGATGGTCCCAAGGTTCAGGCACGATGCGCTAAGAGGATACATCAGTCTGCTCTCCCTGGCAACTTCAAAGTCACTCTCAAGCGGTCCAATCCTGCCAGTTCGCCAACCCCTTCCCCATTGGTTTTTCTAGAACGTTTTGCAACCAAATACAGCTATTTCCCTGTCTGATGGAGATCCGTAATGCCTGAGAATCCAAAGAGCCTGACGGAAAGTTCGCCTGCCTTCAGAGTACCCCGACAGAGCTATGTCGGTTGTCTCTCGTGGTGAGTTGTTTGACCACGTCCTACTATTCTCGTAGTAATGTCCATGTTTCTATATATTGTCTTATTAGCCTATGACTCAGCTATGGGCGCTAGGCCATCTTTTTGCCCGGCATCAACTACGTTTGAAAATGATCCATCTCTCTCCTTCATGAGCGATGGCGAAACAGTGGCCAGGATGGTACTTGGTATCATACAGAGACCGACTTTCAGTTTCAAAGTGTCCGACAAATAGCTAGAGCTTCTCCGGGTTGGTCAGCGAATTCATACCCGGCCACCAGTATCGAAGAACCCATACTCTCCCACCAAGGTCCTTCTTGGTCTTTACTTGCCTCAAATTCTCCATGACCGTTCTTCCTTCTCTTGTGGTGATTAAGAGTGCCCCCGATCTCTTCCGGAAATACCACTCTAAACACAACGACCGATAAAGATTGAAATGCCCAGGCAACACCATTGAGGCCCCATAAAACGAATATTTGATCAGCTGAGGCTAACTCTGAACAAGGGCAAAAGGTCATTATGGAGTCTCACTGAGCCAGTGCCACCTTTCAACCCCTTCAACCCCTCGTAAGCTTGAATTTATGCAGATCTTGATACGGGACTTCCAAGACGACGTTGAGACTTCAAACAACAAGAGAGTCAATGATTGGCTACAAGATCGCTGACAACCCGCACAACGCCCTGTCTTAATACAAAAGCCTCTTCAAAGGACCAGATACAAAATGAAATCAAAGCCAGCTGTGGGTGCCTGGAGCCTTGGCGCCAGTTGCAACAGGCGAAGTAGCAAATATAGACACCGGAGATGCCGAACGCTGCGATTCGAGCTTGACTGACAAGGGGTCACCGTACGAAGGCACGTATTCGGAAAGGAGCATCATTGCTCGCTTGTCTTTGTATGCAGACGCCGATTCATCATCGGATGAGAACATGGATACCCATAAAATTTCTACTATTTAAGACCCTGCTACCATCACCACATCGTACTTGCCACCTGCACTTATCATTATATTTACTACCTGCAGCCGATCGACTCCTTTCTTCTTGAGCCACTGATGAATCAGAACGTCCGGCGTCAGAAACGTGGACAAAAAGAATTGGCAAGGATTTGAATCGAAAACAGAATCTATCTCACGCCTTAAACGGCAAATAGCCAGCGCGAGGTACGTATGTTGCATACCACGCTTTCACGGGGCTGCTGCACACATAGCTGACGTATTCACAAGAAAATGTCCGCAAGCCCAACTTCACCTGGCCTGAGATCTCAGGCTACAAACCTTCTACAAAAATCGGCTTCTCTCAGAGCCCGCTACGCTGGGCTGGAGGGTATGAACGATGACACGGAAAATTTAGCCGACCTAGACACAGCCGCGAAAGAGCTAAGGACAGCTAAGAGCACGAGAGAGACAGCTAAGAACGAACTAGACATAGCTGTGAGCGAGCACACGACAGCTGAGAGCTACCTAGATGGAGCTTCCGACAACCTTGAGGAAGCTGTCGACAACGTGATGGATACTGTCGACAATGTGATGGATACTGTCGAAAATCTGAAGGATGCTGCCGACAATGTGATGGATACTGTCGACAATGTGATGGATACTGTCGAAAATCTGAAGGATGCTGCCGACAATCTGAAGCAGGCTGCCGACTGTCTGAAGGATGCTGCTGACGATCTGGAGGGCGTTGCCGACTATCTGGAGGATGTTATTGCCGACGGTCCGGAGGGGCTTATCTATACCCGTTCCAAGAGCCTAAGAGGGCAACTTGAACACTCAAATGGACTGAACAGTGACTTGTCGCACTCTTTCCAGCCCACTATGCACCAGTCAAGGCGGCAGAAAGTCGTACTGGTATTCAGCCTTGTTTTGTGGTATTTCATGAGCAAATGGATTTAAGAGTCCTTGGTAGTCGCATACTGTACATAAAGACTGTAATACTCCTTTACATTGATGATTTACCGCCGGGTACCTTTACTGGTGTTGATAAGTGATATGTTGCATCATGATAGAAGTAAGTCGGGACGGCGATAATCCCCCCCCCCCCTCCACGGATTTTTGTCACCTCGTTTGCACCTGCACCAGGTTGTAACGACCAAAAATGCACACCACGTCCAGGGCCCGCCAAACAGGCAGCGGGTGAGGCTTGGTCTTTCTCGGCACAGGACTGCAAAGCGTCTGGCCTGGGATGAGACCAATGTTCTATTTTGGCTCTGAGTCACGAGGTTGACGTGAAGGGGCACAAAAAACAAGTGTTTGATTATGACAAAAGATTGCTGATTTCCGACAAACCAGTACTCAAATGGACTTTCAGGGATAAGCATTCAACTGAAATCGACGTATACTACCTACTAGCTACCAGACTAGATCACATCACTTGGAATGCGAGCTCAATAAGACAATTGTATGAGAAGCGATTCGGCAGCTGTTCAAGCTGTGTCAATGGGCGTTTCGTAACAAAGGGAGACAGTTGCGATATCATACTCGCCTTAGCCTTCCAAATACAGGGGCTTAGCGATGGACTTGAAGTATCAACGCATCATGGCTTAGAATATCAGCTAGAGAACATTGGCATTGTCAGACATATAGGGGCCGGCGAGTCCGAGCACAAACAGACGTTTTTGAGTCATTGTAAATGGTGGGAGATAGCTACGGATAGAGAGGCCAATGAATTGGCTGATTGATATCGAATTCATTTCAGATACCTGCCTCACACGGCAGCTAGGCCGGCTCGAGAATCTTTCATGAGGCAGATTCGGACTCAGCTGAATCTTTGCTGGATATGCCTCAATGAAGGCCTGTCGATCAGTGCCCATAAGAGGTTGTTGATGCCGTAGGGTATGGATTGTGAGCCGAAACGGCCCGATGTCATGGGAGTTTAATCGGTGTTCAGGGGCTGGACAAAAGGTTCCATGGCAATGAGCGATTGGTCAATAAGGGACGGTATGACCATCACAACTTTGGTCATGCCATGCATCCGTTTATGGGTTGCTCCGGATCTGCAGCCAGATCGGGATCAATGTGTGGCTTCCCACGTATGGGCGGACCTGATGAAATGTCTGGTAAGCGAGATGGCGAGGACGGCTTGTAGGCGCTGCGCAACCAATGTCTCTGATCATCGACCCCACACTCAGGATAGGAAGGACATCGGAGTGCTCTGATGAGACAAACTTCCGCAACGCCGTTATGGTGTGTCACGACATCTGTATGCCTCCTTTGCACAGGATCCGCGAGCCTGGATGGTATATAGTTGCAGGCTGCCCCGTCGGAACCTTTGAGACGCTTCCTGTTGGCATTACCACTTATGACACCCGTCAGTCCTCCGATAGGAATTGTGTGTCACTCGACTTCTCAGCCGTCCATTTCCCTAGAAGATCATTGCTCCGTTTCTCTGAACGAGAACCTTACGGTGTGAGCATAGGAAACTGCTCCAAGGCGCCGCTCACAGAAACAAGGACGAGCCATTGGTCGCCTAAAGCCGGAAATCCCCTCGACCAACGCACTAGGAGTGACAGTCTTCCATTCCATTCGAGACTCCTCATTTGCGGCAGTGTTTCTCACTTTTCCAACCTACCGCACCCTCCGGAACACATGGGTTCCGACGAAGCTCTCCAAAGTTGGATTGGGGTCGTGGCCCAAATGAAACTCGATTTTGAGCGTCAAAAAGACACCCTGGCACGATCTCATATGGATGAGCTTTCGGCTTTGTTCTGCGACCTGGATGAGGACCTGCGGTTGTTCGACGAGCTCGGCTCTGAGACGTCTACATTGATGAGACGGTACCAGAAAGAGCTGCGCCAGCATCGTTTGGAAGCACAGGAGAGAAATCACCGCTTTTCAACTGAAAAGCTAGAAGCGGCTGAAGCATCAGCTTTCCGGGACCTCTTAGTAAAGCTTCCACCTGTCTCTGTGCCCGATCTTGGGCCGACGACATCCAGTCCACACCCAAGCCATTCAGGTCCAGCAGGACTCCCTAGAGGCCCTGCCGCTTTTGGACCCACCACGAATCTGTCCATTTCGGCAATCACTCCAAGACCCGATCTGGATCAATCGGTGCAGCAGGGGTTCTCAACGTCGGAGCAGCCAGCGTTCCGCGGAGTTCCTGGCTCTCGAACCAAGGTGTTACCGGACAGTCACCTCGCCTCGCCACACAGGGACCATCCGAGTGTGCGCATTCTGCCCACCAAAAAGCGAGCCAGATCAGACAAGACTGAGCTATCCAGCAAATCTGATGATTGTCTGTCAGACACGCCGGCCAAGAGGCTCCGCACGCAGGGTCTACTGGCCCTCACGGAGACGGATTACGACAAATGCCCGTCTATGGAAATTGTCGACATACAGATGTCGCCTCCAAAACCACGTCTCAACATTCGTTTCAAGGTTTGGAACCGAATTAGAGGCCTTTGGCAGGATTGGAAACCCGAAGGTGGCTTGAGGGAGAAAAGCCTGTCAGAGGTCCACGATGAGCTTCCGCTAAGCTGTGGCTCGACTATTCGGAGTCTTGCATTCCATTTGATAGGGGAGAACCTGGATGCAAATGAGACCATACGCTTGAGAGGGGCCGGCGAAAGCCATTTTGACCACATGAAGGAGTCGTTTACGAGGTGGTTCGAAAGCTATGACAATGCCCTGCACCAGACTTTTACACTCGAGATTCAGGTGGGCGAAGCGTAGCGGACTAGAGGGTTGGTGTTCTCACTGGCTTTGGGGAAAGGGAGATATCGGAAGCCTGATGCTTTTGAATCACGAACAGCCGGTTTGCTCGTACCTGGGCCGTGTTACACGTACCTCGGCCGCCGAGTTCCAAAGAGGTTTGCTCATAGGCCTACAGTGACGATATCGCACAGAGGCTTTAGCACGTTGTGATGAGCCGGTCACGCTGATCTGCAGCCGTTGACTTACTGTGGATCACAACAAAACCAATGGCCTGTGGGACCGGGTCGAGGGGTCTTGATGAAAAATCTTGATTTTGTTACTTCAAGGATTGGTGCCTGTAGTAGTGGATTACGAAAGTCTAATTGCAAGTCATCCTCGATAGTGCCTACTGTTTGCCCTTCGTCGTGTGTACACATGAGACCGGCTCCTGAGGAATGTCTCCCGTCATCGGAGGCCAGCCACACAGGGAGGATGTTGCAAGACATTCTTGCCGAGTCCCCGTCAGGGTGTTGTGGGAGAGGCAGACATGACAGCAAGGGCAGAAGCCTCTGTCGCTCAAGACATAGCACCTCTTTCTCCCAACCTCACACTCCAAATCCTCATACAATCGCCGAGCACGGCGAAGAGGGAATGCCCGCGGAATACGTCGGGGATCTACGGAGTGGTGGTCTGTGCTCTCGGCGCGTCGACCCACACGCCCGCGGGAGTGACGTCCCAGGACCACACTAGCACGGCGGTGCTCACTCTCCCCGCTCCGGTGTTCCGGAGGCCGGAGCAACCCCGCGGCCGGAGCCAGCTCCTGGCGTCTTCGTGGTGGGGTGACCCGCGAGGGGTATCGGGACGCATCTCGCTTGCATTACATGTCCATGGTCGCAGACGACGCGAGAGCCGGGGCGTGTGCTCGAGCCTCGAGGGCCTGCTCGGGGCCCGCTTGGGGGCCTGCTTGGGAGTGGCGGTCGCGGGCGTCCTCCTGCATCTACCCCCAATGTACAGCGTTTTTGGCGGCAGGTACACACCATCACCCCTGTGCGGTAGGACGTCGGACGATCGGATCCGAAAAGCCGTGTGCCGTACCCCGTCAAAGGGTTGCAGCGCGTGATTGGCGGGATGGCGATCGTCGGTCGCATCCGCCTGCCTGCCATGTTCGATAAAGTTAGCGCGCCGTCGCGTGGCATCCAGTCGTCTGATGACTGACCCACCGACAACGGCGAAGCCTGTTTTGACTTCCGCGGAGAACGTCGCTGAACGGGCCAGCGGCTGCACCGGTGAAAGACATTGCTTCGCGTGGCCGTCTTTGTTGTTGTGCGAGGGAGAGGCTGCCTGCCTTCTGCCTGGATTTGAGCGGCGCGTTTGGCCATAGGCGACTGCGCTGCAGCCAATTGAACGCACACAGTCGTAGCTTCAACGGACAAGACACCAGCGCGTTTGTCTGAGAACGAACCCCCTGTTGATCGACGTCTCAGTAAGCCCGTTGAGGTCGCAGCAGCTTCATCGCACTGCAGTTTGTGCTTTTACACGCCGATGGCAGCTGTATCTGCGTGCTTGGCGCTTGGGTAAGAGCAGGTACCCCGTGTTGGCAGGCTTCTCTGGTCACGTTTGCCAACGACTGGACGCGGGCGGTCGCGGCACTCACCATGATTGGTCGCTGCAAGGCGCACTCAACCATGGAGACCGAAGATCGAGACGGGCATGCAATCGAAGTCGTATCCTTGCTTGTAAGAGGACGCCAGACACCCATTCCCGCTGAGTAGTTTACCCATGTCCATACTTGGCAGGCATCAGGACCAGGGAGACGTGCGCATACACCCCTGGCCCTTCGATTCATTGCAAGAAATCTCTCTGTGGGTGCGCCCTTTTCAATCCTTGCTGGCGCATGGTGCAAGGCATTGCGAGCCACACCAACGGCGGGATTCGTCGCGCAGACAGAACGTGACCTGGGTACCTCCTCGAGCCGTGGATGAGCCGTCTCGCCGCCGTCTGGTAGCGCGATGAGGTCTCTATGTGGAGACGTGGACAGCCCGGCCGGCCTCGTCTGCGCATTAGCGAACCGGCCACGACCTACGGGCTACGAGTGTTCGCTCTGCTGCACCGCATTCAAACAGCCATCGTGGGCTTCGTAAACCGGGACGGGCAACTTCTCCACATGGCACATATCTACAACTCACTTGAGGTATCTCACAAAGATCTTCCCCCCTGGCAAGATATGAAAGATGTGATCAGGCTGCAGGAGAAACCCATCTTCGCGGGCGACCCCGCCCGAAAGATTAACACTTGCAAGACGCGGCTTTCTCTTGCGCAAGGGCTGAAAATGTCCGAAAGCAGCAAGGTGCCACCCAAGAACTCCCTCAAAGACCCGGAGACTCGTCGAGAGACAGCCTTGTTTGTCTTTCAGAGAAAGTTCGGTCGTATAATCGATGAAAAAGATTTTGCGGAAGCACGCTGCACCTGGGTGCGAGACCGCAACAGCCCAGGATTCAGGCGTGAGTTGGTGCCTACGCCAGTCCTTGATGAACAAGATTTCCAGATGTCGATCGGGAACGGGTGGAGGCTGACGCTGGGAGACAAGACCGTCAGAGGTGCTGTTCGCGACCGACTTCGGTCGTCCAAAGCAGTCTCAGGTCATCCTTGTTTAAACCTGGACGAGCTTGAAACGGTCATCAGACGGGAGGTTCCAGTGTTGGTTTTCGACTTTGAGAGCGTGCGCCGGAGCGGGAAGTCCATCTTTCCAGATTGGAATAATATTTCGATTGGCGATGCCACGTACGCTGAAATTTGGAAGATAATGGCGGCCAGATATCCAGATCGGTTACATACTATTTCCCAATCCTGGAAAGATCGCTGTTGGTAAGTCAATCACACCTTTTACCCTCAAGGGCCTCTTTTCTGACCGCAAGTGGTGTGTACGGTAAGCTGGGAATCGACTGGCCGACTGCATACTGAGATAGCTTGTGCGAATTTGGTAGCAATGCGGATGCTGCATCATTCTTTTCAATTCATTGAACCTGATCTACTGTATTTTCTGAACAACCATTATTCCTCCCCAGTGAACTATGGAAAGAGGAGCAAACTGCAATGAAGTCTTGATCAAGTACTCTGCAGCCAATTCCTCGATCCACCTGCTGCTGTTGTCCTCCTGCTGCAACATCGGTCCATGTTATGCCAGGGTTCCGAGCGGGTGTGGATAACGGTTGTGTTGATGACGACCAGGTCAGCAACCCTGTAATGGGAGGTGAATCACAGTGTACTCTCTTGCCATCTTTCCACAAGGTCTCTTTCAGAATAGCTACTCTATTTTTGTTCACCGCAGGGTGCCCTGAAAAGTGGCTGTTACAGACTCATGTGACTGGCTTTCGCCGATGCAGAGGTCGCCACAGAGTCAAAGACGCAAGCGCCTCGAAATTTACCATCCGCTTCGGATTTTTCACCCAATACCTCCGCAGTACCATACTTGGCAATGATCCAGTCTGGGAAACCTTCCCAACGCTTCTCCTGCTCTTGTGTTTGTATTCTTACGCCGAGCGTTTCTCATGGGACACGATACGGCAGAAGAGAACCAGTAGTACGCGGATATGCTAGCGGCCAGATTTGAAGCAGACATCATACGCATGTGGGACGACAGGCCGTCGACGGCTAGTCATCAAGGCCTCGAAGGGATCACAACCGCCGAGCATCAGATAAGCGCGGTCATCGAGCAGATCCGATGAGACAGGGATCTGGGCGACGTAGACGTCAAAAACCAAGTCGAGCCAGAAATTGTTGTCGCCCTTCTCGATTTGCCAAAAGCTGGAACGTAGAGCCGCCGACGTCGAAGGCGGCGGGCATATCGGAGTTGCAGGCCCGGACCGACGCCGACCATCTCCGTCAGCTTTCTGCCAGACGACATCCCCAACGTAACTCTCCTTAACATCAAAAGCGCTATTCGTTCCGCTGGCAAACCGGGTTAAGGAGCCCGAAAGGTCTCTGCGTCAAGACCTCTATACGATGCAGCTGATCTCTCTCGGGTCTGCCCATGGCAAGGGTGGATAGCAGTGGAAAGAATTGGATGACCTAGGGCAGGCCGGCATGGAGACCATCTCCACCTGGACGCGGGCCAGATATTGCTGCGCGGCCCGGGCCCGCTGCTCGGCCAGAAAATGCTCCTGGGATCTGTGGGCCCTGCCACCGAACGGACTAGAGCAAAACGAAATTCGGAGGCGAGTTTGTTTGGCACGGGAGGCTCCCAGGTGACTCTCAAGGACATGGATGCATACTGTACATTTGCCAAAAGCAGGGGATGGTCCGGGCGCCAAGTATGTACAACTCCGGCACCCCGAATCGCACGTGAGCGTCTGAAAGGTCACGCCGCCTAAACGGGCTCCTCTCATTCTCTGTCGCGACAGAGACAGTGACAGTGGAGACAGTGGAGACAGGAAGCGGAATGCCTCAGGGCTCTTTCTGGACTCGACCGGCCATAAGGAACGACTCGGTCCCTGCATGGATCACACGTGGATGATGACACCCCACATACAAAGGGTCGAAATTGGATCTTCTTTCGCGGGGACAACAACGGAGTGGCAAGGCGTCGACAAATCAAATGCAAGCAAAAGCTGCTGTGTTGCGGGGCCTTGGAGGGATAATTCCGTTCGTACGCAGCTGAATTGAATCATGCTTCGAGTTTGGGAGGCTACTAGAGGCTTTCCGAAAGGCAGCCGTGAGGGAGAGTCCTTGAGGAGGCTGGCAGAGAATACCTCAAAATGGCTCCAGACTCTTCATCCCCCGCTCCTGCCAAGCTATCGACATGAAGACGCACCATCATTCCAACATATCCCCAAGCGCCGGAAGCCGCCCTGTGTGACGCATCTTGGCTCGGTCATGACTCCCGAAATGAAGACCCCATGTGAGGCAAATCTTGCTGCTTCAACGTTTGTACCGGATCAGTTTGCTACACCAACTAATGAGGCCGCAAATTATCCAATAGTACCAGCCTAGCAAAACAGACGGTCTCGGTAGAGCAAAGCACGCATGCTGTATGGTTCCATATGCCTATATATTGGCTCTCATCAGACCTCAGACCTCAGGCGACTCACAAGAAGGACTAGCATCAGAGCATCATCAAACACGCCATACGAATCAGACCAACGCCTCTACTACAGTAGTCCGAGTGCCAAAGCCCTTCGTCGCAAGAAGCATGTCTCTCAATCTTTCCTGGCCAGCCGCGACCATGCGCGCTGTGGTTTACCATGGCACACCTTTCGAAATGACGGTTCAAGATGTCGCCAAGCCAACGATCGTGAACGAGACTGATGTTGTCGTGCGGGTGACCACAGCGGCCGTATGCGGATCCGACTTGCACTTCTATCACGGATATATGGGCGGTGCTGTGCCATGGACAATGGGCCACGAGGCCGTCGGCTACGTTTCGGAGATCGGCGACGCTGTGTCCTCCTTCGCCGTCGGGGACTACGTCATCATTCCCGACACCGTGTCTGCGGATCACCTGGAGATGGAGCCGGCGTCGAAGGATTACTTCGGCTTCGGTATCAGTGAGATGGGTCTTGGTGGGCTTCAAGGTACGAGCATTCCTGCCGAATGACTCTCTTGGGTGTGCCGGAGTGCGATGTGCTGACAATAAGATGCATAGCTGAATACGCGAGGGTTCCTTTTGCTGACACCAACCTGATCCCCGTCCCCTTGACCCGTGAAACCGCCAACTCGACGATCGAGCACGACTACCTTACCGTTTCAGACATCTTCGCTACGGGATGGGCCGGTCTCGACTACGCTGGCTTCCAGCCTGGCGATTCCGTCGCCGTCTTTGGGGCGGGTCCCGTCGGACTGCTTTCTGCTTACTCGGCCATCTTGCGTGGGGCTTCCGTGGTCTACGTCGTCGACCACGTCGAGGACCGCCTCAGGCTTGCCGCTTCCATCGGAGCTATTCCGATCAACTTCACGGAAGAAAACCCCGCCAGCCAAATCCTGGCTCGTGAGCCGGGTGGCGTGATGCGCGCCGTCGATTGTGTTGGCATGGAGGCTCTAAACTCCACCCTTGGAATGGATGAGAGCGTCGTCGTGCGGCAGATGATCGAAGTGGTACATCTCGACGGAGGCATCGGCCAGGTGGGCGCGTACAAGTCTCAGGACAGCTCGCCTGGTGCACCATACGGCAGCGCCATTCCACCCACGATCCCCTTCCCCGCCTCGGACTTTTTCATGAAGCGCCTGAGTTTCCGAACGGGGGCTGTAGATCCGAAAGAGTACGCTCCCCAGTTGATCGACCTTATCAACCGCGGCAAAGCCCATCCCAGCTTTGTTTTCAGCGCCGTTATTGGCATTGAGGATGCGCCAGACTATTATGACCGCTTCGATCGGAAGCAGGAGACGAAGGTAGCCATCTACTTCCCGGAGTAGGACGGCTCAGTCGGACGAAGGTTCGAGTATGTATATAGGGAGAATTACACCGTCTCACATAATACAAACGAATTGCCTCGGAGACCCAAAGCCTCAGCAGAGGCGCGGCCATTTCCGCGACACATCGCACGAAGCCAGATTTCTTGTGACATGCGTCAATGATTGACTCACTCCACCACGGCTTGCACTCCTACGAAGCGTATTTGGAGAGGGAGGAAGCGAGAACATTAGGGCGCATTCTTGAGGCGAATCGTCGAAAGCCATGAAGATGGAATCTTGTGGTGGTGAGGAAAGGGGCATAATTGATTGATTGATTGATGTTATCCTACACGGTTATGTCAGCAGCTATGCCCGGATAGCGGGGTTTGGCCGACGGCCGACGCGCTCCTGCTGTGAATCCGTAGCGCCTCACTTCACCAATGCAAGACATTGGCCAGCTGTCTCCCAGAAGGGGGCATGATCGTGGAGATCTTGTGTACTTCAATTTTCTGTGCGATTCCTGTTCTTGATTTCTGATTGACAATTGCAAAATTGACAAATTTCTCATTACCCCCTCGTATCGCACTCCGCTTGTGCAAGACCTCGATGAAACACCGCCGACGACGTTCCCAACCGCGCGAGAGCCTGAAACTTGTGGGTAACAAGGTTCTGCGCCGTACCGTGCTGTCGGGTCGAAGCAGCGGCGCAAGAGCTTTTTGCAGAGTCTCTTCCATCATCTAGTGCCGAAAGAGGAAACGAAGCCGCAACCAAGGGTACTGCCTGCACAAGGGTCTGACAAAGGTTCTAGCGTCACTACATGGACTTGTCGGAACAGAGGTGTGGAGCCAGCTGTTTCCGAATTTTTGTTGAAAGGCGGAATGTACTTGGGAGGTCCAGTGCGCATCTCCTCTGCGCAATGACAGCCAATCAGAACATATGGCCAAGCCGGTAGGTGATGCAAGACTTCATTGAGTCAGCACTTTATGAGGATATAACTATCCTGAAGTGGTAGGTAATTTCTCGTGGTGTCCAGCGTCTTGCATATGTCAAGTGTCACGTGTGATCCTCTCACAACAACGCTGTCTTGACAGCGTGTCAAATGGGCTCGTGTATAAATTCATCGCCCCTACCTAGAGAGTCGAACCTCTGCACCGATGAGCACCCAGGATGCCAAGTAAAGTCACTCTATGTTCAAGATCGGATTATATTCACGCGGAATAAGAGGTCTACGAATGCTGCAATAGCTCCGAAGAAACATGCTTGTGCAGAAACGTCTCCACCTGTTCTGTGGCACCGGCTGATGAGCAACATGCAGGCGCAAAGTGAATTCGGTCGACCTTACCAAGAACATCAGTAAATAGTGTGTCAACGCTCATGTATGATGTACCTACTTGACTGAGCCATTTGTTGGTCGAGCCATCGCATGACTCGCGAAGCGCGGTGGAGTCTTGAATCGACGTTCACGGCTACCATTGAAGACCGGTCGAAGTACTGAATTTGCAATCATTTGTCGCCCTTGAGGAAAAGTTCCTGGTGGCAGCAATTTATGAGAGCGGCCCTCAATTAACTCCTGTTGTTGGCTGGTCGTCGTCGGCCGTCATAGTCACCCCAAGACACGAGCGATCGCTCCCGCCAGCATGAGGTTTTCACAAGGGGGCCTTACACGGGGAGTACGTTCAGCTGACTAATCATGTATTTCATGTTCACCAGATAGAGCCAAACCTTGGTATTCATCCCATCACAAGAGCTCCTAGTCGATCAAGCTTGCCCGCAGACAATCGATCAACGCGGGCCTTTTACACTACTCAACTCGTACGCCACGAGATGGGCTCTTGACTTTCGTCCTGCCTTTCCGAAGACTCAAATGGTATCTTCATTCCGTCTCAAGCACACTGGTTCGGCGGAAACGTAATCCTGAGCAGGGAGTTAAAAATGATCAGTTACAATGTAATTTCCTCTCCCTTCTGCAGTGAGACCCGATCCAGAACTATGGCATTTCGATGATCCAGAGCCTGACTAGGCCGAGAAGCTTTCGCGTCCGACGCTTACTCGTCACAGCGAAGCTGCCCGTGTCGGAGACTTCGACGGTCTCGCGTCTTCTTCTCGAAAATGCGTATGGTGAGATGCAAAAGATTGACGATGCTACAGAGCAGAATGATGAGCCAGAAATCGGTCATGGCGTGAACAAAAGTCGAACTGCAAAAGTGTGTACGTAAGAAAGACGTCTGAACGAAGGTAATGCTACTGCGAGAAACACGCCGATCAGAGAAATTGGCTCGGTAGCAGTGATGATAGGAGGAGCTGAAAAGATGGCAGGGCGGAGAGCTGAGAGGCCCGGTGACTGGGACGAAGAAGCTGTCGAGTGCATCCAAGTTATAACCAGAATATGCCGCGCCGAGAACACAGAGTGCGGTTACCCAAAGCCAAATCTGGCTTCGGGTCAGGAAGTTACCTCGAGTGGGGTGGCAGGGAACAGGAGAGAAGCAGCAGTTCCAGACCAGCATCCATGAGCCATTTCCTGCTGTAGTGAGACTCAATCAAAGTCTCAGCAGACTTGGTAGCACACATGTTCACTGGGAGACAGTACTGGACCACAGCGACCAAGACCGGCGGTTTGGCACCCAAAAATAAAATTGATACCCGAGAGAAAACGGCGAAGGACAAGGCCCGAAAGCCCGGCCCCAGCGCTCAGGCTCGCACAGCATGGGTCTAGGACGCGGCCCACGGCGCGCGCAAACGTGCCGTCAGCCCCCCACAGGACGCACAAACATGTGACACGTCCGTTCGCGACAAGGTGACAGCGAAGGCTGGCAGCATGGAGATCGGCGCGGCTGCGGAAAAGAGAGCCGATGCGGACAAAGATGTCCTGAAGATCAACAGCTTCGACGGTAGAGGTGCTCATCGTGCTGGTGATTCGAAGATCAGCCATCACGAAAATCCCAAAGTAGCCAAAGATACCAACGGTGGGAGGCAACTTGGCCGACGCCAGGCCGATGGTTCGGCGCTCCAGAGTACGAGCCGATGTGTTGTGAAGCAAGAATGCCCAACGACGCCGCCGCTGATGAAGTGTGTGGGACTGACACGTCAGTGGGTATGTTGGACATTGGTACGCATGGCGTCTTCGACACTATGGTCGGAAACAAATCACAGGCGATGAAACTTGTCTGAATTGTTTGTCGGGAATCATCTAGCGTTGCAGCAGGTGGATGTTTGTCACCAGAAAGGAGGGTCCCCGCCAGGATCCCTGGCGATGTGTCTGGTGGGGAGCATCGTCAGGACGTTGCCAGACACGGCCGTCGTCGCTGGTCAAATTTCCGGTCGTGACTGCGATCGCTCATCGCTCATGGTCTTTTGCTTCGCAACGCCCATTTCTAGCCCCATCCACCAACTTGGAACCCAACTGGAGCATCAGTAGACGTTAACCATCATCGCTCGAAGCATGACACTATGAGGAGCATGTTCAGATCTCTGGGTATTTCCAACACAAGAGCCATATCTGTTCCAAAGGTGGAAAGGGATGGTTCACAAACACCCGTGGCACGGCCGTGCCGCGGTACGCAATGGAAAGAAGAAGCTCCTGCAGCATGGGGGGGTATGACCCGGCTGCAAGCAAAAATTGACTCAGGGCACAACGCCAACCGTCTGAGACGTATCTGGGGAATCGAGGTTGACCAAGCAGTTGGGCGTGGTTGGGCGTGCTTGTCGGCGCAACTACTGTATGGTTTCTTGTCTAACAGGCCCTTGGCGATAAATATGTCCAACAGCCGTGGCGAGTTTCCCATACTCCTTGGCGGCAAGTTTGGATTTCTGGACACACCAGAGAACCACGCGACCCATACATACACAGTACAGCTACGATCAAATCAGTTTCTGGATCCCGATTTCTGGGGTTAAATTTGTCGCGGCCCTTTTTGCATCTACTTGCCCAGAAGGAACCCCTGCGAAACCTCAGTAAGCTCATCCCCGATTGCAATGTATGTATATATATACTCCCTGATATACTCCCTGATAGCAACATTCCTGCCGTTTGGAGATATTTCGAGAGCCATTTCAGGAGTCATTTCGACACCCAGGAGGAATCAATTGGCGTACTATGTACAGTACCTCAGGCAACACTTCATTACCATTGACTGCTTTCAGTGTCTCAACTTTAGGTTGCATTGTTTTGGCTATGTACAGTAAACCAACCATATGTACTGTACATATGTCTATCAAGTACCGCGTGAACATCTTGGGTCGATAGAGACAGGTCTGGCGCCGTTTCTCGGTCATTTTATGTGATTGTGTCTTGGTAAAGTACAATCGCACTGGTAAGGCGAAGAGTGGCCGATTTCGGCGCTGTTTAGGTCTATACATCAAGTGCCAATGACACATTCTATTCAAAGAGCGCAAAGTGACCATACTATGTATCGTTGCGACTCAAGGTGGCTATACAGGTATTGCTAAGGCATGAAAGTTGGTTTCGTGATCAACATAGGATGTCTTGGATTTCCCTGCGTCGGGCCAGAGACAATGTCTATTTCAAGTTACAGTACTTCGATTTACATGTAGCAACAGTCTAGTTGGCTGCCTGTGGCGATCCCACTCGGCCCCGGATCTGGTGCCTAAATGCCAGGTGCCTGACAAGGGTGCCCTCTGGTGGGCCCTTGTTAGTCATATCAGGGAGATACACTAGAACCCTCTTTTAGAGCCACTTTAGAGACCCAGCCAGATTCGAATGCTGTCAACTAACAATACCTACTTCCGTTAAGTGACCCTCTGCTGACTTCTTCACTTGTGAACCGCACGCCTCTGACACTAATCGCATCCCGAACCCGCCAAACTGCTTTCAACACCAGTGTCCTTGGCCTGTCTAGCCTTGCACAACACTTCCATCTTTCCAAGAGCGACAGCAACGTTGTCCAGAGTCAGAGGGCGTTCAGTCCCGTCAAGAGTCATGTCCAATGATGCTCCGTGGCTCTTGAGTTGTAGGAGCGTAGCCAGAGCTTTGTCTTGCTCTTGGAGAAGTGCATAAACAGCAGGAACCGCTCCGTCGCAATCTGGAATGTTTGGATCCACCCCGTGTGTGGTGATTAGATCGGCGATAATGCCATTGAAACCATTTCTGGCAGCGGCGTGGAGCGGGTGGTAGCCGAAGGCAAGTTCCGTGGATGCCCCTTTCTCCAACAGGAGCGTGGCCAATGACTCATGCCCGCCATACAAGGCGAGGAATAGAGCAGTAGAGCCACCATCTCTGTGTTGGCTATCGACATCTTCGCCGAGCTCCAGGAGCGTGTAGACAACGCTCAATTGACCGCTTGCTGCGGCATAACCCAGAGGCGTCACGAACATTGGTTGCGCTACTGGGCCTTTGTAAGAAAACTGACCAGAAAAATGAGAAACGACTCGGGCGAGGGGGAAAAGATCAGTTTCGAAATCGACCTGATGATGTTGTAGGTAATCGGCGCCATCTTCTTCGAGTACATCAAGTCCGCTTGACTGGGGACAAAGAATGAGGCTTGCAGTCGTTAACATTGTCTGCATGAGGGACGAGGTTGAGTGGGAGGTAAGTTGTGAAAAGACGAGCTAGTATCTACGTTGCGCTTTATGTATCACCCGTCAAGGTTTGCAATATGCACAGCCACTGAGCTCATGTGCCCAACACTTGAAAGTAATTGTATTCATTGCAACAAGTCGAATGCTCCTTCCCTGTTGTCGACTGCTTCAGAAGTCATGTCCAACAGATCGTGCATGCCATCGCCAAGCGACCCAATAGGACTCCTCTTCCGCACGTCCGTCTCGAAGGTGGCGCTGCAGTCACCTAGGGCGAAGAGCTCTACCATGTCACCGACATATTGATGGGACGGCATTACCTCCGGGGCTACCTCATGCGGCGCCAGGTCTACGTGATCCTTATCCGAAGACCCATCGCTTTGTTAATCGGCCGGGCTGATGCTGAAGACATCAGCACTGCCGTCAGCCTCGACCCCTTCCTCATGAGGGGTATCGGGATTGTCGTGTGTGCGTAGCTTTCCCGAGGACGGACTTGATGGTTCAGAACATTAGTGCAGAATCTTGCCAACGAGGTACGAGAGAAACATTTCCGACTTGTGATGCGGTCCGACTTAGGTGACCCATTCTCAGCAGGTCCTGCGCCTGAGGGCCGCGCTGTTTCCTGCCAACTTCCGCCTCCTTGCTGTTCTTGCGATGATCTAGGGCAATCCGTGAAACGCGCCGCTTCCACATCCAACTGTTTCTGGATGCATGATTCCTCGTTGGGCGTCCAGACCAGTTGACCAGAACCGCTAATTGCTGACATATCGTGTTCTTTTCGCCCCTGGTTGAGATGTCACGCACAAGAACCAGTCAACATCAGGACAGAATATGTGGAATACAGAGTGCTATTCAAGCAGTACACAGACGAAATGCAGCCCTGTGGATTCGCCTGCCGTGGTGCTGCGTCCAAAATGGGTTTCAAACCGAAAACCCGTTCTTCTTAGCTATACTACCGGTACCAATACAGGCACACCATTGTATGTCTGCTCCTCTCCTGCTAAATACATGCACCTACCGCTTCAATCTCGGTCGTTTATGGCTTATTTCATCATTGTCCTTATCGTCTCGACTTCGTTTCTTACGATGGTCCGAGGTGCCGAAGCACTGCTCGAGCTTTTGGCTCCGCACTAGCTGTTGCACGGTAAAAGGCGAGCCGCTGATGTTGCAACCCTCGTCGGCGGTCTCCCATAGGCAAACGTCGAGCGACTCCTGCAGACTGGCCACGCGAAACTTCACCTCCAGACGGAAATGGCCATCTGGAGAGGCCGCCGGGTATGGCGCGAAGTCACCAGGTACTTGATGGCCGCCGACGCGGAAGTAAGCCTTGCTTCTGGCGAGCTGCCGCATCAACTCAGTCAGGCTTTCAGAGCGAGTGCTCAGCCGGCAACGTATCTGTCCGCAGCAGTCGTACCCCCCATCGGAAAACAGGTACGGCTGCGAAGCACGCAGCTCAAAGATGAACAGCTCCGCCCTCGCGCACAGCTTCAGACGTCTCAGTGCGGGCAGGCCTTGAAAGGTGCACTCCTCATCACCTTCAGGGTCGTCGAAGCTGGATAGGCTGTCCAACGGCGGCTCGGGGCCGTCGAACTCGAAATCAAAGCGGAGGAACTCACCCGACCCACCAACCTTCTTTTGTTCGACGACCCGCTGCCAGTCATTCTTGTGGCGGTTCAGGAACGCTCGCCCCAGGCGGAAGAGGAAGCAGTCCCACCATCCGCCGCCGGACGCGCTCGCCGAGGAGCCAGTGCCCAGCGAGGCCAGAAGGCTCGGGTGGGGCGCCTCAGGGAAAAGGGCAGCCACCTCCTGCAAAGCGATCGAGGACGGGTTGTTGGCCACTAAGCCGCCGTCCTGGAACGTGCCGAGGCCGTTAACAGACCAAGGCGTGAAATAGCTGTGCCATTTGTCAGCAGCGACCCATCGCAGCACTCGATTATGGTCATCATTTGCCGCAACCAAGTATAGGTTGACAAAAAAAATGGCTGGCACTGACTATGGAGCAGCGGTTGCACATCGGATACTGCAAACCAGGTCAGTCACCGGGAGACACGGGCCTGACACACAAACACGTTGGAACCACACACATCTCCCACAAAGCCACCCGGCCCCCATTGGCGGTCGTCTTCAGGAGTTCATAATCTAAACAGCCCGTCAGCATCGGCTCGCGGCATCGAATCGCCCCAACAGAGACGGGGAAGCTACCGCGATCGCCGGCCCGCTGGCCCACTCCGTTGTAGCTGGTGAAGATGCAGGCGCTTGCGTCTCGCACGGTGGCAACCGTCATGCCGACCATGGCACCCATCGTGTCGGCGGCCGAGTAGTCGGCGATGCTTCTGTCGGAGCCGAACATGTCTCGCAAAGCCTGCTCGATGTGCTGCGACGGATATCTGCTGTCAAAAAGAAGCAAGGCTGCGGTTCGCACAACGGTGGCAAAAAAAGGGACCCGCATCATCAGTCGTATTAAAGAGCCTATGATTGGAATGGACGGAACCCCGCGAGGCGTGAATGCTTCGTTCGAAAGGGATTCGAAGCGGGCGATGCACTCATCCACCGTCCATCCGTTGATGCAGAGGGCACCGGCGCTGATGGCGCCTGTCACGATCTGTCAACCAGGGGAGTCACCCACATCTACACCGGCAACAACGACAGCGTCCGGTAACACACCTGAGCTCGTCCCGAAGACTACGTCAAAGTTCTGCTGTACCGGATGGCCGGGCAGGCCAATATCGTCTTCGAGCTGCTTCAACACCTTGAGGGGATACTTCCCCCGCGTCCCGCCGCCGTCAATACACAAGACTCGCACCGACGCGGTGTCCGGCTTCACACGTATCTGCATGTTAACGTTTTTTCCGCAGAGGATACACTCGTCGACTTCGATGAGCCACGGGTCGGCCGCACTCGCGACGCCAAATACCTTGACACAGTTCATACATTGGCCGTGGCCGCACGCTGGAAAGACCTGCGGAGCGCGCCGCAGACAATGGTAGCATGTGCTGTCAGACCGAAGCCGGTCCCAGTTCTCCGCGAAGGCGACGACAAGCTGTCGATGCAGCGACGCCGAGGTTTGGCCCGTCGTCAGCTGCCGGAAGATACGGGCCATCTGGGCCTCGATCATCTTGGCGAACTGAGACGGCAAGACGAAGTCGGTGGACCCTTCATGCGCGAGGACGGCGGTGCCGCATACGTTGTGGCACACGTCCTTGTAGAACATCTGGAAGACGTCGCGCGGATCGAAGACTGCGGGCCGTCAGTGAGGACCCAAGGTGGTGGATGCCCGTGGACGTACGGTGCATGCCAGGAGGATATTGGTCCAGTATGAAGCTAGAGGCGATGACAGGCACGGCGAATCTTTTCAGGTTGTCGACGGAGTCACAGTGCGTGAGGAACCGCGCGAGATGTTCCTGCAGATCTGCCGCCGCCGGGTTGTCCAGCCGAGATACGGCGAGGAAGTCGAGGGGCGGTGCGCCGGCATCGCCGACGTGCTCCGCGGCGTGGCGAAGAAGGCCGGCGAGGTGGGTGGCCGAGAAGAGGCAGCTGGCAAACACGCGCTCGACCCGTTTCGTCTCCGTCATGTAGGAAAGCTCATTGCTGAGTATGTCCCAGCGCAGGTAACGAAGGTGGCGTCGCAGAGACTTTGGCGTCGTGTCGGCCAGGCTGATGATGCGGACGCCGTGGAAACGTTCGGACAGGTGAGTATCTGTCCTCTTGCGGACGGCCTGCAGTAACTGACTGCGCGTGGAGTTTTCTTCGCCGCCGTTTGTGACGACCACCAACCAGGGCCGTACCGACGATGTAGACGATGTGCCCAGATCCAGCCACGACGCAAGCCGCTGGGCGACGACCTCTACGCCGCCGATATCGTCGGCAAAAAAGCAGATAGCATCGGCAAACGGCAGGAGCATGCGATTATAGACATGGTCGCCAGATTTCAGTGTTGTGCACGGGCTGGTTTCGCCGTGAGAGATCGAAAGTGGTCTTGCTACGAGTTCATGGCAGAGTGTAGATTTTCTCGGCCTCCCGAGCCGCTTATGGGGCGGGAGATCGGCATCGGCAATCAACGTGGGCCTTGCGCCAGACGCGCCGACCGAGGCTACAGAAAGATGGATCTCGCCGTGGCCCCGGGTCGTGTTGGGCCTTGTCACGTCCACGCCGAGTCTTTGCATGGCAACCCGCTTGGTCGCATTTCCTATCAACACGAGGGTACTCGGGTATTGGCTATCCGGGCGTGGCAGACTGTCCAAGAGTCTTTGGGCACGATCCGAGCCTTCGACAATGTATGCATGGTCTTTGGTGGCCACGCGCAGCCAGCCAGTGTGTTTACAACGGGTCATCTTGCGCATTGGATCAGGGCCGCCAGCTACATCGGGCAGACGAGACGCGTGTCTGTCTTATAGGCAGTGGCAGACAGCAACTCGAAAGCCAAAATGGGCCGGAGAGATGAACTCGAAGCCCAATGCTCGGGTGAATCCATAACCGTCTGCAATCCCCTAGTCAACGCTCTGAAGCCAATTCCGGCCGAATATTCGGTCACAGCCAAACGTAGGTCCAGCCGGCTTATTCGTAATTGAGCGAGTACTGTACTGTCCCCTCAGCAAACGGATCCACAAACGCCTGTGCGCGAAAGAGTTTCTGCATGTGAACACGGAAATTTATTTCGGTTTCTACTGTAGCCAGGGCATACTCTACTTGTGTGTGTGTGTGTGTGTATACAGTATAATAGTGCAACCAAAATTCGAGTGAACCTATAGTTTGTTATATTCGCTCGGAGTATAAGAAAGAAGCACAGCCGCATCTGGAGATAGATTGCCTTCCGCTCGATACCCCGCTTTGTGATAGGAGTATATTGTCAGGTATGTAGTCTCAGTAGAGACTTAAGACTTGGAACATGCGACGATCTCAATCAGCTCCACGGCTCATGACAACCAACTCTTCTCCGAGACGCCAGAAAACGGCCCTCGGTACCTCAGCATAGCTATTGCTTGAATATAGATTGGAAGACGAAAATGTTATTCCAGAATAGTGTGCGAATCCGCCCTAGGCAAAGCAGGCGGTGGAACTCCACTCGTTGAGTATTAGAACCGGAAATGGATCTTGCGCGGAGTATAACAGCTGCAGAGAAGCGTCAGCTCCAGATTTGGCGGATGGGGACATGGGGAGGTAGCCAAGACCTCGGGGCACGGCAAGTAAGATCACTGGAACTCATTCCCGTCATGAGCCAGATGTGGAGCATCAGGCAGGGGAGGGCAAGCAAAATCTTGATCTTGTGGCCGGGAGGACCCTGCTCCGGTCGCCAAGAACGGCCAAATGCAGCTGCTCAAGCTGCCGTGATCGTCGCCTCCACGTTTCGCTGTGAGCTAGATATAGGTCGTGCGAACTGGGTGCATGTCGGCACAATTGACACGGCTATAACAGAGCTAAGAACAACCGCGTCCTGAGCCAAAAAAGGGTTTTGGCGTACGGCTACTATTGCGCTGAAATCAGGTTAGCAATTGATGCTCGCATCAAACTGAACGCAATGCGCGGTTCCAACATTGAATATATGTATGTGTCAGGCCGAATGTGCCTATAACAAGTGGCTGCCATCGAGCTGCACGATCAATTGACGATCAGCTACACAGCCCCAGGTCATTCCAAGCTAGACAGCTCCCAATGAATTTGCTCCCTCGCGAAAGGGATATTCCTCCATGTATCTACCCCCCGAGATCCTCGTCATGACGATGGCATATTGCGACCAAGACACACTCCGAACCCTAGCTCTGTGCAGCAAGTTGTTTCGAACCATCTGTACGCCACTACTTTACAAGCGAGACTTGCAGTCGTTTGTTCCACGTTCTGTGACCTGGGCGATTTCCGAGTGCGAAGACGACTCCGTTTCACTGCGTGTACTTGAGAATGCACAGCAGTCGGGGGCGGATTTTCAGAGGAGACTACCATACGACTGCTTCCTCGGCCAATTTGCGATTGGTGCCTCTCCGGTTCTATGGGACGACCTGTTCCGAGGTACAGAACTCTTGTCGGCTTTCCAGCTTGCTGTTCTGTTAGGTCGCGATAAGATCATTGCATATCTTTTGGATGGCGGGTTTCACGACCGGGAACTCATAGACGACGGCAGCGTTTGGGCTCCGCTACCGTTCAACGCAAACCAGGCTCTGCCTTGGGAGCTCGACACTTCGAGGACCCTACACACCGCATCAGATCTTCGTTTTCAACAAGGCGTTCCGCCACTGGTCCCGTCCGTAGAGATCGAGCCGACACCTCTCTATTTCGCATCCTGGTTTCCCATGACGAAGGAGGAAACTCTACTTTATGTGTATGAAGCTGGGACCAACAGCCCCGCGATGACTCGAGGGGCCGAATCCAAACATCGGAGAATGTTTGTTGTCAAGGCCAAGCCATTCAGGCCCAGATGCAATTTCTGGTAGGATACGGGTGGTGGTTGCAGTGCTGTTACGATAGATGGCCTTAGAAATGATACAAGAGCTTGTTACCCGGAAACAGCCATGTTTGATCTCCCCATGGTGCGATGTTTTGTTTTGAGTTCATGACCTCGCTTCCATGCTCCTGCTCGGCAATTCCCCAGGCGAGTCTGAGTGGCATCCAGGACCACAACCTTGTCGCGTCAGCGTTGCTTTTCTTTTTGTCATCTCCAGCCATGGTCCTGCTGAGCCAGCATCAAAAAGACCGTACCCTCGGTTCACGTACTGCGAGATAGAAGCCGGCCTATGGGACTCATTACTCAAAGTAACGTCTTCTCCAGGGCTATCCTATTTCGTAGTGTGGGAGTCGTTCTCAATCAATTTTGCTTAGCAGTGAATCAAAGACGACGTTAATGACGGTATGATCCACAATAACTACTTCACCAAGGTAGCCGAAGAAGAGCGCCACGGTCGACGTAGACAAGCGGTCGCGAGAACATGAGCAATATTTATCTCCCGAGCATCTTGCAAACAAACCTCTGGATCAAACCCCTGTTACATGTTTCCACGAGCAGTCAAACGATGGCGTCCAGGGTCGTCTTTCCGCGTCCGGGCGCCTTACCTGTCAGGCGCGCAGCCACCGGCGGGGCGCCGGGGGGCTCCGGGGATGCAGCCACTGTGGCACCGGCAGTGGATTGACGTTATCCCCGTGTTGAGGGGGGTAAAAGGGGATTCCAGGCGTAGTCGACTTAGGAAAGGCAGTTCGAATGATAGTCACAATAGACCCTACGTGCACAGCTGACCGCTTCACTTGATGCGACGCGGCCTGACAGTACCTTCCAAGAGTGTGATATCTTTGTCAAGCCGCACGTGACAAATCATACATGCTTCCCAAGCTTGACGGGTGACACATCGAACGGCGCCACGAGAGACGGCAGGGATCGCCCGCATTCGTGCGCCCTACGCTCTCGGGACACCATGTGCGGACGGGAGCCAATTGGGTCTCCCCACATCCCTCTCCTTCCACCGAGTCCAGACGTCGCCCACCTACAGCCGAACTCGGCCGTCTCCTCAGTCCAGCAACGAGCAATAGCCCGACACCGCTTTCGAGGGCTGAGATACGCCATATGGGACAATTGGAGACCCTCTGATCCGCCGGCTTGAAGCCAGACGAGAAAGACTTGGTCGGCCTGCCGGAATCCGGCTGCGATACTGCAAGTACGATCGGCGACGGCGGCAGCCACACTGGAGGCTGGCACAGGAGCGCACACCCGGCAGATGTCGCCAAAAACGAAATCTGCTTCGGACTTGCCGTCGAGCTTTCCACTTCAGAGCCTACCCGTCACGATTGTGATAGCCATCATGGAGCTTTGTTCAGAGAGCGACGCCAAGGACCTCATTGGCGTTTCTTTGGCCAACCGCCATCACCGCCATCTTCGGAGTGTGTGCACTCTATGCATTTTCAAGACGGTACGATTGAATTCGACACGAGAAAGACTTAATGAATCTTTACGAGCTGTCAGTAAAAGAGCTCATTCTCTCATCCATCCGGTACAATTCGCCTGTTTCTGGCAAATGAGGTCGGGGTGCTAATGTCCATTGTAGCTATCTGCAAATCCACATCTCCAGGCAAAAGCATAAAGCCTCTGACGAGACGTCAAACACGGTTTGGCTGTCATCTTGGGCTGACGTTCTCATTGAGATGAAGCAGCTGAAAGAAGTCTCGATTTCCGTTCTTTCCAACAGAAGTCCCCATCTTGACATATTCGGCCTGGCCATGTGCAAAACGCCACCCTGTCCTGCGGGCACCTTATTGGACCACGACGAAGTGGCATTCTGATCGATTACGAACATGTTTCCCTATTGACATACCTTGGGCATTACCATGTCGCGATCACCACGACCCGGACACGGTTTCCAGCAGCTAGCTTCCCTCCGTAGTCTGCGATCGCTCGAAATGAAGACCTACGGATGGGAGCTGAGGGATGTGCAAGAGGTCGTCAGGTTCTCACCCAACAGAAGGTACCTCTCTTTGAAAGGCAGCCTTCACGAAGCGAGAGTATCTGTAAGTGGTCTCCTCTACAAGGTACAGCACGGCTTCCGGACTGAGTTTGGAGTGGGGGTACTCACCGAGTTCCCCAAACCCATCAGCTTGAAAAGCTTGCAATTGCTACCGAACAGTACATACCCTAGCCGCGGAGTCCTTTGAGCGACGATGACTACGACGAGCTCGAGTGGCAGATCGAGAACCACCCTCTCAACGAGGACAGCGACCAGGGTCACAGAAAGGCGCGTTGAAAGATATGAATGTGTACCAGTGCTCACTGGCCGAAACTCACCGACGGGGCGCAGCAAGCGTATGACAAAACGCCGTACTACGTCATGTGAAAGGTGGGAAGGAGGTGCTTGTCTTTGGGGTGATGTCCGTATCACAGGAGCTATCGCGGTACAGTCTTCTAGATGGATTTCGCGGCGCAAAGAGGAATTACAGCGACGATGCGCGGTTCAGAACACAGAGCTAGATACAAGTCGGGCAGTTTGTCCTTCTGATACAACCCCCTGATCCGCGATTCGTGTTGATCGCATGGACAGGGAGGTATAGGCACACTTGATCATCGCCATCACCGCTCTCGCAGGTCCGCCGTCGACGGGCGTTTCCCACGCACGCAGAGACAGAAGCTCGAACGAATGGTCCACGAGGCTATGCGACAGGTTTCTCGCCTACCGCTGGTGCGGCCCGTCCGATGTTGCAGGGCGTACACTTGCTCCACGGCCGACATCATCAGCGGGTACTGCTTCGGCAAGTCTTTCGGCTTCCTCCACCACCCGGCTGGGAGCCCAGCCTCGGGGGAGCAGTATGCGCCATGCACCATCTCATACACATCATGACGCTCCTGCATGTGATGGGCTGCTCTGACGGTCGGCTCTGACGATATCCGTATACTCCTTGCGACGAAGATGCTATCCAACCAAGCACCGTTTGTGAACGAGCCATTCCTTCCCTGGTACCCCCGTGATGTGTATTCCCTGATCAGATGAGAGCAGGACGGTCTAGAGAGCCATTCTGTGTCTGACTATGTGATTTGTCGGACTCAACCCGACGCAGTTGGACATCTGGCCGAAGAGAAGGACGCACTCGGGGCCTTATTGATTGGCGATTGCTCACGACTCGCAGGGCTCGACACACCCACTCTCTTCATGGTGGACAATCAATGCTTCACTCTTTTGGACACTCGCTGTTCGTCGATCGTGATCGTTGTGCTGAGCAGGTATATGAACTGGCTGAGTCTAAACAGGCAAGGTAGCTGTCTGTAGTATTCCTCGTTGGCTACTGTCATCGTCATCTGTGGTCCACGGTCGCTCGGCTCTATCCAGTGGATGTAACGGGTAGTCGCCCTGTCCTCCCGGTCGATCGCCCGAGCAACCCCCCTCTCTACTTCCCGAGGCTGCCGTGGTGGCCCAAGACGTGGCTTTTGCTCTGAGCTTTCTCGTGATCTGGAGCATCGCTGGCGAATTACCGCAAATGACGGTCAGGTTCGTTTCGGCAGACCTGGGCGCGTTAGTTTGAACCATGACGCTTCGCAGGGTTGCTCACATGAACACCATGGCCAGGGCAGCATACATGGCGGGATCGGAACGGCCTGGCAGACTGCAGAGAAAGAACAGACGGACAGAGGAGACAGCGATGCCTCTGTGAAAGTGTCAGTCGCTTGCCCAAAGTCGCCATCGGGGCCTTACACTACGGGTGAGCACCAGAGAAGGATCACTCTGCGTGTTTCCACAGGCTTTAAGCGAACACGAAACAAGTCCGGGAGAGGCAGGAGAACCAGCAGACAGCCCGTCATGATACCCGCTCCGGTAGCTGCCACGGGAAGTTGAAGGGCGCCGGCAGCGCCCTCGTCCGTACGTATGGGCTCGGGATAGGCACAAGCGGAAGCTCGATGGATGAGCAGCCCCGAAATGGCGATTGTGTAGGCGGAGATGACCGCGAGCATGGCCCGTCCTGCGCGCGTCTGCCACTTGCTGGGAAAGATGCGAAGGTAGAGCAAGACAAGAGACGTCTCCGCGAGACCGTGGCTCAGCAGACGTGCCACCTCTGCGACGTAGGTCAAGTCGGGGCGAGCCGATCGTGCCACGACTGCGGATATATTAGCGAGTCTCGCCATCGTGGATCAATACGTACCGATGAGGATGGACTGGGTGATGATGGCGAACACCTAGTCCCTCTCGTCAACATCTCGCTTCGTGCCGACCCTCGGCCGGCTACTCACCCAGGCCAGCAGCATCAGATCTATCCCGCGTCAGTTTGTGCGACCACCACAGCTTTTTCGTTCTACTCACAGTCATCACACTTCAGCGCCTTTTGAGAATGTCGGATGGCCAAACGAGCAACCAAGGTAAGGAGGGCGATGGCACCACCGATACCAAAAGTCAGGCTGATCGCTGCTACCAGCCATGGCTGGGTTGTTCGGGCATTCGCACCGCATGTTGCTGCCTCCATGGTGTGGTCGTCGTTTCGGAACGTGATGTGGTCGTCGTGGGCACGGGCACGATGCGACTGTGGAAAGGGTCGAGATGCTGGCGACTCTTATGCCGTCGCTCTTCGCCAGATCCCCTGAACAACCCCACTTCGTCGGGCATTCACAGAGCTAGCATCGGTGTATGTCTCATTTACACAACCACTGATGTCTGGTTGTTCTTCGGCGCACCTCCTCGTAGGTTCCGCGCGCTTGTACTAGGAGCTCGGTTGCTATGCCTGAAATAGCTATCTTCCCACCTTTCACCCCTTCGACAGCGCGATGGGACTCGCGGAGGTGCGCACCACTGGTCCATTCAAGAGAGGAGCATGAACTAATGGAAGCCGATCTGATACTACGTAGTTCATCAATAGTCAATCGTGCGAGGAACTCTCGACGGCCAAGTGCGGCCTACCCGATTTTCGTGGCTGGCAGTTGTGTGGCGCGGCACTATCGTTCAGACACGAAGCAACATTTGCGGAAGAGCGTTCAGACAGGACATCTCGTTCCATCTTGCACGGCAACCGATCCCCACTGATGGAGCACCCAGCTCGCAACTGGCAGCGGCAGACACACCTCGGCACTCGCAAACCCTTCGATGCCAGTCCTGGTACGGCTGGCCAGATCTGCCATCGGCCATGCACCGGCTCACGGTTCCCTGTCCGAGGACCAACGATCAGCTATCGGAACCCGTCTTCCCAATCGCGTCGAGCACCGGTCCAGCGTACAATGTAATGAAGTTGGCGGCGGCAGATGTGATTGGCCCGCGAACGACGTCCTCATCCGGTTAGTGGGCGACAGTGCGCTGACTCGTCCGTACGCCCCGTCTGATCCAGGCCCAGTCGTGGCGGGTTATACCGTCTGGTGTCGCTGGCGGGGAAGCACTCGGCGGGGGCTTGGGGCGTGGCTGTAAGCCCAGCGCGCCACCGGGGCGTGGTACCTCTTGCTGCAGCGACGCCAGCGGGTGCCGCCGGGCGCGGCTGTGGAGAATCGCCCGGTGTCCAAAGTCCGTTCTTGCTTCTGCCGTCCGAAACCGAGGCACGGACTTTTGGGGGTGGACGAGCACCGCGCCCCTGTCGCGGCCCTCGCATGGACCTGAAAGATAACCAGCCGTCCGGGGTGGTAGACCGGACCCCGGCCCGCAGACAGGAACCTGCATAGGGCATGTCATCCGAAACGACGATCAGTCAAATCAGTTAACGCCAATCAACGAGGGTTCGGGCCACACCAACCGGCGCGGCCAAGGACGATGGCTTGTCACTCTGGTTCGTGCCAACTCGCTCGTTGGTACAGCAGGGGACCCCCACCCACTGGTGCTCGGGGTTTACGCGGGGGTGCTTGAGGGCATTTTACACGCAATTTCCATGCAAACGTCCTTCCCGCTGGGTCTCTGGGCCCTCGTCGCTAATCAATAGATAGAGTAGCCCGCATTGCATTGCGACGCCAGGCCATGCAGGGAGTGGCGCCACAAAGGCAGTTCACCTCAGGCTCAACTGGTCGAGCAGAGCAAAGGGTCTCAAGTCGGGCATAGTTTGCATGAAGGTAGGAACGCCATCTGGTTTCTGTAGATCTTTATTCAAGGAACCCGCCATTGCCTCTTGCCGGTGTGTCCACCCATCTGTCCCTACATGCCTCGTCCTCCCGCCATTGCAATCGGGACGTTCTGGGGATGTGATGGAGGGGGCAGTGCCACGGGCCTGTTTTCTCGCATCCCGTCACTTCCCTGTGTGTACATCGCATGAGGTGGCTGCCAATACATGCCGTCGGGGTTCGCGAATGCTACATTGTGTCTATCGCAGCTTTCACTCGAGAACAGGGCCATGTCCGTAGGGGGACCTTCGTGGTAGCCCCGTGGATGGTGCCGCTGCTGTTGCTGCTCCGTTGAGGGGAGCCTCTTCGAGTTGCATGCTGCCAGGCTAATGCTGCCAGAGACGGGGTTGATAGGATTATAGGGAGATTTCCGCTTAGCCTTCGAAACACGCTCCGTCACCCTGCGGTCCTTGCCGCGACCCTTGATTCCCTTGTTGCTGTTCTTGTATAGGTTCGCGAAGTAATAGTACATCTTGCGTTGGTCATCGGACAGACTGTTGACGTCAGTAATAGAGACGATCCAGTCGGTCATCTCCAAGAGAGTCCCCCCATGGTTTTTGTTTTGATGATTCTGTAATGTATGTCAGTGGAGTAGTCTCCAAAGACCGAGACCACATGCCTTGAGGTTTCCCCTTTGCGTGAACTCCTTGTTGCACTGATCCAACTTGCAGACGAATGGCTTCCTGTCGGTATGTGTTGCCATGTGCGTCTGAAGGTTGCCACGCTGCGCAAACACCTTGTCGCACCCCTCGCATTGGAACGGCTTTTCGCCAGTATGACGGCGCATGTGAGTCTGCAAGTCTGTCAGTCGAGTCGAAATCAGGCGGAAAACAGGTGCTTACCTTAAGGTTGCCTGGCTGGGAGAAAGTGCGTTCGCAATGAGGCCAGTTGCATTGCTGGGAGCTGTCAGTATCTCTCAGACCACCGCCATCTGATCAACACGTACATATGGCTTCGCCCCAGTGTGCGCACGCTTGTGGGTGTCGAGGTGAGTGCTCTGGGCAAAGCTTTTGCCACAACCACCGATGCCGCAAATGAATCGCTTAGCTTTAGGGGCACCCACACCTTCCGCGGACATCGACGAGGTTGTAGGAGCAATAGCTTTGTGGCCGACCTCAAGGTAAGAATGAATCAGTGAGAGCTACTCCTTGTGCCGACATTCACACTCACTGTGGGCGATCTAGGCTCAGGCTTGACCTGATGATTCTCTGAAGCAACTTTGATAATCTCGTCGGAGTCGCTTCTCTTCTGAATGGCCTTCATGAGGGTGTCAATAGGGGTGGTAAAATTCACAGATTCAGCGCCCGTCGGCTTGTTGAACCTGATATCCTTCGTGTTGCGCGGGTCAGGTGTCTTGAAGCTTCCTATCCTTGCCTTGGAACTACTGATAGGGCTGCGTTGTCGGCCATTTTGGCCAGACACGCCCTCGTGCTCTGGGGTTCCCACGCGCACGACTCGGGGAGACATGTAGCTGTAGGTCTGTGGCGCATCGTTTTGTGTGTAGGTCATGTGATTCAGTGCTGGGCAATTGTGACTTATCATGTAGTACGGCGGTGCGCTCAGGTAGTCAGTGGGCATGACGGCTCTTGCCATGGGAGCAGGCATGGCTGCTCTCGACTGGTCCTGCACGGAGGTCGGATGGTTCATCATGGAGTAGTCGTGGACAGCAGGCTGTTGCTGAAAGCATCCCCAAGCCCGGGGCCGCATTGGTTGCTGCGAGAGTGCCATTGGGACGATATCAAACTCTCGTTATAAATGGTAAGAATTTTGTGACTAGCGAAGGGAACCAAGTGAAAACATGCGAGTCCATCATCCAGATCAAAAGAGCAGCTCGCCGTATAAAAGCGAACTAGAAAGGATTGAATATTGCTTTTGCTGTTGGAAACCCGAGCTTGGGCACGCCGCTGCACTCAGAGCAACGCACACGAGGGAGGGGGTTGGTGACGACTTGAATGCAAGCCGACGAGTCTGGATCCTGAGATCTGACCATGCGTCAGACACGCACCATGGCGAGACTTGCAGGAACCAAGGGGCTGAGGAGGAAAAGAAAGCGGTGATGTAGCTGCTGCGGTGCAACCCCAACATCACGGACGGGAAAGAAGCATTCAGAAACAGACCGGGACTGATGGATCCTGGCTAATTAGAGGACACACCAGGTCGATGAATCCAAACAAGGTCAGCGTTTTTGGGTTGCTTATTGTTCCTCCAGGAATATCATGCCAGCATCCTAATTGGGTGAGCACTAGCTCAGCTAGTACCGCGACCATGAAAGCAGGAGATGGCTCAGATAGGCGAGGCCGGTTCTGCTCACACAAAAAATTGCAGCCAAACGTGCTCTTCAAGGTGGACACAGTCGGGTGGGGTCAGGCACACGGAAGGTTAAGAAAGCGTCACCGCTAAGAAAATGAGCTGAACTGCGCGATACAGCACCGACATGCGCGTCTAACGTCAAGAAGGTGTTGAAACGAAGGAGGTGCGCCCACTCTTTGGTATCTTGCAATTCAGAGTTCACGACTGGCTTCATCGCAACTACGGCAGGTATCTAGGGAGGAAAAGCGGTCAAATGGTAGTCTCCGGAGTATCAGTCTCAGTCACGTCGAATGTGGTGACTAATGTACATTGTTTTTCAAAGATCGTACTTCATTCGCGTCCTCCTGGATTACACACGCTTGCTTGGCCAGCCTGCAGGCGACGGGGCGCAAGGACGATGGAAGGGGCTTAGGCATGCTGGAGATGCTGCTGATTTTCCAAAGAGCGGACTTAGTATTTGCAGTGCTGTTTATGCCATTTACAGAAACGAAGCTCCGGATTAGCAGACTGGGACCTCAGTGCGATGACGTAATGGAGGCATTTTTCACAGACTGAATATCCCAAGTATGGTCACGGCTCGTACTTGATCCCCATCCTACCACTTACGTCCCGAAAATGTGAGAAGTTGAAGACTGGTAATGCAAGTAATGGGCGACAACGGCCATTATCGAACGAAAGCTAGAGGCTGAGAGCTAGCACCTCTCAAAACAGCTTTCAACTTGCGAGCGCTCATACTCTGAGACAGGTTCTTCTCGTTCGTCGATTTGCGGTGCTTTCCATCGCTGCGAGGCTTATCTTTGCAAGCCATACCGACAGACCACCATAGTGGTATCTGTACATTGCTAATGAGGCGCACGTTACTTCACCAGATTCTGCGTCGCTGTTTTAACAGCCTAGGCAGCCCGTGAAGAGATAGGGTTCTATCTTTTCGTGCTCGTGAGAAAAGCAACCAATCTCACACTCCAAAGGGGATAGTAAGGTTACTGCCAGTGTGATATACACCTTCCCCCCTAGGAGTTAGTCGCTTGCATCAGCCGAGACGGGGGGCTGCATCAACTGAAGCTCAGATAGCACGTACCAATGACAAGATGGCTTCTGCCTCTCGCTGAGTCATCACGGCGGGTCGCGTCAGCAGATTACCGCATAGCTTGCCTCAACTCTAGCCATTTGCTTTCTTCCAGCCACCAGCCCATCACGAAATCGATCTGACCATGGACCAAACCCTCCAAGAAGAACGCAAAAAGTTAGACGATCTAGTCGCGCGGCTGCAAGCTGAGCTTACCCAAGCACAACAACAAGCGACATGCCTTGCGAAAGCGCAAGAGACCTACGACCTACTAGCGAAGAGGGTGAACAAACTGGACAGACTACCAAGACATATTTGCGCAGACGTGCTCCCACTTCGATATTCAACGAGTGGAAATACTCCTTTGAAATCTGTTCCAATTGCAGTCTTTGTGGCGCTAACAAGATATCTCACAAAGACCGAAATCGAGGCCCTAATACAACACAATTCGTCACTGTCAGCAGCAGTTGCACTGCTTGCCACGCCCGAGATACACGTGAACTGGTACAGGTGCTTCGAAGAATGGAAAAAATCTTCGGACCCCAGACATCTTCGAGATTACTTCACCGGTATTTCCCCAACGACCCAACAGAAACGTTCGCTGACAGTTTCTACAGAAATAACAGATGCCATCATCGCCCTAAACGGATTGCAAGCACCGAACGAGGACGAGATAGAGATGCCGTCGGTCCACACACATGGCAGCACTCGTCATCAAAAAAGAAGACGTGTTTGCGCAGAGGCGACTGACGTCTCCGACCGAGAGACGCCCACACCGGAGGCCGATACTTCCGGCACTTCGAACGCTTGTACTAACATCGATCCTCAACATCAACACACTCCTCCCACCTACGTCGACTATACCTTTGCCTATATGTTCAAGACGCAGGAGATGTTCAGCATATTCTCAGAACCCTTCATGGCCCGAATCCAGAGTCTTGCGACATGGGGTACGGAGAGGACAACGTCGTGCATCCGGGCACACATGACAGGGAAAAAGATGGAGTTTGTGTTTGACTGGGAGCTCCCAACCGCTCCTCCTGTGGAAGAAATTTTGAGCGGTCCGTCTCAAGCGACAGTAAACATTAAGCACGTCACGCAGCTTTGCCTCTGTGTACCATACGAAGAAGGGCAACATATGCTAAACCTCATGACTGGGCCTGCGCCTCATACTCGAATTTAACGCGCATTTCAAGTACCGTGACCTTAGTCCCTGCTGCTATCTCTTTCGGCTTACCCTCATCCAGTTCCTCATCTTTAAGTGCTGTGTCATCGATATATATCTTGCCTCGGCCGGTTTCAGGTATTGTCCAGGTCATAATAGCTTTTTTTGCGGGCGTGAAAGTGTTAAACCGGATATATTTGCTGTCCAGCGGAGGGTCATTGGCCTCAACGGTGTCAGTATGATGTTTCATAGATAGCTTCAATCTAGGAGCCAAACGTACTGCGGCCGACATATTTGTCGACTTGCTAGATATAGAAGATACTAGTAATGTGTGGTGGTCGGATCGAGTCAAGGCTGTGAAGGTCTCTATTCAGAACACCTGATCCTCATAGCGAAAGTTCGGGTATAGTTGATGAAGAGCCGTCGCGTTTCAGGCATGATCAGCCTGTGACTGCTGCAGAGAGGCGAGAGACGTCGATGGTGGGCATCGACACGATATGTGGCATACAGTAAACGTAGCCCTGCTATGACTCAAGACATGCCCAGGGATGTAACCACTGTACACTAAACAACAGGTTGCCGGAATCGTACATTTTCCGAGCCGTTAACCCCGGCTCGGTAGAGAACGGATGGGTCTGGCCACTCATGGCCAATTGTTCGGAGTTATCCGGTCTGGTGACGTGTGCCAGATGGTTCATTTACTTACGCACGGATCCTTCAGTTGGAAACACGTCCAGGGGGCACGCCATTTCTGACAACCCCGCTTTTACCTGAGCACTCGTGAGCGAATTCTCATCTGCATCTCGACGGCCTCCCCCTTCCTTGTATCTAGGAGTACCGAGCAAAATCTCAAGCGCGCAGAATGAGCTTGCAGCCACCTGCCACTTTTCAGGTTTTCAATCTTGCTCTGCGACCCCTGTTGTGGCACCTTCTAGCCTTGCGTTCCACCTTAACCTGGATTAACAACCTCATGTGTCTACGAATAGCATCATGGCTTAAGTTGCGTCATAGTCGCACGCTATTTGCATGGGTATGAGGTTCTGCTCTGGTTGCTCTGCGCCGTCAAACACACTGGCCACGTTGAGCAAAGTCTCCATGGCTTGTATGGAAGCCCCGCTTTGTTCTTGTTGCTCCATTTCTGGCGAAAACAACTCTGGCGTCAGGCTTCATCTTGAGATTTACTCTCCCTCCCAGGGTCAAGCATACCCCCACACCTCTGATTGTCCTTTGGTGAATTTTGCTCTGGGTCCTACTTCCACTTGTTCCCTGTGGCTATCGATATGAAGCGACCCTACGCAGATCTAGAATTCTCGGCGCGGGCTTCTGCTCCAACCAATGCAGCGGGCGCATTAGACCCCTGTCCGAGTTAGGAATATCTCGCAGAAACTGTGCTGTATTCCTGCGCCTACTCCTATCCCTCATAACACTGCTGTGTAAGCTATCGAAACACCATGGTCTGTCTGAGCATTTTCTCAGGCTACTGTGGCCAGCCTGCTACCGCGTGTGGCCTCTGTTTAAGGCTGAGATATTCCTCACACAAATTTCCCACAGAGAAGACATTCCTCACGTCTCGTAAAAACCGCTAGAAAACAAATAAGTCCTCCCATGGATGTCTTGTGAGATAGCCACGAGTCGTGAATCGGGGTAGCGAAGACACTGCACCTCGACGTTGTTACTTTAGCTTACGAGTGCGCATAGCCCGGGAAAAGTGACCCTTCTCCCAGCCAAACACAAGATAGCCGATGCAAATGTACCTCTCATGTTCAGGGCTACTGGAGGGTTGATAGAAGGATCCCCAGATGTCGTGGACGCCACTGAAGCACTTGAGGAGGAAAGGTTTCCACTCATCGGTGTATTCTATAGAGGTTCTCATGGCGAACTGACTGGTTATGACAATCGCCAAACACGGAGAACAGAGGGTTATTGGCGTTTGTGACTAACAGTAACTCAGTCTTGATATCCCCATTGCTTTACTGTGAAATGAATATGCGACATGACTCCTGCGTCGTCGCGACCAGCCCTGTCAAGCAAGGCGGCCATGCCATAAGCGTATCCAACGTGCGTCAACCAACTCGTTCCGAGCCACGAGGGAACCTCATCGTGGGCTACACAAGCGGCCGCATTACAAGGGTACGACGGAGATCAAGTGTCCCCAATTTGCTGCTTGGCCTTGATTGTGACTGCTAGATGCGGCCTGTACATGAGCCACGCCATCGCTCTCAGCATGCACGTCGGCTTGGTTTCCAATGTTGCCAACACGGGCTGAAGGCTAGGCAAGATCTCGAGCTTGACAGGCCCCTGATGAGTTGTCCATGGTAGAAGAAAGCACCCGGAGCTTGAAGACAAGAGCCCATGCTGCTTGCAGGAGGACGACCGAAGATACAACACTTAGTCCTATTCGACATCCCGGCTCCTGCTGCTTCACTATGTGTAAACCTGCCGCTGATGATGCATGCAACCAAGGCTTCCGCATGGCCATGGCACAACCGACCATGGCGGCGGCCGCACAGTGAGCCCGCTCGACGTGCACCTTTCACTTCGACTTGAACCACCGAGTAAAGAGGGGATTGTCCAAGCCTGTTCTTGTTAGGTCCAGAGGATGTGGAAGGCTATAAAGCTCAATGTCCTAGTCGATAGTTAGCAGACTGAAGGTCATGAATAACAGGCCAGTCCAGGTCGTCCGCATCGAATTCCTGTCGTCCCCTGACGATTTTCTCAGCGGTTCGAGGACGTAGATCTTTAGACTCCCCAAGGTTTAGCGGCGCACAACTTGGCATCATGGCAGACAACCCCAGCCAGACAGAACCCTCAGGCGAGCCTCAAGACCCATACAAGCAGCAGACGACTGAGGAAACCCACACGTCCATGGGTATGGACAGCGTTCAGGTACTCCCAGCTGGTCCGTGATGGCACTCCGTTGCTAACTTATTTAGTCCGGGACGAGCGAAGGTACACAAACGTCAACCCCGCAGACGAACGGATCTTGAAGGATATCGGGCAATGAATTTTCAGATGGTTCACTGGAAGTGTCCGCATGAGCCAAGAGGAGAGCAGGTGGTGGATAAGGACTGAAGTCAAGGTGGGAAGGGCTCATATGTGGCGAGCCAGGCTGTGTGGGCTTCTCCCAATACTAATGGGCCTAGCTAGAAACGCATTCGAATACAAGCTTTCTGGGTTGATCAAATTGTTGCATAAAGACGCCGAAATTCGGTCTGCATGTGATGTTTGGTCAATATGGGATTTGGACATCGTGAACGTCGGCAACCAATGGAGAAACGGAGTCGGGTGTGGTATTATCCGAGGAGGATGGCAAGCCGAGTGCACGATCATGTGACATGACACCCCACTTGCCCTCTCCGTGCGAAACCTGAGGAGGCCACGCCGGGCTCGGAAGACCAATCAGCACAGAACCACAAGGCTTCCAATTCGATGGCCGCGACTCGAAGCAGCAGATTTTGCATCAAATTTTGCCTTTGACTGCTATTGAAGGACCAGCCCCTATCTTCTCACATCTTCTGCCTGGCAACGACTCCCGCCGCCGCGGCCCGATCCGACAAACCGGTCCCTGCACGATGCTTGCGTTGTCGGCGAATTTGAGCGAGTTGGGTTGCCCATCCTGCCAACCACGACAAGGCCTACGTACGATATCGTGTACTCCAAGATCGAATTGCTCTTGCCAGCCGACGAGGGCCAGAAAAATATCGTAAAGGACAAGACATTGATGGTGGAAGGGGATCCTTTGCTTCAGTAACCGATGGGACAAGGTCAAGCACACGCGGTTCGTGCGGCAAGTTCTCAACTTTAGATTCAGACAACGATCGAGACGCTCATCAACGGCGACGATTCAGAGAGCTCGGGCTCTGCACAACGCTACAGCATATCCTACTTCGTAAGAAGCGGAAGGGGTCAGGCCCGCGCTCCCCCGAGGACTCGGGGCGATACCATCCTCTGCTCCTCCTTCTGGAACGGAATACAATGGGTCGAGGGGAAGCAAATGGCTGGCGTGGTAATGATAGAGGTGCACGAGGACGATTCGGCGGGGGTCGAAATTCTGTCGCGGGATAACGTTGCGCCAGAAACAGTCATAAGCAGAATCACCTTGAGAAGCGGTTATGTCATCCTACTGTACGGAACACATGGGTGGCGCTCAGCTGGAAAAGCAGTGTCATTTCTGTTTTTATACTATGACGTTGTGAGCTGTGACGCTGGAGCCACCTCGGGTTCTTGAAGCTACCGTCTATAGAACTAGACTGATACGATTCAAAGCCATACTGTTGGCAGGCCCATTGATGCGTGAGTCAGTTCTGGGCAGTGGTTTTTGTAAGGGTCATTCTGCAAAGGTAGAGGAGCAAATTCGAATCCCTCGAGTGCGCCCCAGATGCCAGGTTCTGACCAAGCACCGAGTGCTTGTCGATTTCCATCGTTCGAAAATGCTAACTGACTCGGCCCAGAGTTCTCTGTCGGCAAAGAAGCTGCGTATTGCAGACAGTCGACGTCCATACCCGTCTGCGGCGCGCGAGAACCAGAGAGACCGTCGTGAGTGGAGTAAAGCCCGCTTCCCGCGGGGGGTTGCATGGGAAAGCCGACTGCCAGAACGCTTCCGCATTCTCCCCCCGGCTCCGGCGATCGAGGCATGAACGACTGCTCCTGCGGGCTGGTAGATGCTGCTTGGTCTGCAACAGTACGTGAGGGCTCGCGGGTACACCCGGATGCCGTCGTACTGTGGCCGTCTGTTCTGGAAGGTTTCTGCTTCAACTGCAAATGGAGCCCTCTCGATCGTTTCGATCGTTTTGGCGGCGCGTTTAAAGGAGCGCATGCTTCAGAGATATACTTCGACAGCGCTTCTTCCCTCTTTGCAAATCGTACCGTACGAGCCATGGCGTCACGTTCTTGCAGCCGCTTCCAGATTTCGTCTACGGAAGGTTTCCAAGTGGCGGGTGGTTTCGTGGCACTGTATGGGTCAGCAGTGTTCGCTAGTGTGGCGGTTTACTCACAATGGAACAAGATTGACGACGCCATGCAGCGCCATGAGTGCGCCGTAGCCAAAGGACCACTCAATATCAATCAAAACCTTTCCACAGCGTATCCATCTATCAAGACTTCCTTTAAGTCGTTGTGTCAGATTTGGGTTGAGTTCGTATAACTTGTTTTTGAATTGCTTCTTTTGTTTTCCGTATGTATCGTGACAGATCCAGAGCTCTTTCATAATGAGGATGGATGCGAGCGCCCAAGTCGAGTTCCTCTGTTTCCGCCCCGAACACAAGTAAGTCGTCACGTCAAGTGGATTTGACTTGAACAATTTTGAAGGCTCGATTATCCATGAAGTTTCGTTTCCCAAACTGTCATCATGACTTTCCGCCGTCGAACCAGCGGACTGGAAGGATGGTGCTGGGGTGGAGTCATCAAGCTTCGTCCGGATTTGCGCTTGAACGCAACACGGGAAGCTGGAGATCAACGCGACACAGGCATCAACAAGCTGTTTGTGGTCAGCAACGCCGAAAAGCTTGCGTGGCGCTGCCCGTACCTTCGAATGCACTCCGGCATCATCCTTCCAATGATCATTGACACAAATTGCCAGTATGTCGCTGACGAGGGCGATTGGATTGGCGCCCATGATGCAGTGAGTCTGAAGGAGGAAATGGTGAGAAGTGCACTTTCCCCCTTGACATCCAAAGTCGTAAATTTACGAGTTTGGCTCGAAACTCGAAAATATTACGACTTCTGCTCAAAAGGCTCAAAAGGGCTTGGTCGAGTGGGGTAGGCTACCCTTGCAAAGATAATGAACTGCCATGGCGTGTTCATACACTAGCAAGTCTTCCGGCGCTAGCTCGCGAGGGCGCACCCCATCCTACTGGGTACACTTTCCTGGAAGCTACCAGGTTGGGCTCAATACTTACCTACTGGCCGGGGTGGGGTAGTCGTAGTTCCCACCCAGAGAGGGCATCCGGACGACTTCGGCTACGCACACACCATCGCCGGCGTCCCACCCGAGCCACCGTTTGGATGCGAAGCTGCAGCCTGCATCGCCTTCCCCTCTGGGCGGAACTCGTAAAATTATCGAGTTTGCCCAAATCAGTTAGTCTGGTGTCAGATATGGCATGCGTCGTAGACAGCCAACTGAACAGATGCTGTACCACAAGCCAGAGCCAATAAGGCGGCTTGTGGGTGCTGGGCAGAAGCCCCCTACACAGATACACCCATGCAAAATGCACAATCATCATGCACACCAGAGCGACGGATGTGGGCAGATACCCCGCGATGCCAAGCCCCTTCCGAAACTTCTCACAATGAGTTCTCAACACGCGTGGGCACAGGGCGATCTCGGCCTTCGTAGTTTCCGGACGGTACGCGCCAACGACATATGGGTGCCTGCCCCCGCAATCTATTGTAAGCGGCTAGCACAGAGAAGGAACGTGTCAGGCAAGCCCGTCGGCGGTGTCTGGTGCCGGAGAGGACCTTTCCGCTGGCATTCCCGGGTTGGCCGCGCCTGCATTCCACCTATCTGGGATCGGCTGAGGGCACTTTCATCGGTGTCATGGTCAAGCCCGAGACGGACGAGAAGAGCCACGCGATAATCGAGTCGCCGTGCTCGATCCATACACCTCTGGCAAGGAGCACATCCCATTCCACATCTGCAGCTGATCCGTGTCGAATAACCCTGGCGGTTGTCCAATCCGCTCGTCATCACACCCGTCGCTGATGAAGCGCAGTATCCGCCGGAGACTCGCATGGAAAGAAAGTTTCACGCGGAAAAGGCCCGGCCCGTGCGTTATATTTCATGTGCATATCAAGCAGCGCTTCACAGCAATCTAGCAAGTCGAGCCTCCTTTCCCTCATCGACTAGTCCGACCACGTCCGGCACGAGCGGCCTCCGCATGTCGTCCGCACCGCGGAAATGCTCCAACATCAACGCCATAACCATACTCATAACGACCTCCTTGTGCCAAAGGTAAAGTTTGGTGCCTATTCCACGCTTTGCATCCACTTACGGACCTCCATCCAACTAGCATCGACTGCTTCTCGACAACAATACCAGTGGCTGCAATCGATATGTGCGAGTGGTACCGGGCAAAGTTCACCTGCGGACATGGCTTCACGGGTGCTTCCGAATGGTGTTACCTATACAGTTCTACTCAAAAGCGGTGCAAAGTAAATGTGACGCAAGATGACGATCGGCCAAAGTTGTGCGGATCATGTATCGAGGAACTAAACAAGAAGGCGGTTCCCTGGGAGTTTATGATCAAGCGCCCCAAAGCTGGAACAATACGGCAGATAAATTCTAAAGAAAGATACCGATAGACCGGCAGAGAAGCTCGGCGAAGGCCTCACACCGTTGCCCAAAGTGATGCTCAGATGGCTGTGCTCCTATCAACATATTTCGGTCTCTACCGTAAAGGGGAGAGCAGTCGGGATTGGACTGTCAACATACGCTGCGTTCGTTTGAGCCGATCAATAAGCCCCATGTACCTTTATCAAAGAAACCCAAAAGAGGATTCCATACGAGTCACAAGCACAATAATACAACATCAAATTGCGTAGTGCGCGCCCAGCAATGCATCTGTGTACGCGTGAAGGCTTACCAGTGGAGTCGACCAATACGGGTGTTATCTGATTCCGCGTTCTTGACTTTGACAACGACAGAGCAAAGGAATCCAGAATGGTGCCTGGTTCGTTATTCACTAGTCAATGATGGACAAGTACCCTAGTTTCTCGCCGTGATCTAACGGAACCTTCGTCAACCCTGTGCTACGGCACCACGGGCTACCTTCACACATCCGCAGCGGCGCATCGAGACATTTCCGCGGCCAGCAGCGGCCGGTATTCCTGGGCGCCGGTAACGAGGGCCGGACGCTGCAAGCATCTGCGCATCGTCTGGAAACTCCATTCCACCTTCTCTGCGACCGAGCCTCCCACCGCCGTGCACCAAATCGCAACCCGACCACCATGACAGCGCCCACGCGTGACAGGGAGTAACGGGCGGCTCTTGAAATGCTTCCGGGCCCTGGCATGAAGCTTCCCGATGCAACCAGTGTTCAAGACACGGCACCGGCTGCTCGCGGCCATCAGCTTGTCTGTAACAGCCACCACAGTGCTCTGACATGGAAGCTTGTTCATGGCCAAGACCTTGACAATCTTTCGCGCCTTGTTGTAACTCAGTACCCCCTTGAGCATGATTTTTTCGAGGGCTGCAACCTGATGGACAAATCGGGTCATCAGAGTGGGATCAAGCCCGGGGCTGAACAGCACAAAGAGGAACAGGCAGCCGTTGCGGATCACATTCCACGAAAAGAGCCTGGCGAACAGGCCAGAAAGCGACCGCAAGTAACTTTCCTGGCACTCTTCCGCATCCGATCGCTTTTCCAACCTGGTTTTTGTAAGCGAGGGCGTCAAAGCAGCCAGGGGGACGTCCTACAGCGCACGATCCCTGTCCTGTTTCCCTTTCTGTGCCGCTTTTGCTGCATCAGGGAAGATCAAGCACCAGGCCGCGGCTACGAGAATGCAGACGAAGGTCGACACCGTCGTTTTCGGGAGGATCAAGAGCAACGTGACGCCGACCGATGGAAGTTTGACGGCGAACACTCTGACGACGGTGATGAAGGAATCGGCTTTTGTGATCTGTCGTCTAGATTCGGCTTCCTCTTCTCCGGATAGGACATCCCAGACAAGAATGTCGAAGAGTGGCTGGAGGAACCAAATGAGCGATTCTTGAAGGTCGTCGATGCACTGCAGCAGTATCGACTTGAGCGCGATCGAGCTTATGTGTTTCCCGGCGAGCTGGTCGGACCACCCAGATACGAAATATGGCAGGCCGTTTAGACAGATAAGAAGTAGAAGAGCGAGGATGTAAACAGACAACATCCAAGCTGATTGTCGAGTGCCGGCTTCTGGTAGGGTCATTTTGTCGTTGATGGCGCATTCGAGGCCGTTCTCCGGCGGTCGAGTGGTTTTCCACCGCCCTTATAAAGAGCGACTCATGCAGCCTTCACCACGCTTGCTTGTACCCCTCCTGCAAGGTGGGAAAGTGGAGTTGATGCGCTCAGAGATCGCCGGGCCTGGGCCTTTGGTCTCTGGCAGAGCATGCATGGCGAAGGCACCGATGAAAATGCTCTGCCCGTGGGGGACATGTCGCTTCGTGCCGCGTTGCTATCGACGCGAGTAGGGTTCCGAGACAGCAAAACATTGTCTTCGTGGCCTGAGAACCTCAGTGGGGCCGCACGGAGAGGAGCCTGGGCGCAGCCGGGTTACCGCCGGGCCCGCCACGGGGTTCCGGCCGGCGTAGCCCGAGTGCCTCCTGTCGGAAGGTGCTCCCACCTGGTTGGACCAGCGCTGATTCCACGTTTACCCGTTTTCTGCGAAGAAAAGGGGATTCTTTCGTGTGGGGGACGGGGGGCAGAACGAACCCTAAACGCGAGTGACACATTTGATGGGAGATGCAGGCGCGAAAGTGAGTCGGTTCTAGTCTTGTGCTTACCAACTTCGCATGCCGCCGCCCCTGGCCTGCCGCCGCCAGAACATTGTCATCGAATGCCGTACAGGAGTGAGAGGCTTGCCAGTCCAGACGGGCAACGTGGCAGCCAGCACCGCTGCCCAACGGCCGAGCGCTGACATGAAGCACTGAAGGTACGTCGCCGCCCCCAAGTCCCCGCCACGTAGCTTGCCTGCGACGTGTGGTGTAGGGTGGGAGGCGAGCATTCGGCCTGTAACAAGCACTAGGTGTATCTGAAGCCAATGGCGTCTGCGCCGACCTTGCGATCCTAGAGCCGTGGCAGGCGATACCTGACGGTTTGTCTGCGTCACGCAGGCGAGCAACGGCGTGTAGGCGGGTGTCACCGAGATGCGTCAATCGCTCTTGACCTTTGGTACATCTGATTCAAGTCACGTCTACTCTTGAGACCCTCTCCGGTCCAGGCTTGGCCTGCCGCGGGGACGAGGATACCTTGTGGAGGTAGCGTAAGGGAGACCACATTGCTGGCCAAGATCTCACCCCCATGGTCACCAAAACCTCCTGGGACCGGGCATCAAAGCCTCAAGTTGCTTCGCTGTGTCTTTCGACAGCTCTTCACACATGGACCACGCCTATCAGCCGATGCTTTCGTCACCTACCCCTGACGTGCTGGGACCGTTGATTGACCGACGCCGTCTTGCACTGGGCCGCGGCTGATTGAAAAATCTAGTATAAGTCTGCTGTCTTCTACCTGGAGCCTGACATTCATGGGGCGTCTGGACATCTTTCGATTACGGCTGAACGTAGGTGTTGAAGACACACCAAAGCTGATGGAGACGGCCAAGCTGACCTACTTACCAGTCTCCACGATGGCAACACCTTTTTCGCAATGTACGAGACCGAAACGAAGATACATTACGCTCTGGACATGCGTGAGTGGTTTGAGACTCAATATCCGCCGACAACGACTGATGAGTAACATTAGTGCCATTGCAGTCAAGGAGGAATCAAGGCAGAGTGTTTAGAATGTCCGATATGTAACAATGAAAGATGCTCCGATTGTGCAACTCGGCGCCGCATTAAACAGTAGGACCGTTTTGCGCGCGAGGCCTTTTGATCTGTGCGATCATTTGCTTCTTGACTATACATGGATCGTGGTCTAGTCTGAAACCGGGAGAGGTTGAAGGTTGAAGGATGTATCGACGTCTTACTGATACCCGGTTAAGACATTCCACTTTGTGGGATGCACCGCCAACAGATCAAAGGTGAAGCAAATGATAGTACATCTTATCAATTCGGAGGCAAACACACGGCGCGCAATGAATTTTCTGTCCATCCTGTCTCATTGGATACCCACTGCCTGATTGAACCTCCCCTGTCTCGTCCTCTTGTGGGCTGAAATCACACATATGTCACCGTAAGGCCGCACGCAAAAGTCCAAGGCTTACTGCTTCCTTTCAAGGGCGACTCGTCGGGTGACCGCACATCAGTCGTGTCTGTCAAAGGCCATCGAGATATTCAGGCGGATGGCCTCCAAGCCGTCGCCGCTGGAGCATTCTGCCAAGCTTGGTTCTATGCTATCGGATACGAAGGTCGGCCCAGACAGGCAAAGAACATCTGAAAACTCTTCGTGTAGCATCACGGATCAGGACACGGGATGCAATTTCGGCATTGCTTTGGACGGCATGGCCGAGACCGCCGAAGAAGACTTCAACTTAGATCCAGCTCATGAGTTCCGGACTTGGAACCGTGATAAATTGAGATGGGAGCACAAGGATGAGAAGACAGGATCAATGACCTCCGCCCCTGGTCATCTGGACTGAGCCGGACTGGAGTAAGCCTGCCGGACGTTGGCTGTCATCTTGGCAAACAGATATGTGTCCATTGGAATAAGATTGAACCGTGTAGTTGCAACGCTGAAAACAAGTGCCGATGGCTTGGGTTTGCGATCTTATCCATCAACTACAGAAGAGGGACCCACAGCGTCACCAACTGGCTCGTTTTCCACTCGCCCAGGAGACAGGCAGACAGCCGAGAGTTGCAGAAGAAGCTCAAAACAGTCAGAGAGCCCGGCTTTCTTCAGTGCGCTTGCCATCGTAGTTCCCAGTAGAATTTCTGTAAGTCGGTTGACAGACCAGTGCTGTTACACATGGTGTCAATCCACTTCCAACTCGTACTTTGTTGCGACGCAGGAGACGACGTGGAATGAGTGATGTCGAAGCCACAGCTCGTAGGACCATCGAGCTCACAGACGCCATGTGGAACTGAATCGACGGCTTCAACATCGCTTGTATCGTCGTGTTGGCACAAGCACGAGTCCAAAATGACCACAGAGACCATCTCGGCGCTGAAAAGCACGGCCTAGTCTTTCTCAGCGCGCGTTTGGGGAGGAGGAGTGAGCACATACCATGAACATATCAGTGATTTCTGAGATGGCGGCCAACACTGCTGCGATGACGCACAGTGCGTAGTGGCCGCCCAGCAAGAGTTCTAGGTGGCCATTCTTTAAGCCGACTCCCGAGAATCGGTGTGGTCTCGGACATGCTGAAGGGAGGTACGGAACAAGCGCACCGCCAGTGAGGGCGAACGCGCGAATGAATCGCAAGTGCGATGGGTACCAAGTGGCCAGGGACATTGCCAGCGCCATCACCACGCCTCCGAGGACGACTACGCGGGCGGCACGAACAGCCAGCTTGATCTGAACTGCAGTGAAGGAGTCAGCATGGTCGGCTGGGCCTGGGCGAGGCTGCCAATGCACATACCTAGCTTCCGCCCATGCATTCTGTGAGCGTGACGACGACACAAGTAAATGAGGAACAGGGCCATCGACTTGACCGCAGTGTTTTATGATGACCCACGGTGAGAAGCGCAATCAGCGGACCCGTAATTGAGAAAGGCAAAAGCTTCGCAAAAGGGGCCGTCGCGCATCTAAGTAGTGTCATTGACTCACGTCCCTAGCGGCATTTTCATCAATGCCATTGCTGTGGGGGGCAGCATCATTGGGCAATTGGCCGTAAGCATGCGGTGAGCGCCTTGTTGACGCCAATCAAGGCCGTCAGACGGGGCATTCCAGTCTGTTCCACTCACGGGGTGCTTGACCACCAGAGGCTTCCGCCCGAAGACGCATGTCTTTCTTCGCATACAGCATGAGCACACTGCAAGGCACGATCAGCTCCTGTTGGCTCTGGCGCCGCGGGCTTTGCATGTCTCGCTGATCGTCAGAAACCGGCAGACCGCCAACTGGCCGGAGCACCGTTCGTGCTCCAGGGTAGCTCGCCTGGCGACGAAGAAGAATAACAGGACAGCCAGCACCCGTCCGTATGGCTGTCATGCGCTCAGTCGATGCTAGGTCAACTGCGAGGCCTGCGCCCACGGCTTACCCCGTTGGTGTCTTGCGCCTGCCGATTGTGACGTGTCGTCAAAGTGGCCAAGGGTCGGCGCGCCAGGGATTAGCGCCATCTGGAGGGTCATTCGCGCTTCACGCTGGGCCCCTTGGCGGACGGGTGGGATGATAGATCGACGCCAGCCACGCCAGTGGCCTTGACCCCTACTACGCGCAGGCTGGCCAAGGATGTGTGTGCAAGGTACGACCATCCTTCGCGTCCACGCCCCAAATGTGCAGGGATACTGTGGCACATCCCCAAGGCCATCTCATCTCATGTCATAGTGGGCATGTCCCACACGCTAGCGTCGCGTGGCGACGAACCAGGGTGGCTGTTCGTTACAGCCAGCTACTCGTCAACCCCTGCTCCGGTACGCCGTTCCCTGCCATCCGCTGAGTGGTGCGAGTGGCCCGCGTCAGGCCCCATTTAACAGGACTCTCGCGAATGCATCTGTGCTTTTTCGTCGGGGATGAAGAACCTCACTCATCTGTTCCGGTTGGAACGGTTTCCGTTTAGTGCCAGCATCCTTGCCTTGCCGACCTTGATCTTGACCTGCGCTGTCCACCGCGACCCGTCGTGCCCTCCCACCAACGCCCGCCTCATTCCTTCTGCGCGTGGGGTTGAGCAGAGATACGGAGTGGCCAGAAGAGCAAATTCACACCAGACCGACAGACCCCTTTTTCCTACACGCTTGGTTCACTCGACTGTGTCGCTGTCGCCTTGTAATTACTCCTCCCAGAAGGCGCGACGTCCAAATCAATTTCTTCTCTTTTTCCCCTTCAATCTCTTTGGATGACCGTCGGAGCGACCATTGCTCAACTGGTCCTACTTCGCGCACCCTCGGCACCCGCCCTAGCAAGGCAACTTTTTTGTTTTTCCCACATACACCCCTCTCACACCCCTTCTCGGCGACACCAGGTACCTGACAGCTTTTTTTCCTTGCCGAAGAGCAACGCGAGAGAAAAAAATAAATAGGATCGGGGCCAATCTGCCGACCCTCCCCAAAACCACCTCCAAACGGGATCAACTGGAGCCTCATCCCACCACGGAAAGTCTACCCCATAGACAACAACTCTGCGCGTGTTGTCTTCTTTGGGCTCGCGACTTCCTCCATCCGTCTGGCGGAAAGCTTGAAAAAATCCTCGATTCGCATCACTTCACTCGAATTTCCTTCTTTTCGGCCTCAGCAACAACAGCGGCAGCCCCGCGGCCCTTACCAGCAGATGGGACAGAATCCTCTCCCGCTCCAGGCGTACTGCACTCAGTTTTGGCTCTCGCAGCCCATTGCGCCTGCTCCCTACGGCCCCGGCGGTGTCCTGCCTGGCGGCATGGGTGATGCTAACCAGCCTACACGTGTCGTCGGCTCGCGAGGCCGCCGTGGCATTCGCCCCAGCGCTCCTGGCCGCCCTGCTGCCACTCCTGCTGGCGCTGGCAACACCAAGAGCCCGGTTAAGGGTGCCGATGGCAGATTCCGTTGCCCTCAATGCCCCAAGACCTTCTTGCACGAAAGCGGTGTGAGGCGTCATGGTATGTGCCGTAAGTCGCCCTCTCCCCTCTAACACGCGGCTTTCCCTTGGCTGACACGCGCGATTAACAGATACGGGCGACCGCCCCTACAGGTGTGTGCTGTGTGGCGACACTTTCTCGCGAAGTGACATTCTTAAGGAACACTTCCAGAAGTGCTCCATTCGCCGAGGTAACCCGACTGGTGCTAGTCACTTGTCTGACCCTCGGGCTCGTGTCAAGAAGGCTGGTGCGCAGAACGCGGCTGCTGGTCAGGATGGCGATCTGAACCACCCCAATGCTAACACGCCTGCGGATGACATGGCTCAGCCTTTTGGTATGATGCCTGTGTCGGACGGGATGAACAACCTTGGCGGGTCGAACTCGAACCAACAATCGGGCCTTGGTCGGTCTCAAATATCCAGGCTGGTGCGCAACATTCCGCAAATCACACTCGATTCTCTCTAATCTTGGACAGACGCAGATCGCAACCATATCAGAGCCTAATACCGATGCTGAAAGTATGGAACGTCCTCCCAGCCACCAAAATCAGCTCGATTCCCTTTTCTTCTCGACCTGGGACGTGCCGTCATCGATCCATGATCCCTTTTCCCATCTCTCCAACCAGATTCTCAACTTCGTTTACCCTCCAGGTTTCCCGATAGATGACGAAAGCACCGGCCTCAACCAATTCTCTGCTGAAAACGTCCGCCAGTTCTTGGGAAATTTCACTTATTCACATGACTATAACCCCATTCTATATACAACCACTATCATGGAAGCCTATACAGGCTTATTGGTAGGCATGTGCTGCATGGGTGCTTACTACTCTCGCCGTGTTTCTCTAGATCACATGCGCGACATGATGATTCTCCTCAGGTCCGCGCTGGCTCGTGACGTACTGTTGGCCACTTCGGGCAAACAGCAAAGTGGTAACGCTGACGCGGGTGCCTCAAGTAACGGTCACTGGGGCTTTGAGAAAGTCGAGGCTTTGAGGCTGCTCCAAATTCTGCAACTCCGCCTTGGAAGTTAACTTCAACGCCCAATCTCGATGGGCCGGGCTCGCAGAGAGAGGAGTTGGCGCAGCAAAGAACCCCAACGGCACAGCAGCAAGCAGCCGTGTATGGATTGTGCTCTCCAAGCCTTGCTTCACGGATCAAATTTGATCCAGCCAGGCAGGAAAAATCTGTACGGGAAGTTGATCTTGATACACGCTATTCGACCATCGATACGTCGAGCTCAGCTGAATGGCAGTGCCGTCATGAAGGCTTACGCGACTCCGCCAATGAGGGACTGGATGGTGAACATAGAGTTGGATTTGGTGGGCGTCTGTCTTTATATTTCATTCTAATCCTTTCCTGTTTTGTTTCTCCCGGATCCGTTCTCGTCAATTCATTTGCTTCGTTGAAGAAACGCGTCACAATACCCCCTTGCATCAAAGCCCGATTAACGATGGTTACTTCTGATATGCATCTGGTGGCGGGTGGCTTGATGCGAAAGACGGAGACGTGGAGTTGGCACTGCATTAGACTGCGATCAGATAGAATCTGGGAGGGTCTCGTGTGGCACCAGTGGTAGCCCGATGAGGCCATCACGATAGCAAGCTCACAATGACTTGCTCCGGCGCTTTGCGTGGTGAGGCCGGTCTGGCCTGATGTTAGATGTCCCAAAAAAAAAGTGGTACTCGTCCTTTTCTATCGCGACAACGAAGAAAAACAAACGAGATGCCGAGCCACCGCTGCCAGTACAGTTCTTTTGCAATAGTAGCATGAAATTTAGACATCAGAAACTGCAAAAATCGACTCGACTGTACAAACCAAACACCTTGTCCCATTTTACACCCAGTAAAGCTTTTGCCTCTGACGACATCAATACCGTTCCATCATTACAGTCAGCACCCCGCAGTTGCACCGATCTGATGCAGGTACCAATTCAGTCTCGCCATTCCGGTGCGCAGCTGCGCTAGCATGCTGGCTTCTTTCTATGTCATTCCGTCATACAGCTTACATGTGTGATTTCCCGTCGCACGCTCTTTAAAACGATCCCGAGCGCCGTCGAGTAGGCTCTGGCAGCTTTCTTCTGTGAGGTCTTGTCCGGCTTCGTGCTATCCTTTGCCACTGCCTTAGCTGCTTGCGACAGATCTGACTCTATCGCTGATGGAAGCCAGAAGAGAGCGATTCTGTTGCCTCGCCTCTGAAGAGCTTGCACGCCAGCGTCGAATCGTTGGATCTCTCGTTGGCCTGACTGTTGTCGGGGATTGCGGGTCTCCAAAACTGCCGCCTTGTTGCGGGTGAACATGTGGATGGCACGGTGCTGGAGTCGCTTTGGGAGCGACTCCACCGCTTACACCAGTGTCGCTAACTCTGCCACATACGGGTTCTGCTCCGTTCTCATACCGAATGTGCGTGAGGCTGTCGTGATGCTGCCACCCTCTCTAAAGGACGCGGGCAGCGCTGTGGCCGTCCCATAGCCCACAACCCCGTTTCTTGCTGAGCTCCCCGTCGCAATCCTCACCACCCACCTGGACTGGATTGCCTCAGTGGCCTTGTCTGTATCGTTGTCGACCACCGTGTCCATACGTGCTTTCCATGAAGCCATCGCGTACCCTTCAATGGCTTAGGTCAAGGGTTAGGTCGCAGTAGGCCACCGCCATCAACTGGAAGGGTGTTGGAAACCGTCTGAAGGCCACTGCCCGCAGACGGCGAAGCGGATGGGTCTTGGGAAGGCTTCGCATCCGTACCCAGAATGTGGTTGATCTTCTGTCGTATCTCTCTTGCGCCGATTGTTTGCTGGCCTCCGCCTCGGCAACCACCGTGGCCACTGCATTGAAGATTCCCACAATCGCCTGGGCTCCAATCCTCTGCACCCGGTTGATTGCTCTCATCTGCGCTGCCCACGTGAGAGAGAGAGAGAGAGAGAAAGAGAGAGAGAAACGGCGAAACCCCAAGTATTCATTGCACCAGAAAGCAACGCTAGAAGCTATCACGAGATCGCAATAGTCGCCAGTACTCTAGCTGCATTTTTCGAGCCCGCATTGCCTCTAAGGCCCTACGTTGTGATGATAATTCCTCCTTGTAAACCTCCGTGCCGTTTGATGAGTGGTGAACTCTGAGAGAAAATACCGTGCTTGATTCCTGTCCTACTCATGGCTAAGTGACCTACCTCATAACTCGTTACGCCGCCTTTAGAGATACCAGACACCGTCCAACTCCAATGTATCATAATAGCAATGTTTCCATGTAGCGTCACTTGAGTTCGCGTCGCTTTCCTCTTACGAATCCCGCACGGCAACATGCCTCCGAAGTAGCCCCCCATCATGGATTCATCATGGATTCATCAAATATACTATCCAACTCTCCCTTCTCTCACGACTTGCTGCCAGTCATCATCGCCACGCGCAGAGTAGGCAGGCGGTGGAAAAGGCGGCACGTCGAGAGCCACGTAGGACTGCCGATCGACCTCCACCATGGTCGTTACAAGCACGCCGTCGCCCGGGTGCTGCGGTCCGGGGCCGCTATCCCTCCGTATCTGCGTTCGGTGTCGCCTCAGTCTATCGACAGACCGGGCCCACTTGTATTTTGGGCCGTCCTTGCTGAAAAAGCTCCCCGACGATGTAGACCGACGTCGGGGCCAGACGCTGACGAGCAATAGACGTAGGCTGGGCAAGCTCGCACACAGCATCGCCGTCGATTGCTCGATGAATGACCACACCACAATATCGACATGGTCCCACGTCTCGTCGAACGTGGTGCTGTACTCCACCAGGTATCTGACCCAGACCGCCGACGTCACGCACGCGCTGTGTGCCGTGTGAGCCTTCTTCTCCTGCCCTTCTGCCGGGGAAAATGTAGACCCAACTCACAATGAACCAATGCTGAACAGCGCGATGACGGCCAGGCGTCGCCGGAGAGAAATCTTGAGCCGCCACACGTAGGGAATCGGCAGGAGCAAGATGGCGACATCTTCCGCCATGGCGAGCCCGCTGCTGCTGTAGCCCGCAGCTTGCAAGTTTAGACATCGGCGATCGGTGATGGTGCGATCCCATACCGACTGCACAGGCACGCATTGCGTCGCGAACGGGATGGTGAAGAGCGTGCCATGCAGTAGCAGAATGATCTGAAGGCCCTGGGCGATCCTCCGAGAAGTCTCGGACGGAAAAATGCGGCCGAGGAAGAGCATGATCGACAGCTTTACCGCGGCTTGCAGGACGGTGTAGATCAAGTTTCCGACGTACAACATCTGCCTCGGCGTCAGGACGGGATACCGCGAACCACGAACAGCTGGCGGACACAGAGCAACGAACCTTTCGGATAACAACCCCATTACCGGCTGGTATCGTCCAGTAGTGCACGCCGAAAACGATGCTTGTGATGTGCAGATAGACCGCAGCCAGAGCAATGAGAAGTGCCTGGCAGCTAACATCAGCAAGGTTCGCCTACGCCTGCGGACTCGGGGCCAATTACCACCGCAAAAATGGTCATGTAGTCGTCCCTCCAAAGTCCACCGCTTCGCACAGGGCTCCCTCCACCGTCGCTGCAGCTTCACAAGGTCAGATGGACTTTCAAATCAAACAGGAAACGGCGGGGCCACCTTAGTTGATCGTCAAACGGGCAGCTTGTCTGCACACATGTCGAAAGATGCGATTGGACAGCAATGCTGGGACAGATGCACGCAGTCGCGTCTTCTGGATCGGAGGCACACGTGATGAATGTGCTGCTAATGCACTCAGACTGGATGATAGATGGCCCGGTAGCGCGACGAAAGCCCGGCCGATGCCACGAGTACTCACGGCGCACGACGGAACCTGCGAGAGGATCTCGGCGGCCGATGTTGCTTTCATGGCGGCAACAGCAAGCTGGAGGAGCAGCACTGCGAGAGCCGACGATCGACGAGACATTGCTTAGGGAAGTCCGATGGGAGAGCGCGAGAATGCTGGTGCAGACGTTGCCGGTGGTATCACCGGTGTTTCGACGCTGGTCGAGTTGGCATCCTGCAGCTGGTGATCGCTCCGCTGCGGGAGAGACTCCATGAAATAGATGGGGTGCGTACAGTACGGTACGAGAAGGCACTTCTGGTTCTGATCGTAGTACAGTCAACGAAACTTGCTTCCTGCGCTGAGGCGCGAGAATGATAAGGAGCCACTTATGCCGCTGGTGGGTACTTTGCGGACGAATCCCTCATCTTTCGCCTCCGCTCCTTCGCCGGGAGTTTTACGGCACCGTTGGGCTCCGTCTATCGATGCTTCGTGCTTCGCAGCCTGGCTTTAATTAAAAGTGAGAGCGAGGTGCTCTTGGACTCCATGCAAGCCATCGCCGGCATCACCAATGTGTCGCATCTGTGATGGTCGCAAAGGTAGAGCTTTCTTCGCTCAGTAAAGAGCACAGGGCATTGTATGTAGAGCACTCCCTGGTCGTTTGATGGATACCGGGGCAGGTCGGCTCCGACACGTCTGAGCCCTCCACAAAGTCGGATTCGGCACCGCCGTACTCGTCGTCTAACCGCCCCGGATACGACAGGTCTGAGCCTTCGCCAGATTCAATGTCAGAACGGGAAGGCTCGTCGTCCTCGTCGTTGAACAGATCTTCATCCACGTCACACATGGAGTGGCCCGCCGACTCCAGCTCGTCGTCGCTGAGCGTGTCGAGTAGCTCCGCCGGGTCTGCAGGGCTCATCTGGAAGACTGCCCGTGTCCGGTGCATGGTCGACTCATGGGTGTCGAGAAACAAGACTCGCACGCAGCAGTACATGTTGAGCATATTTCACTGAATCGTCGCAGAGGTCGAAAGTGGCCAGCAAGATCCCGGGGTGAACAGTGTCTTCCGGCGCATCGATTTCCCAGATGCGCGCGGAAAACATCAAGACCTGCTCCAGCACTTTGATGGCAATGGGCATGTTTCCAAAGTCAAAGTTTAGTGCCTTGTCGAACTCGAACAACAGGTTGGTCCTGTTGTCCGACGGGCCGTCGTCACTTTCATCGGATGCTGCGGACTTTCAGGCACGCCAGAAGCGCGGCGACCTTGATGACAAATTCTTTGCCTTATAAGGGCCCACAGAGACAGCTTATGATGTAGGCGATGAACCGGTCTCCCGCGGTGCTATTCATATCTTCTCTGACCCTTTTCAGCGGCGGGTACCACGTGTCGTCGGTCAGCCCTTTGTGAGGGCAATTGACCGCCAGGCAGATGGCGAGGCAGCACCGCTCGTCTTGTCTCAGCAGGTTGGTCCTGAATCCCATTAGCAGGATACTCCTGTGGCATTTTGATAGTGCGCCGCTCACCACATGGAATCCATGATTTCTTCCAGCGCGTCTATGGCGACTCAGTAGCCCAGCTCACGCCATTGCCAATGAGATTTATATCGTCAGCACCGTGACTCCAGACCGCCTTGCCTTTCGGACGAGGCACATTGTGCTCTTCGTACGTGTCATCCCGTGTTTACGTCCGACATTGTCTCCTAAGAAGCATATCTCCACGCGACCGGACTTTGAGAAGCCATCATCGGCTCGGCGGGCAACGGCTGGCGTCGATGGCCGTTTCCGCAACGACGCCAGGACTATAGAGGTAGTCTCGAAGTTGATACTGGACCGCACGACATTAATGAAGTCTGCTGTATCGAAATGAGATCACCTCGTGGCTTACTCACCCGTGAAAGCTCTGGCTCATTTCTCCGCTTATCGAGTTGACGACGAAAGCAGCCCGATATGGCGTCTGGATTCTTGTCACGGCTCACGAGAAGTATATCCCATCTACATCTGGCTTCCATTTCGCGCTCAGCAGTCGTCCTCACATAAAACGATCCACGACGCGCACCTGGTTCGGCAACGCACCGACACCCCGCCGCATTGCGATAGCAATACCACGGCAGCCAGACCTTTGAAGCGCCCTCGTCGGTCAAACGGTCTGCCGCGCCTACCAACCGACATAGGTAACGCAGTCGCGGCCTTGGGCGGGAGAACCCATGCAACCGACCTCGCAGACAGTACCGTACAGTCTCAGAAGGCACCGGTCAGCAAGGAGAAACGTCTAGAAGAACTCGTGAGAGATTCCGGCCGCCTCAGGCAAGAGCTTGGTTATTTGAAAAGCGTGGCCCTCACAGGGACCGCCTTCATGTCCGACGTCGAACAAGCTGTGGTGCGGCTTCGAGATGTTGTCATCCGTTTCGCGAGCGTCATGAATGAGACAAACGCTGTGTCTACAGGGGAAAGCATGAGTGCTGGTCATCCGTCTGAATCTGAGTCGAGCAAAGGCGTGGAGGGACAGGCTGTAGACGAGCCAGACTTGCCAGAGCAGAAGATGATCTTGGTGTACTCTTGGCTCCAGTCAGGCGGGGTCGAGAAGGGTATGAATTTGAGGCTGTCAAGCCGGAGATCAAGCGGACCAGGCCACCATACAACCCTGGAGGTTGGCTCTGACCAAGATGCCATAGAATGAGATTGAGCCTTCATGCCCATGCCTACAAATGCATCATCGCTGTCATCGTCGTGGGACACTTCTGTAATCTAGAGTTGTAGGCTTCTCGTTTGTCCCCGGGTCCTGTGTCTGAGCAGTTGTATCGGTTGGTCGACGCTGCGGGCTGCTCTAAGGATCTGTCAATCGAGCCCAGACGCTTTTCGACAAGACGCGTGTCAAGCGTGGCAACAGCGCGAAGCTGGTGCAGCGCCAACAGACCGTTGCCGCGCGCGCTAAATGAGATGTCTCAGGGTCACCCCTCGGAGCTCGGCGTAGCCAGTGACGCAAGCAGGTGGCCGGCCGTGAACGCCAGGTCCAAACAGCTTCGTGTCGACAGATCCAAATGATTGGGAAGCGAAGAGCGATGCCTCCTTGGCAACCAGACGACGCGTATCGTCTTGACTGGTGTTTCTGGGGTCGCTCCAGCCGTGGTGTTCCGGTGTGGTGTGCTGGTGTGTCCCAGGCTTCAGCGCGCCAACGACGTCCGCAATCAGCCCCACCTAGGCACCGGGTAAATTGAAGCAAAACCAGCCAATCGATCGCCTTCTTGCTAGTGGATTCATTCGCGGAATAAAAACCTACCGCGTCCCGCCCTTTTTCTGGGCTGCCTGCCTCCTGCCTACTGAATCCCAGCCTTCTCCGCTTCTCATCCTCTGCACATTGACGACCTCAGCAACTCCATCTCCAACGTCATCCTCCCCTCTCCAGCTCTTTATCTATCCTGCGCGTCCTCGTTGATGAGGCCTGTCCCAACCGTTCCGACCGTTCATTTGCTGGCGTGACTCATTGTGCGAGCGGGATCGGGTACTCGTCGGAACCAATTCAGAGCGTAGCATTCGCAGCTTCACGCCTGAGTTCGTGACTAGACACCCCGGTCATTCTACTGTTCGCACAATAGCTACACATGCACTTTGAGCCGGGTCGGAGCCTTGCCGGATGCGTCTCGTCTAGTGGGATTGCGCTGAGGAAATGCTGCGAAGGGCGAGAAAGGACGATGCTAGCATGACTGTAGGTAAGTACCGGCTCCTTTCCTACTCGTTGTCGGCTACTACGCCCCTCCGTGTTCTTTTAACCCTACAAAAGCAGTCGAAAAAGGCTTCAACATGCCGCCCTGTGACCCGGACGATCCCGACTTTGACGTCCACGAACTCATCGCGGTGCGTGAAGATGAGGGCCAATTGCCTGAAGTGATCAAGCAGTGTTTCCAACTCCGCGCCCGATACTCCTCCCCCGGCCTCGTCTATTTCCGACTTTTCTCAGCACCCAACGGCATGCCAACCAATACCACGACCTGGCTACAAATCCGAGCGAACTGTATTAAGTCGCTAAAAAAAACCCTCTTCGACAAAACCGACACCAGCTGCCCAGTTCCACCTTACATGGACACTGTCCGCCGGCTACTCCACGGCATGCAATCGGTAACTTGTCTTCAGTTCCAGCTGCATAGGGAGGGCAACATCGACCTAGTCACGCCAATCGACTCTGAAAACGAAAATACGCCTGGCGAACCTCTCTTGGAGACTCCGGCATCACTAATGTCCCTTGCGACGGCCTCGCGATTTTCCGTGTACTTTCGGCACGACATCTTGAAGCGAAAGACGTTCGGGGCTTACCAGAGGGCTATTCTGGATTTTCCATATTTGACAGAAAGTGACAAGAAGGCGTATGAGTGCATGGTGGACGTAAGCAGGCTGTACCATGGCGCTGGCGGCAAGGTGGACAGGCCTCATGACCATGAGGGTTCTCCGTCCACAAAGGAACATCGCAACTCCCCCGGCGCGGCCACGCCTGCATCGTGCGGTAGCACTCTTCCCTTTGAGGATGTGCCACCTGAGCGAGGCTCACCCCCGCCCTACGACGAATGTTTGACCGAGGGACAGTCGCCGAAGGCCATGTCAGACGCCGCAGCCATCGTGGCCGAAAGCTTCAGACGCGACCACGACTACGACTACGACCGCGACCCGCCGGGGTATGGCGATGCTGAACAGTGGAATGATCAGTCGGATTCCTCTCAGGGCGTCTTCCCTTTAGGAAACGCAGATATCCACATGCAACCCATGAAAAGAAAACGTTCACGTACCACCGTGTGCACCGCAACGACGCCTACACGAGACGCCGCTCATCGGAACAAATCGCAGCGGTTGCCGTCAGCCGTTCCCGACAGTCTGCTGATGCGTGTGTTTGAGCAGCAGCAACAGCAGCAACAACAGATCAATGATCTACGACAAACGGTGAAGGAACTGCAGAAACGTAATGAGGAGCTCGAAGCGCGGTGCGATGACCTGGAGAAAAAATGCAGTGAGGTAGAAGATGGTCAATTTGAAAGCGTGGAGGCTGTCGGCAATCTCGACATTGCGGTGGACGAACTTCAAGCTAGGTGCGACACCCTCGAGAAGCAGATGCCGGACGTCTGTGATGAGATGGCGGATCTCAAAGAGAAGTTGTTAGAGGACTGTAGAGAGGAATTGGAAGAGGACGAGCGCGAATCAGTCGAGGATAGCATGATGAAACAAATGCGCGAGACGGTCGAAGCTGAGTTGAGCCAAGCTAGACGCAGGGTTCTGAAAGCCCTTCAACCATCATGGGTCAACGAAGAGATCAAAATGAAGTAACTCGATAAGCAAATACCCCCTTACGAGAACAAAGACTCCCGCTGCCTACCTGGCTATTGGTTTGCAATGCCCATAACGCCACCAATGAGTACCTTCGCCTTCAAATTTGCCGCCTTCGTGCTCCCCGCCCTCAACGACATCCTTCCCAAGCTCATGGTCTCCAACATCAACTCCTCTCATCGTCACCACGGACACGTATACGCACGTCACATCGGTGTCGTGCCCGAGGTTCTCGACGAAGGTCTTCCACGCGCGGCACGGGTCACCATCGACGACAAGGCGACCATTCTCTTGGCGCATAGTCCGCAGTTGACGCACGCCCTCATCCTTCCTGGCCCGTCCTGGGGCCCATTATGGGCAACGCCTTCGCCGGCGGCGCGGAAACGTTGACCAAGAGTATCGTCTCTGCCAAGGTCCGGCCAGCCCGAGACTACCGCGGGCATTATCGATGCGGCCCTCAGGGAGGAATCTTCTGATGTCTAGGATGCCATCATCGCTTACGTTCGCCAGGGCGGCGCCACCATTGTCAAGGGCCATGTCAGCAGTTCTGTCTAGACAACAGAAGGCCGTTCTTCGCAATAGCTGGATGAGACCGGGAAAGCGGCGGCTGCCACCGGGCCGCCGTCGCGCTCAACCCACAAACGGTCGGCAGCGCTGCAGAGACTTCTGACTCGGTATGGCCAGGAGGCACTGTTTCCGAAATCCCAATCTACTGCGAAAGTATGAGATATCCGGAGGGGGCACGTTCATTTTTGACAGTCACGATGTCTTTTTGCAGTTGATGACCACCAAGAGCGGTTGGCCCTTGTGCTTTCAGGCCATAACATAGAAACGTCTTCAAATAGCGTCTTGGCAGCTGCTGCGACAGAGCTCGGCGCGCACCGGCTGCTGCTTCTTTTCGGAGATGAAAGGCGAGAACTCGGCAAGAGAGCCTTTTCGTTTGACATTGTATGGTGTACAGTCACAGGGGTGTGCGGCACCGAATCATTCTGTACAAACAGACTACTCATCCAGAAATGGATGTGAAGAAGCAAGACGGGCAGAAACCCCCCCGTACGATGCGCACTCGACTGCGCTTTAGACGCTGGTCAGCGTCGATTCGTGCCAAATGTCGGCCAATCCCCTCACCCGGGCACTCATCGTCGTCATAGCAGGGCAGCTCAACCTGCTAGCTATTCGTCAGCTATCATTACCCTGCATCTTACCTTCCGTCGCCTACGGCGCTTGCTCTTTGCCTGCCCGAACGCTTGTCAGCCTTCCCGGTCTCTGCGGGTCGGCACCAAGAACAGAGAGTACCTCCATAGCTGTCACGACCAGAATAGAGCACCCCTTGCGCAGGCTCGGGTTGTGTAATTTGACAAAGGTCTACAGATGCCCAGTTGGAACAGTCGACATAAATAGTGTGGCACCCTCCTCAGTCACACACTTCACATCCTGCTCCAGCACATCCCAACGCTCAACAACATACTCAGCGAACCCTCCGACGGCAATGCCTTTTGGACCTCCATACGGCGTCTAGTGTCGTCCAGTCCGGCCACGCAGGCCCTTGACCAGACCGAGGCTTTCCGAGAAGAATTGGCCGGACCGCACACCCCGCCAGCAGATGCCATGTCACCATTGGCAGATGTACAGTACCAACAAGCGGACATGGAATCGTACTATGGTACGATAAGCCTTGCCGCGGCGGAGTGCTCGTTATTGTCCCCCCCAAAGCTGACGTCCTCTGGGCAACCCACCTTCAACGATATGGTCTCGGTACATACGCGGCAGTCCTCAGACGTCATATCTTCGAATATGGCTCTCCAGGAACAGATGTTCAGCGGTTGTGGCAATGAGGGCCCCGCCGGCCATTCAGCTCAGATGTGCCCTATTTGTTTGCATACTGCATTCATGAAGTAAGTCAACCCGGATACGGTGAAGCGGTGGATGACTACTAATGCGTCCAAGTCCTTGTGTTCTCAGATCGCTATGCAGTCAACAATGCTTCGAGGCTCCTAGCTCAGGCGGCTGCGACCCGGTCTTCCTCTACCCAGCTCACAACTGCTGTTGTGGATGGTATGCTGGATGTGGTCGTTGTTTGTTCAAGCCAGTAGAGCACAGCCTACCGAGCGGCTATTGCGCGGAGAGCACGCATCTCGAAACTGGATACACTAATGGATATCTGACAGATGCTGCTGACTCTGCCCATGCTGTAGCAGACGAGCCGTTCCACCCGTGGGTCTATGGCTTCGATGGTCCGCCTATCCCGCAACAGGAATTCATTCTGGAAAACGGCGGCGATTGGGGTGTAACTGGGGAGAGTCTTGGGCCTACTACTGTTCCATCATCGACGTTTCCCGGGCAGATAACCGCATTCAACGGCTGAGAGGCTTCATCTTTCTTACCTCACTTTGTCCACGAACGGTCCTGCGCCATACTGTACTATGTAGGCGGTGGTATTCGAATTTGGAATAAGACTACAAATAACGGCCAGATTTTTTGAAGAGCGGCGATCTAGAAATCCCTTCCCTTCCATGCAAAAGCGATTCTCTGAATTCACAAGTAGTTTTCAAACTCAACATCCGGCACGAACCAGGAATAGTGTCACCACTCTACGAAACGTCTGTCAGGTGCATCATCTGGCGAATTTCACTCCGTTTATAGACCTTGTTGTTCTTGTTTCCGTTCGTCTTGACTCGACACAAGCCATTGTAATGCCGCGACTGTCAGACTTGCGTTACCACATCGCGACTTCGACATCACCTTCGCCAATTCCCTCATTGTCTAGCAAGGAGTGCAATCGACAAGGCGTCTGAGTGGGCTTCCTCGTTAGACGTCATCCGTGGAGACGATGAGCTCAAGCGATTGATAAAGCCTGACAGGTGTATGCCCATCCAGCAACTTGGGCCACCGAAAGCCAACGGGTTTCGATGTGGGACAAGAGCAGAGAGGAGCTTCTCTACAGGGGCACCCATCTCGGCGTTCTCGACGTCCAGGCCATGATGAAAGTCGGGGTCTGGCAGCTGGAGACCGTGCTCTACAAGGACTTGCTCTTCTTCGGCGCGTTCTCCGAACAGTCCTGGGCCAAACTGGGACTGCCGACGATCCCGCGGGCCGAGCTCTTGGATAACGCGGCGGACGAGAGGGTCGGGCGCTCGCTCGTCGACCGACTCTTCCAACGCGACGGGGGCGTTAGCCGAGGGTGGGTGATCAAGAAGATCGTACAGGACGACGGCTTGCGGTCCCGGTGAGTCACGTCCACGAACGACGGCGGCTCGACGCTGCAACCCACGACGGCATATCGATACGGAGTCCGGGTCGAGAAGGCGCTGGAGCATCTGGCGGTTCTCGTGCACATCAGCAGCGGGTTCCCGTCGCGTGCGTGGGAGCTTCTCGCCGTGCGGCACCGGAACATGTGCAACGGAGGCATACGCAAGTCGGTAATTGGGCCCTTTCCCCAACCATTGGCATATTCCAGCCCTGCAGAGAGGTCACCTTCGGTGAGCCACACCAACGCGAGATGTACTGGTACTTCGCGAATCTCTTCAAGAACAGCAACAAGGGCATCAAGGGCCGCGGCAAGGATCGCAGGGTGAGCAACCGTGGCACGAAGTCCAGGACGGCGCCTTCGTCCTACCCCGCCAATCGTGTCCCATGGCCTGCCAGCTTGGCGGCGTACAGCTCGAAGAGACTCCCTCCCACGGAGCAGTACATGCAGCAGCAGCAGCAGCACCCACACGGTTACGAGGTGTACGACACAGACATGGACCGGTCCTCGAGTGCAAGCAGCCCCAGATACGACGACGTGCCTGTCGCGTACCGTGTCCGCATGTATCAGAAGTCAACTCATGCGATGTACTAACGGTCTACCAACAGAACATCAAAACGCAGGTCGGCTGCGATGCCCATGAAGTGGGCGTGACCGCTCTCGCCGACTGTCCCAGAAGACCGCCGACTGCGTCTTGCTTTAACAACACCCCCTTCTGTTGGTATATGCACTCAAAAGGATGCTTCTCACATGCTCTTGGATAGTGTTGATTGCGATCGCAGGAGGATGAGGCATGTAGTGCTAGATGTGTGGAGAAAACCACAAAGGACCCGTGGCCTACGGCCGAGATACTCCAAGTACAGGTCGATGAATGTCATTCGAATCTGCCCTTTGATTCCCCCGATCCGGGAATATCGTTAATCCCCCACCGGTGCCACAGTGGCTGTACCACCGGAGGCCCCGCCGGTGGCCGTGCACCAGACAGCGTGACGACACTGAGCTTCAGCCTCAGGTCTTTCCCGTTTTTTTAAAACTCAGTCTATATGATGTCTTGGCGATGGTGAAACTTTGTTATGGCGTAGTACAGAACCTCATAGGTGAACGAATCATGCAGGGCGCTGTTGTCGTTCAACAGAGACAAAGACAGAGTGTCGGATTGGAAGTCCAATCCGACCTCGAGTCAGGGCAAGCGCAGGGACCATCAACGGGTCTCTATGTCAGTTCCCAACTGAACGGCTAACCTGCGGTCAGAACCTCCGGTTAGATCCTCTTTTCCACCTTACGCAGAGATCCAATATACAGTCAACTGACCCTTCGTCACCCCACAGAACTACGGTTCGAACCCATTATCCTGTGATACGGACACCAATACGGAGAGTATTCGTTCGCGGAGCAGCTGATGCCTGGTCAAAGACATAATAGCAGTAAATATATGCATATTAACATCTCAAAACGCGTCGTAATTAGTTTCGCCTTGAACCGGTTGGCAGTAACTCCGGAAACCCCGTTGTGAACGTTGACAAGCTGCTAAGGCGTCGCAGGCCGGTGTACGATCCAACAGTGCATTGAAAGGCTACTTGCTTCATTCAACAGACAGTTCCGAGTCCCCAAACTTCTCACCTGTCAAGTGAATTCCACAACAATGTGAATCTTTGAATTATCAGTGTGGCTAGCTCTTGAGAACTTCTGAAGTTCTACCCTTCGATAGCAAATCCATCCGCAGGCCCCCTTCGCGTAGATGATCATGCTCCTTCTCTGGATAACTGGCTAATGGACAAGGCTAGAACCTTGTCATCTTCGAGAAGTTGAGCCTCTCCTTCATCAATTTCCCTAGTCCCACGGCTTTGACGATCCTGCCACCGGAATTTGACTCGGCTAGAGGCGGGAGAGAATTGATAGTAATTGGCCTCAAAAGCGGTACAGTAGGGGCAATAACACATTGAAAACAAAAGAAGAAGCAGCTGCCGCAAACAAAGCGACAGCTTGGGTGTAGTTGTACAAAACTCATTGCCAATTTATGCCAGACACCACAAGTTTTCAACCGAAGGACAGCACCATCCGTCCCACCACCATTACGCACTTGCTGCTGGAGCATCTGGAATGCGAACATCGCCGTCGTCGTCTCCCTTCGATGAGGAGGCGTCATCGCTACTCAGGCCAGGAATTTCGATATCGTACTGCGACGGAACCCCAAAATGTCCCTCGGCCGTGTACGTCAACCACTTGCCTGAGGTGGCAAGTCGGCGACCCAGCCATACGCAACGGCCTTGACGCTCATCCTCCATTGAGGCGACTTCGAAATACTTTTCGTCGTCGTCCACCTTCCCGGCCGTAAACCAGTCACTGGGGTAGTAGTTGTCAACCCACAGGAGGCCTCGCTGCGCGAAATCATCCGGTAGAGGACGAGGAGCATCCTTGGCTGGCCGGGGAAAGTCCTCTGATTCAATGGTTTCAATGGACGAGCATTTGGGCACGAGGGTGTTTAGCAATAAGGATATGAGCTTCCAAGGGATCTTCTCCTCGATGTGTTCCATTGCAGCAGGGAACTGAGACATGTGATAGAGGAACGATAGTGTGACGTGCAGGTAGGGGTTGATGTTTGCGTCGCCAAAGCGTCTGAAAACCACGTTGTGAGTGCGAACCGCAAAATCAAGGGCGTCTAGGAACTTCTGTGTTGGAGCAGTGTTGGTTCCGGTCTCGTTCATCTGGACGTCTGTGTCGTCTGCACGGCCTGACTTGATGGCTCTCATGATGGGGTTGCTCTCGCTGCCATATTCGAGAAGGGCGCAACCTAACGCGATGGAAATGTAGTAACCACTGTCCAACCAGCGTCGAGTGTTACGCGCGATGTGGTTGTCCAAGCAGTCGATGAATTCGTCGGTGGATGACACGAACTGGTCAGTGTGCTTTCCGCTGAACAAGATAGCGTTTGCGCGGACGAACGCCGCATCAATCTCCGGCACCCGCGGCGCAGTGCCATTGAAGTGAGGGTCAAACAGAGTCATGATGGACTCTCGCGCGGATAAGAAGGGGATCGGGACACAAAGAGACTTTGAGTAGTAAAAAAGCTGCTGAAGAGCGTTGGGGCGGGCTAAAATGGCGAGATGGTGATAGAGGCGGCCGGTTTGGGGGGCCTTGTCACTGGCCTTGGAATACCAATGACGTGAAACAGATGACCAGACCTCGCGATCCTTGAGGTCGTCGTCTTCGATGGCCATTCTGGAGCTGTCAGTATACATTAACAACATTATCGAAGCGGATAACTCACCGGTATCTTCCCAGATCACCAAGGCATTCAATCCAGGTGTCCTCAAAAGTTGGCACCGTCTCATATAACAAGGCCATCATTGAATACGCCAAGTAAATGAATGTAAGCATGTGCTCAAGCGAAGCAGGTAGACGGTGGCGCAATAGTTCCAAGAAGGAGTGAATTCCGTGCCTCCACATGCGTGCTGGCATGGCATATTTGCTGGCAAGCCGACGCAATGCCGGGCTGGCAGAGGGGTGCTGAGAGGCCAAAAAGAAGTCGTGATGCTCATGTAACAGCGTCCGGTGTAGTGCAATGAGGGCTTGCCACTGTTCGTTGTTGAGCTTGGGTTTCGATTCGTTATTTGAACTTTGTGCGTTGTCCACCTCAATACATTTGCTCTCAACCATTACGAGCCCGGCGTATATCCCTTTAACCTCGGCGACGAGCTGCTCTTGGCTAATTGGACGGGTCTCCGGTTGCTTTATCATGACCTCAGTATTGTCAAAGTCGGCATTGCGGGGGGGCTCGAATGTGCGGCCGGACGCGGGCCTCGGAGCGTCATCGGTGTCTCGATCCCTTTGCCGGCCCTGGTCAGCCCGTCGCGGAGGAGGGCCTCCATCCTCTGGTGTCCATAGCTTCCCCCCCGTGTGCGCCGAATCTCTGTGGAAATCGCTGTCACTGGCTGTCTGGATATTGTGACGGGCGCGGCTCCGCTTCCGACCCGTTTGCTTGTTTTCGTTGGCATATCTCTTATTCTTGTCGGGCAATACACTTTTTGGCCCTCGGTCCGTATCATGGGTTGGATTCAAAGGCTCCGTACTCAAATCAGCCTTGTCTGTAGGCTCGGGTTTCGTATCGCCCGGCGGTTGGTCGGCGGTCGGTGGATTCGGGGAAGTTTGGTGCCGAGAATTCGACGGTGCGGCTGTGTCCGTATCGAAGGTTCTTAAGCTGCAATTTCAGATGTTAGCATCCATACATGCGGCTCTGCTCTACTTGGCGCCATACCGTAGCCATGTTTTCTCAACTAAATTGTTTTGTTGTCCGTCTGTTACGGTATGCCCGCGCTCGGAGAAGTGCCGCACTACGTCTTCTCTGGTGGAAGTTGACGGGAATTTATCTGGGCAGAGGGGGCACTTTCTCCTTTCCGTTTCGCGGGTGCGTTTGTGATTATTGAATCTTGTCGCAAGGTCGGCAGGCGGGTCTGCGGGAGGCTGCCCTTTGGACGCAGAAGTCATGTTAACCTGCTGCCGGACAAAATATGAAGCGGGGGCCCAAAGTGTCTGTCGAGTGGGTGAATGATGCGGCTGCCGAAGCTCCTCGGCCCGATTTATATCCAGAAGAGAGTACGGGACCTCCTAGCTGATGAACGAGAAGTTTAAGAGGTACATTACGGTCTTATAAGTATAAATGTTTTGGTCCGCGGACTATCTGCCTTACTCAAGCATTGTGTTCAAGGAGTTGCACATTGAGGCACAGTCATAGGGCGCATGCGAGCCACTACCAGCAGGGCCCACCCGGCCCCTAGAAAGAATATTAGTTTGCCTTCCTGCAGTGCAGAGCGGAGGCTCAGTGGTTCGCCATCAAATGGTTCGCCAAAGAACTGTTCAGGCAGAACTGCCTCCCCCCAAAACCTTTCCCGACAACTGCCATCCTAGAACTTAAGCAGTCGTAGAACGTGTGCAAGGTGGATTGGTTGCATGGAGCTTCAACGAGATGCAGCCGAGCAATCACGCCCGGCCCCATTAGCCCCGCTCCAGTGTTCCCAAGACTACGCGACCTTCGCACCAGCGAGGAATCAGTGCTGCGAGCCCAGCATGGTGATGATATGTGCCTGGTCGTAGTTCAAGGGTGTCACCTGAATTTCGAGGCGGGTTCGTTTGATATGAAAAAATACTTTACTGTTAGCCGATGGACGCCTTATTGATTACGCAGGGGAGGATCATTTCACCAACAGCGGATGTCAAGCAAATTTGGCGAGAGATAGTTTTCCAATAAAAAAATATTGTATCCCAAGGGTCGAGCCATTTGGACTGGAAACCTGGGTCACTATTATGATGCAAAGGTCAACCCGTTGATCTGATTCAGACGTAACTCTGAGTCGCCTTCGGTAGTTTGATTACATTGGAAACACTCAATGGTCCATTTATCCCTGCCTTTGATCACGATTCCCTCAATAACCCAGTTTTTGTCATCATACAATAAGACGTCGCGCGAAATGGACGCCCTTACATCCTTCTTGAAGTCAGAGCTGATATTGACCGGTCCTACTTTCGTCTTGAAAAGAGCCCCGTGGAGGATCAGACGCTTAGACGGCCTAGCCCCATCTTTCAGTGCCTTACATTCACAGTTCGGACTGTTCCCTTCTTCAGGACTGACGACAGACTGGGCCGAACTCTCAGTGCCCGAAGTGAGGCAGGAATCAGGGCGACAATGAGAATCTGGGGCGACATCTCTTGTGTCACAGGAAGACTCGCTGAGAGTTCCACAGCTCTGTTGAACGTTCGCTTTAGAACCTTCAATAGATTGCTGCCCATAAGAAGGCTAGCAGATTGTCAGTATCTGCCAACACACTCGGAAGACCTATTTGAGACTCAGAAAACATGGGTTGTTTACCTGATTCGAGCATTCATCGCTGTTGATCGAGATCCCAAGACCTATCTCATTCGCCTGTTGGCCGGGACCGATGGAGCGAAGAGGAATTGTGGAATAAATCATTGAGGTCGGTATTCGTGGAGTGGAGCGCCAGTGAGATGGGTGGTGGCATAGAGAAGGCAATGATTGAAGAGATTGCGCTGCAGACTGAACGGACTGACCTAGATGGTCAGAAGGTCAGAGTATGGCTTTTGGATTGAATCTCGGAGGCCACGAGACTATTTTATAGGACAGCTGTGCAACCACGTTTGGAGTGTCACTTTATGCAAACGAGCCTGGAAGTTTGTCAGGTGCAATCAGGCCAAGGACCGGAGAACCACGCTGCGAATTATCACGTTCATTACCCGAATTCAAACGAGACAAAGTCATATGCAGACCAATCCCGAGTGCCCAAGGCCCTCGAGTCCATCCTGGAAGATCAGTGCCGCTGTGTACTTGATCCCTGGATTGAACTCACCGGTACAAACAGATGAAAATGAATAATTACGCCCATTCAGCATCGCCCCGGCTGCTTTAGCTGCCTCATCTGGCGGTGAAGGTTGTTTCTGCAGGTGTGCAGGTGAATGCTAGCGACCGGACGAGGATGCGTCGGGCGCTTGTTCCTCAGACGCACTTCATAGCCCACCACGCTTGTTGTTCAGTCCGCTGCGGGGCCTCAACCAACCGACATTCAAATCATCTCGACGGCCTTATGGGTGGAAAGCGATGTGTCAACTTGACTTGTTTAAGGCAACTACACTCCGCAAGAAATGTCTAGTGTTCGGCCCGATGGAAAGGGTGGCAGCCGACGCGCAGTCAATTAAAACCCACACCACTCGGTGCAGACAGCCAAAGTTTGCCTGGCCGTCTATGTATCAAAAAACGTCGTCATCGCAGCCTCCACATGCCAAGGAGACTTGGTGCATTCCGCCTCGACAGGAGAAGCCAGTGAAGGCTTATCGATTGGCGGCTGACTATGAGCGTGCCCAGTCCAGAGCCACGATCGGCAACACGTGTTCGAAGAAACGAATGTTATGGCCATCTTGAGCCAGTCGCAGCATAGCCGAGCTTCACCACATAGTAGCCCTATTTTGTCGGGGGCTGTGATCGGGAAAGCTCCGAGCGGTCGGCCGATCTGCGGGTCTGAAGCAGGTCTGGACGTCGCGAGCCTGGAGTCTGGAATCAACTTCATGAATTGCCCCTCGACGATGCGAGGGCGGCGCTCGCCAACTCGCGCGGGGCCAAGCTCGTTCCCCGATTGCCATGGTGCTCGCACCCAATTCCTGACGAGCGACAAGGCGCCATCGATCACGAGAGGCGTCCGCGATGGTTCGCACATCCGACATCAGGCTGCAAGGCACACTACGATAGGCAGACAGTGCTTATGTGCAGCTCACCGCTTATGCGACCGCAGCCGTGGGCATTGACGTGCAGTGGGAGGCCTGGACATAGGCCGGCCCCATTGCACATTCAAAAACTGACAATTAGGGGCTTCAGGCTCGCAGTGGTCACATCAAACGCGCATTGGGGAATGAACAATGTTAATTGTGGGAGAGCAATCTCTCTTGACTGGTTGAATCCATGGCTACTTGTCCCTCTACCCAGCCCTCTTGACGATCGAGTGCAACATCAAACTGGCGCCTAGCGGTTGTACTGTCCAGGGTCAGCAGTGTTCGTGGGTGTTTAGGCTTGTTACATACGACGACGCAATCTTCGCACCGCGCGCCATGGACATTGACCCAGCCAGGGCAGTCAACGCCATGCTTGTATCTGTTGACGCAGGGGTAACGATCCATAGTGTCGGCTTTTTTGCTGTTTTTCGCTTTTTGATCCTGCGGGACTCGCGTGCGAGGATGTCCAAGTGTGGCTGATCTGGCAGGCGTCGAGACGTTGATGGCCGTCGAATTCGAACATGATTTCCGTCAGGTCAGTCTTTTTTATAACTCTGCTTGCTGATGAGAGTCTCCAGGACGTTTCGCAGGTGCCCAAATGGTCTCCACCGTGGGAGCCGTGAACCACCTTCCGCAGCGAGCCACTGTCCGATACCGAAAAGGCTGCCTGCACCGGCGGCAACAGATGGCAAGTTGACGGCAGGTCCGCGATTGGCTCATTCCACGGGCGCAAGAGTACCCATGGCGGTAGGCGAATGCGAAGTTGGCAGGATGTTGCGCTAGATGTCGCTGCGCAAGACATGAAGTCGAGAGATGCTGCCTTGATTGGCAGGCCTCGCGGCTCCACCCACATACTCAATGCGGGCCGTGCTGGGGACGCTAAAACGTTAGATGAGCACCCCACGTATGCATGCCACCGCACCGTGGGAACACTGCAGGCAGGGTGTTCGCTGGCGTGTCCCACTCCCCTCTCCAACCATGTCGCACGCCCTCTCGATCAACGTACACCCAGACACATAGCTACGTACACGCCCCTTCCCTAGGTACTTCACCCAGCCAGATCTGGATGCCCCACACAAGCTACGTGTCACCCTGCAAAGAGGCCCGAGCGCCATCGCATGTCACTCGCTCCGGCTGGCAGAGACCGCGCCTAACCTAGTGCGCAGGGCTTGCCCCGATTCGGGCTCGGCCCAGAATGCCCAAAGCCGGGCTCCGGTGATTAGGCGTAAGCCGCTCGTCTTCTACCCTCGGAGCCGCAGAACGTCATCGGGAGATGCCACCAGCCCGCTGCACGCCTTCGTTCTGTCACCGAGCCATACGAAGAAAGGTTTCGAAGACGTTGATGTCATCACCATGAGGCGACTCCTGATCTACGCTGGCCTGTGAGATAGCCGGCACTCGAAGAGCATAAAGCGGCTACTGACTCTTCGTCGCGCATCTTCTTCCCCTTTTTTCAGTCATGGCCTGCGGTCCCCATTCTTTTCCCAGATCGCAGGAAGGAAATACAGACAAGATTCAGGATGGAGCACAAGCCTTGAAAAAGCCAAATCGCACTCCACATGGCCAAATAGCCCCTTCGCATTCTACCGGCTGGTGATTTCTCATGCAATCCGATCTGCGGCAGCAGTGACGCCGGCAGCAATACATCTCCACCTCCCCATCTCGCCAAACGCTCTTGCAGGGCTGCGCCTCAGCTCGTATTGCGAGGTCAAACCTGTTCTTCTCGACGGCACACTCGTTTCGCCGTCCCGCCATCATCTCCTAGACCATCTCTAGATCTCTTCTTGCTCTGCTTACAGCCTCGGATGACGTGCCTGCCATAGTCAGCTCCTTCCAATCAGTGGATAGGACCGAACGTACAGTAATATATTCCCACCCGTTTCTTCCTGGCCATCTGCCCAGTCAAGAAGTTGTTCATGCATACCTGCTGGATTGCCTGCTGTCCGGCCGTCCCGTGTATCAATACGCCCAGTCTTCATCTCTTGCGCCACTGTTGATCCCGCGGGAAGAAAAATTTCTTCATGGCCCGAAATCTGAAACCCAACCTCACCCATCATGCGCTTGACCTTGTTGACTTTATCTTCCTCTTCTTCGGCTGCTCTCTCGCTCGAACTCGGTTCACTAAATTGAACATCGATGATAGCCTCAGGCTGGAGACAACTGGTTGTAACTTGGATTAGCAGGTACCCTAGCATTTTGATCCGTGAACGGCACCTGTAGAGCTCTCTGAAGAGGTTGGACGGAATCACGGTTCCGGTCAGGCACACGGAAGCATAAGGATGGGCAGGCCGAAGGCCGACAGCGTCTTCGAACCTGTCTTTGTCAGTAGATGAAGTGCGTGATGCTGCGGCCGACCTACATCCACCGTCTCAAAACAAGTTCGAGTTCCCTTGCTTGAGGTTTCGCCTTCAGCACGTCCGGGCACTCCTCCGTGTCTGGACACACGTCGAAGTCGGCCGTCAAAAATCCGGAGGAATTGACGTTCATGGCGAATATTCCCTGCCCTTCCTGCGGGAGGTTACAATGTTCAAGATGACGCACTAGCACGTCAAGCATCTCTCCACTGCCAAGGCTTCGGGCGTCAGAGTCGTCTAATGAGAAGTATCCTTCATCGTCAAGGTATTGGGGCGGCTCTGCCATGGTGTCGATTCAAGACAGTGTCTTGCTTGAACTGCCTGGTGGTTAAGATCAATGGCTGTTCAGCTCTTGTTGGCAACGCGACGGCCTTATAAGACACTGGCAGTGGTGCACGGCCTCGACGCTCATTTCCCCCGAGGCAGCTAATAAGCGGTGGCGGCTCTCGGTTCGTCCACTTTTGGGTCTGGGCTGCCCAGGGTCAGCCCATCGACGAAGTCGAGCTGCTTGCAAGGGCCTTCGGTACTAGAGTGACCCAGTCAAAGGACATCTAACGCGTTCAGGGCGGAACTGATGCCGCCACCAGTCTAGATGGATGCTGACACTCGGCCGGTAGCCGGAACAGTGTCTAAATGAAGCTGCCAACTGTTCGATAATGTATGGGAGACCGCCTAGCATTCGCACGCGGGAGTACGGGGAACAGCCCTCCGCCCAAGCCATACCACCGGAAATGAACCACCGATTCAATGTCGCGTCAGCACAAGAAATGGAATCCGCGTGCCTGCCTTTGCAAATCGAAATTACAAGGGCCGCCTCATACCCTGCCCCCTTCTCAATGACTCCCGGACACAACGGGCTGTTCACTTGTCACGGTTGCTGTGTCGCCATTTCTCGGCGCCCGCCTTGTATTTTCGACGCCGCTGACATTTTCATAGTTGACGCTAGAGACTGACGACACAATGAATATGCGATCATGCCCCAGAGTGGTCCAATTTTCTCCGCAATCCATTGTCCTTTGTATCGCTTGGCGGGATCGCCTCTGTAGCCCACTTTCCAAGTAGACTTGCACCCGTGCTAATTATTCGACCAAGTCGGATGAAAGCGTTGGCTGTCTGGCTATCGCGAGTTTCGGGAACATCACTCTTGACAGTTGTCAATGAACTATGTCCTGAAGGGTGTTCACTTGGTGGACACAATTACGCACATGAATATCCGCCCGAACGCACACAATCGAATCAATGGAGAGAGGTCCATGAGATTCACATACCTAAGACCATTGAACGCTTGTGCAGCACGTTTCCATTTGTCTCGCTCTTGGTGTGATCAATCCTGTCGGAGCATAACCAGGCTGCGTGCACTACCTTGACTCAATTTTGTCATGTACCTCTTTTCCCGACTCTTTCCGAGCTGTCTTGAATGCACACCTCCCACCGCATCTCAACTCTTAGCAACAGAATGAATTTGACGCTTTACCCATCGTCAGGCTTTCGTCCCGTCCAGACCCACCTGCCACCACTGTTAGCTAACTCTCTCGAGTGTCAGCTTAGGGAAGAAGAAAAACTCACATCATAAAACAGACGTCGGATTCCCTAATCTCCTTTTCAACTCCGGCCAAAAAGCCATCTTCGCAGACTTCAGGACGAGACGCCGGAGTATGGGGGCTTGTTAGGATCCCCTTCCTACGTTCCACCCATGGTAAAGGGGCAAGGTCCCCAGCTTTCAGCAACTTGAGAAGGCCATATTGGAACCAATTCCCAGCTCCTTTGGTACCATCCTGCAGACGGAATTGAATCACCTTCTTGGAAACATCAACGAATCCAACCGTTTCGAGATCACTCTCTATGCTTGCCTGTTCCATCCCCTGATCGTCTCCATTCATGGCTTCCTGCAGCAAATTACACCATTTCATCAAGCGTGACGATATCGAAGAGATATCCCGGTGGTCGCAAGGCAGCCAGCTGATCACCTCTTGCTGCATTCTGCCTCCCGGCTTAAGACGGGCATATAACTGTTTGAAATATTCTTCTCGCAGCTTGATCGTTTCCCATAACCTCCTTGAATGCACATAATCGAAGTCCGTCTTCAGACCCTCGAGCGCCTCCAGGCTGTCTGTACGAACGTAAGCGGTAGTGACTGGAATACTACGCCGTCGCTCAGCATCGGATTCCACTCACTGTTTCGGTCAGTGGCAGAGGAAAACATACTATTTTGGCTGAACTGCCTTCGTGAATGTACCCGTGATTTGGATATCTGACCGGCCTAGTTTATAGAAATAGCTGAACACCTTGGTTAGTCATCATTTGCACCTGGTCTAGGGCGGGAGCCGCGGGCTACTCTGCCAGATCCGTCGTCCAAATTCCCGAGCCAGTTCCCACATCTAGAAAGGAACGCTCGTAGTACTCAAAAGATCGTGTTCCTAGGGCGAGGTCGATTGACTTGTGGAAAACGCCCTCTACATCGGCTTGCGTCTCAATTGCGGGGCTGAACTCTGGACCATGACCGTGCAAGGATTCACTCAAGTTCCCTCGAGATTCGCGAAAAGGATGAGCATAAATGACGATTTGTCTTCAGTCGAGCGAGGAATTAGCTTCTTCCCTGGATTTTGACGAGAGGGAGGGTTGGGAGATTACCTGTCACACGCCATGGGAGGCTGATGTCTTCGTAATTGCACAAAGATCGAAGGCAATGACATTACGACCCAGGTCGTAATTTTAGTAGCACCTGAGGGTGTGCCATCTTATAGCTCGTTCACCGGTGTATTTCATTCAACCATGAGATTAAAATCTGCGCACCAGGTCGGTCGTTGTTCTCCACCAATACTGCAGAGCCATGCAGAAAGTGGACAGGGTTTTCTCGGACGTCGCTAATGAGCGCCCCAACAGAAAGCGACCGTCATGTGACGGCAATCCCAGTCGGCTGGGTGTAATTCACAACCTGCTTCGCTTGGTTCGGTTGCGCGCTTCCTGAAATGCATTCCAAAGGTTAAAAGATAATATCGTACCTTGACCTCAATGCCGTTCGGAACTCGTCACATGGAGAAGCATTGATCAATGCCTGGTTTGGATCTTTTTTCTGTGTGACGCCCGACAACTCGCGAAAATAACTCGATCATAGTGTGAGCGAAATTCATGGATTATCGGACCCGAAAGGATTGCTGCAGAGGTGGATTTGAGCGATCTATCCCACGGGCAGTGGTCATTGGCGCAGCAGTGGGTCTCCATTGAAGAACCACTTCCATAGGAGGTCAACGGCACCGACCTGATCACAGCTTTCAAACCAACCAGAGGAGCACTTGATATTGACGTCTTGTCTTCAGGCTTCCCCAATTCTGCAGCTGCCGGGAAACAATTGCGCTCGGCCGTAGTGCAATGTCATCCAATCGAGTGATCGTTAGTCACAGGGACTATGTACCGCAGCTGCTAAGCGAGCCTACTTTGCGCATTGAAACCAGGCTACATGAATGGACGGAATATTGAGATCGCAGCAGACGAATGGCAGATGTTTCATGAGCAAGATGCTACAGCTCCCACCTTCTCGCGGACCAAACCTTCGCCGCGCAATTCCAGGCCTACCCGCGCGTGTGAGCAGGCGCGATATTCTGGATTCCATCTGCTGATTGCTATGAACAGAGCCCCTCCTGAGTAAACACTGTTGATGTTCTCCATTGGCAACGTGGCATCATCACTCACGCGGGGCACATCGGATGTGCCATTTCACGTTGAATAAATTAGAAGTATTCACCGCCATCACCTTTTAGGGAAGACTTGCGATGCAGATAGGCAGGCAAATGGAGAAAAGATGACGTAAGTGGCACTAGCCCATCCCCTTTCCTCGGTCGACCTTCTTGGCGTGATTATTGAAAATTAGGAGCTGCGGCCAACTGCGCCAGATAACGGATCTGTCATTAACCAAGTTTTCACGATGTGGTGCAATTGCACGGTTACCTTGACCTGCTCGGAACACGTACTCGGCCAGCGGCGTCGCATCTCCGCAACCAACGCTTGGTGAAGGCTTTAGCTTGGCAACTCGGCCAGAAACTGGCAGCCATCTCACTGAGGCAGCTACGTTTACGGGTGGCTTTGCAAGGTAGTGAGGCACGAATGGAGATATCGAAGTGGCTGTGTAATGGGGTGCTGCCGAGGATCCGTGAGTGTGCCAGAGCGGGTGTCATGAGGCAGAATGATCTCCTTTCAGGGATGGTGCATCCTTGGAGTTGATGTGGTGGTTGATAGGGTCCTGAGGGCGACAGCTAAAGCCAAAATGCTCTCCTCCCGACAAACCACTTCCTCCCGCTCACTACTATGAAACTGGGTCTCTGACCAAGAGGAGTAGCTTCCACTGAACCTTGCGGGCATGGTACCTGACTATTCGCTCGAAAGTCCCGTAGATAGACTTGTGGAGCAAGACAAAACAGAACTGCGAGACAATTTCGATTAAGCTTGGAGGCTTGGATGCCATGGAAGACGATCAGTCGAACCGTAGGTCGCTGCAATGGGTGATACGAAGTGGGTCTGCGAGTAGAATTTCACCATAGACTGGCTGCAAAAACTGCCCAGCTCCGTTTCCATACTTCAACATATCGCCGAGGATTGCAGCGTGTTGTCGTGTTGTGAGTGATCCCCGGAGTGTAAAGTATCCGCTACTGTCAGTGCAATGCGGGCGTCGTGAAATGTCCGACTACGCAGTAACACCAGTTCCAACAGCCTAGAGCCAAATCTATTGGGCCAAATGACCCGGTGACCTGCCCGGCCACCAAGTCCGTCTACAGCCTCTGGCCCTGAAAGGATAAAGCGAAGCACAGAGACGTGCTCTTCATACCCGCGCAAAGTGAGCAAAGTATTCTAGCTGATCTGTATCATCAGCCCATGGTTAGCCATGACTTCGCGACGATTGTTCCATCACTATTCGCTCGCCTGAAAGCACAAGTACAATGAGATTCCTGAGCCTACTAGTGCCACAGGCCAGCAATAATGCATCAGACTTGTACTTTGCACACCTCATCGTGGAATTTTCAATGCATCCGGCTTGGTCGCAAGGTATGCGGCGGCTCGGGTGGCGTCCGGCCTCACCGAGAGCAACAAGAAAGCAGGAACAGACTGATCATCCCCTTATGGCCGGACCCAAGCGACCAAGGCAACGAAAACAAAAGGCCATAGTGAACGCTCGGGTGGAAAATCACGCCATGACTCGGGGCAACTCATCGGCTGATGATCTCGCTGTCTCTATCCCGGCAATTCACCGCCTGTTGGAACGATGTTGGAGCGTATATGGAGTCTCGAGCAGTT